CGTTGTATGTATGAAATTTTCAGTTTGTTAGCTTTCGTGTGATGTTTGTGTTTCGTGGCATGTATGAAGTTTTTTCAGTTTGTGGAGTTTTTGTGATGAGCTTTGTGGCAAGTGAAGTTTATGTGTTTATGTTTCGTTGTATGTATGAAGTTTATGTCTTTGTGTTTCGTTGTATGTATGAAGTTTTTGTGTTTGTGTTCTGTTGTATGTATGAAATTTTCAGTTTGTTAGCTTTCGTGTGATGTTTGTGTTTCGTGGCATGTATGAAGTTTTTTCAGTTTGTGGAGTTTTTGTGTTGTGTTTTGTGGCATGTGAAGTTTTCAGTTTGTTAGCTTTCAGTACGTGTGAGTTTTTTTTTTAATGTTTGTGTTAACCAACTTCTTACTTTGATACGAGAGTCCGATAAACTTTACCACTTGACTCTTCCTTCATTTTTCTGGACTACGGATTGCGTTTACGACCTGTATAACTCAAAGACAAGAGAACTAGTACCATTGACTCTTCCTTCATTAAGGTAACTAGTACCATTACCAAATCCAACTCACTTCTGTATAATAATCATACTTTTAAAATAAGAGACAACGCAGCTAAAGAAGCTGAAAATTTTAAGGGTGTGTTGGAGAAGTAGTACATTTTTTAAACTTAATTATAGAACTAGTACAATCACTATTTACAATTAGGAAACTAGTACATTATCACTATTTGCTACTATTTGGTTGACCTTTAAGCACTCAAAAAACATATTATTTACAAGTATGCCATTAGAATAATTATATAATGATTATATAATATAATTCGTACATCATATTTTATGTACAGAAGTGTAAAAACATATATTTGTACAATAATAAAAATATTACACAATAACATCCGTACAACATATTAGTGTACGAATATGTACATAAATATGCATAAATTCATATATCATAGTAGTTGTACAGATAAAAATGTGTAATTTTTTATACATGCGTACATATAGCAAGTTGTACGGGGTACTCTGTACATCTAATCAAGTGTACACAAACGTCTGTACATATACTAAATTGTACAAATACGTCTGTACATATACTCTGTACATCTAATCAAGTGTACACAAACGTCTGTACATATACTAAATTGTACAAATACGTCTGTACATATGCTAAAGTGTAAAAAAGATATATACTTATGAAATATATTTAAACTATACTAAGCAAAATGCATATCAAATTATAGAAAAAAAAACATAGATTTTTATGAATCAAAAAAAAAGTTTGAAAAAAAATTACAAAACCAAGAATTTTTAGTTATTAGAATGTTGGGGTAAGAATATTTAAAAGAATAAAAAAAAAAGAAAACAAAAAAAACAAAAAGAAAAACGAAAATCGGAAAACAAAAAAAAAATGCCTTCCCTTGTCATTTTTTTTCTCCTTCTTTTTCTATCTCTCAAATTCTCTATCTCACAAATGTACTACTTTGCCAATTTTGAATAGTAAATGTATTACTTCCCCAATTAAATTCTCAAAATGTACTAAATATCCTATTAGTCCAAATTTTAATGTAAAGGCTACAGTTATATTCTTCTGCTCGTCAAGTGAAGATTGGAAGAGAGCAAAGTTGATTCATAGTGACAACATGTGGACTATATATATATATATATATATATTAAGCCAGAGATGGAAAGACAATAAGAGGATTTTTACGTGAAACATCGAGCCCTGTCGTTTCCGCTAGATCATATTCATCACCGGAGAATTGAACATCCATCTTCCAGTTGAACCGGTTCACAAGGTTGGCTAATGTCACCTCGACCAAAGCCAAAGCAAATCCAATACCAGGACACATCCTTCTCCCATATCCAAATGGAACTAGTTCCAAACTTGTTCCCCGAAAATCCAAAGATGAATCTAAGTGTCTCTCTGGTCTAAACTCTTCTGCATCCCTCCCCCATATCATAGTGTCTCTTTGAATAGCCCAAGCATTGGTTATTACCTGTGTGCCAGCAGCTATGTCACATCCTTTTACTTTGACATCTTCAGTTAGTAGTCTAGGAACTAGTAATGGGAAAGGAGGATGCAACCGAAGCACCTCCTTAATCACCATTTTTAAGTATTTCATATCCTTAACATCTTCTTCTGATATATATAGATTAGGCGGCTTCTTCGCATTAGCGCGAATCTCTTCTTGGAGTTTCTTCATGCATTCTTGATGTCTTATAAGCTCTGTCATTATCCATTCTAGTAGTGCGTAAGTTGTCGCTGTTCCTCCTAAAAACATATCCTAGAGGAATGAAAAATTTCATTGGTTCACCAACCAAATAAATTAAGCTAATATATGTGATGTTATTACTTACTAAGATTATGAACTTTATGTCGCTTCGTCGGAGTTCTATACCATTTGTGTTCTGTCTTTCCAAGGATAGCATTATATCGACTAAATCATGTGTTGGTTTATCGCCATGGTCTACATGTTCTTGCACCACTTTGTCCATAAGACCCGCAAATTTTTCACTCACTTGCTTCACTTTATGATCAAGACCACGGATTTTGTCGGTCCAGGCCAAACATGGAATGTATTCACCAACTGGGAATCCACCTGCAAGATCCAAGATTGTCCTCAGTTGATTCTTGAAATCGCTCATGCTTTCCTCTTTGCTGTGTTTTCTTCCCAAGGAAGCTCTACTTGTCACATCGCTCATCAGTGCGATTAAAAGCTCGCTTAGGTTAAACGGTGTAGAGCTAGAACTCGCTTTCTCAACCGTCTCCATCATTTCACTTATCTCTTCTTCTCTTACGTATTCAAAAGATTGTACCATTTTTTTACTGAGTAGATGGATAACGCATGCACTCTTTCCTCACAAAAACAGATTTTAATATTTTCATCAGTTAGTTTAATAATATATGTTATACTCTTAATATTCATATATAAACTTTGCAAAAAAGCACCTTAATATGTCTCCAATATTCTCCGTAAGGGGAAAAAACCATGTCTCGTCCACCGTTGAGGAAAATCTCGATAACTTTTAACTGCGGGCGGTTTGCCACCTTTAAATCGTGTGTTTTCAAGAGGTCATGAGCTACTTCAGAAGAGGAAACTACTAGGACAGGGACGCGGCCGAAGTGAAGGAGCATGAGTGGACCGTAGCGGAAGCTGAGGGAACGAAGAGAACGGTGAGGGTGGAGGCTTAGCTGGTGGAGGTTACCGATGATCGGAAGTCGCCATGGAGAAGGTGGTAGGTTGATTTTGGTAGCCGTTTGTTTGAGTAGTAGTCGTTGTAGGAAAAGAAGTGCTAAGATGGTTGTTAGCCAGATAAAGATGATTATCATTTCCATTTCTTGCTTTGAAACTTAAATCCAAATCTCTCTTACTCGTTAATATATACTTAGTGTGTGCATGACAATGAAAAAACAAACTTTTTAACTACCGTACCAGGTGTTTGTTCAGCCATGCATGCGCAAGAGTGACAAGGTATATAGTGGATGGTCACTACTCACTACAAATAGGCACATATCGTTAAAAAGTGTATATTATACATACATCGCCTCCTCAATATGACACCTAATGAGACACTTGCCATTAACTCTCTCATAAGATTAGCCATATCGGTTTGGTTTCTTGCGTCCTACCACTTTATCTTATGACAACCAAGACATTACCATCTTCGTTTCCCATACTTGTGGCGGTTAAATACTTACTTAGCCGATAACATCTAATCACATACTTGTCGAGACCTTGCTTTTGTGTATATTATAAAAGTGCATTTGTAAATATTTATAAACGCAAGGCCTTTGGGAAGATCGAAAACCCCCTGATGAGTATGATCATATAATTATTGGCTGCTCTTGTAATGGAGCAATTTAGAGAAAAGGATCCAACAAGTGTGAGGCACTTTGTGGCCGAAATGTGTAGACAATGCAGAAACAATATCTAAAGCATAACTATGAACCTCAGACTTCCGTGACATACGGAGAAGCATTGCTGTCCACATTCCAGGTGCAAGCTTCACCGCCTCACTCAGACACCTGAATCCATTGCTCACTCTTTTCGTTGTCCCTTCTCCCTGCAGATTTGAATTTAATATTTTTTCAAAAGATTCCATTGGGAAAACAAGAAAAGAAATGGGAAGGTTGTTTGATTATTACTGACCCCGAGATTGCCGGTCTTGTTGACATCAAAAGCCTCTTCTTCCAGGAAAATATCAACCACTCTGATTATGTCCTGAAGAAGGAAGACACGAACTCTCTGCCCTTTCTCTGATAATATGAACAACAGCAGATCTTCTGTGGCAGAAACAACTGAATGCATGTCGAATGATTTTAGTTGTGATGATTTCTTCAACGTTTTATCTTCTGGAGAGTCTCCTGAAGTTGCAGAAGCCTGTTCGGATATTGCTGCCATCTGGAAAGAGAGTTTATTAGCCACATTCTTCAGATTACTCAAATAATGATCTGCCGAGAAGGTTTATATGAGGGGTTACCAGGCGTTCAAGCCGATTCCACCTTATTGATCCGTCATTACAAATGACAAGTTCCCTTAGTATTTTCCTCATATCTGGGCTTGGATCTGCTAATAGCCTCCCGATAACAAATGGATATGCGCTCTCAATCACTTTAAACTCTGGATCAAGAATCTTAGCTGTGCCTTCTAGTGAACCAAGGGATCTTATGACAAGAGCATAATCTGGAGGCAGCGAAAAGTTGAACTCATACATAACATCATATAATTGTTCCATTACCCCCTGTACAGCAAAAAGCAATGATTATGGTAGATGTCACCCTAATAAAGGCTTTGTCACACTCGTATCTTTTAGTGAATGTGTCTGTCGCGATTAATGTAACTTTCATCACAGCATGAAGATACCTGGAAATCTTGTGATATTCTGGTAGTCGAACCAAATGAAGCACGCAAAGCATTTGAAACCGCTTGTATATCGACCCCTTCAGGCAAAAATCCCAAGGACAGGAAATCATTTGCCAAACCTAGAGAATCGCGGTTGACAAAATGCACCAGCTGTAATTGCAATAGAATTAATCAAAATCTATAAAGTCATGCAAAACACAATCTCAGATGGAAAAGTTATTCTTTCGCCATCTGAAACTGAAAGATGCTTCATGTAGTTTAGTTTTGTAAGCAAATTCAGAAATAAGCTAAAAATACCGCAAGCAGATAAAAGACATAGAAAAAGAAAGGATAAACAGAAGTAGAGCTTACAATTTGAATAAGTCCCACACGGTAATGGCGTGGGATATTCCCCATCATCCCAAAGTCAAAATAAACAAGAGACCCATCTTTTGTAGCAACAAGATTTCCTGGATGCGGATCCGCGTGAAAGAATCCAACCTCAAGAAGCTGCTTTAACGAACAGGACAAGCCCTGCGAACCAAAAAAATCAAGGTTCTCAATGGAACATTTACAGGCACCTAGCCATACTAAGTCCGCACATATCTCCCAGAATTACAAAGTTCTATCTACAGATTCATTTGTCAATTTTTGAGGAATGGACATTAACCTAGCATAGTTAGGTATCAGTTATTTTTTTACCTGATCAATCAAGTCCCTTCTATCAAGGGAAGCCCTTCTAAGCTTAATTTCATCTGTTAGTTTTATGCCATCAATCCACTCCATAGTGAGCACTGCTGTGCGTGTAAAATTCCAGTAAATTTTAGGGACTTTGATGTTCTCTGCTCTGTGATTCCTGGACTTACTCCTAGGTCCAGCTTCATCATTAATCTGCTCATTCCCTGTAAATATTCAAAGTATTGTATTTGATAATCTTATATCACGAAGAGTGTGTACAATTTGACTCAAGAGAACCTACCTGAGTCAAAACTGTACAGAGAAGCAAATCTTTCTGCATTTTTTGCCTCTCGAACGTAATCTATTTCATCAAACATATGCCTGACCTATTTATCCAAGAGAGACATGAACATGGTAGTATAACCGAGGTAGGCTGAAATATAGTTCAAACATTCATACTCACCATCTCATTCACCGCTACCAAAAGATCCTTACGGGCTTTTGCGAATCGTTTCAGTTGGCCCCCGATCATTTTGAATAAGAGGGCATCCCGTGTTAGAATGAGTGACATTCCAGGTCTCTGAACCTTAACAGCTACCAACTGTCCAGAATGCAGATGAGCTGCAATACTTAAGGGAAAAAATGAAACATTTAGCTTCTAGTAACTCTAAATTGAGAAAAATGGAAAGGAGAATGTCGGCAGAGACCAAAAGGATAAGAAAATAGCCGACCACAGTTAAAAGGTGTCTAACCTTTGTATACCTGACCCAGGGATGCAGCAGCAACGGGCTTAAGACTAATATCTGCAAAAAGTTTTGACACGGGAGCACCTAGTTGCTCTTCAATACACCGCATGGCAACAGTAGTTGGAAATGGAGGAATTTGGTCCTATAATCATATAGAATATAAACACATTATCAAATTATTCCAGCACAGCCGTATGTCTAATTTGAAACAAAGATAGATTTCCCACCTGCAATTTGGAAAGTTCCTGACAATATATAGATGGTAATATGTCTGGTCTCGTGCTCAGTGCTTGTCCAAGCTGCAAGTCAAATGATGTATTATTTAACAAGAATTAAAAAAAAAAAAAAAGACTATGATTAGTATATTTAGAGGAGTATGGATTAGCGCATAAGTAACATGCCTTGATGTAGAAAGGCCCCAAGCTGATAAGAGTCTCACGGAACTGCATCCAAATTGTGAGAAAGTACTATCAAATAAAATATTGGCCTAGCCATGTAAACACACAGTAATTTTCATGTTAACTAATTATATAAGTACTGGCAAACAACAAATTCTCATAGATCACGAACTTACAGACCTTGACAGCCCGTTTCCTCATATCCTGAACAAAGAGCTGCCAAAAGGCAAGCTTCACCACATGGTACGAAATGATTGCAGCTCTATACAATGCCAAAAAGGGGCCAAAACGATACACTGCAGAAAAACTTTTTGAGCTATATGCACCAAGAGCTTGTCCAAATTCGGTTTCAAGTGATTCTCTCCGCAGCTTGGCATACTCTGCCGTAGGTATTCCACCATGTACGCTGGTAAAGCTTGTTGAATACCTGCGAATCAATTGCCAAATAGAAAATGATTAGCCCAGTAAAACATCCTGAAATCCTTGATAGGTTGTGTATCAGCAAATTACTCAGCATGATCAAGAACTCACGTTCTGTGTTGCAGGCAGAATGGTGAAACCCATGTACTCGTCTGTTTTGATACCCCATAATCATTCCCTTTCAATATGTTCTCCCCAAGCTTGAAGTCACTAGTTGCGTCATTACCTAACGCTACCACTATAATAAAGAAAACCTCATCAACACAGAATTCAATTTCCAAAAGGAAAAATGCAAAACCTCAGCAGCATTATCATCATATAAGCCTAATATACGTCTTCTACACCCTTAAGCTGATCTAGCAAAAACAACACTGAAAACTCCACTGAAGCTACGCATATACAACCATGTGTGTTAAAAAGCAAAGAGTAATCAGCACTACAAAACTAATAGTAACGAATCTAAATTCCACAAACGCAGAAATTTCACGTTCTCCTGAGAATAACAATTCCAGTAAAATCAAGTGGATCCTCGAATCAGAAATCCAGAATTTAAACACGAAAATCATCCACAGCCGCAATTACTAGCAAATCACATCAAAATTTCCATAAAATGCAAGACCTATAAGGTAAATAAAAGCATACTTCTCCGGAGGAGCGAGACACGGCGGTGATGGCGGAGAGCAACAACGACATTCCTCATCGGCTAACAACACGAACGAAACGACGATCTATTCAGTCGAGCAGCATGCGAAAATCCCATAGTCCGTCTGATTCATACACCACTCGTAGCTTTAACGCACTGAAACTGTTCGATAAAATGCGTAAACGAGATCGTTCGTCCGAAGAAGAAGAAGAAAGTTTTAAGAGAGTGTCTCTCTCTCCACGGAAGTAAAAAACAGAGCCAAGACACCGAGAGAATAACTCGCCACGTCCATGACACGTGCCCAATTCCGAAGCAGTCGGCTGGATCAGGCCCATATAACTTAAGCCCATAAATCCAACGTAACCGGTGTAAGAATAACATTACTCCTGCAGCCAAACAGAACTTTTAAAATTTTCAAATCGGAAAAGGGATAAATCGACGACGACGACTGTTTTCTCTCTCACACGATACTTAACCTTATAAGACTAGTCGTCGTCTCCGGCGAAGTATAGAGCAAAATAATAAAACCGATCCGTTTGAGAAATGGAGAATTCAGTAGATCTCGTACCGGCGATAGTTGTGTTTCTCGCCGCAGTTCACGTCCTCGCCTTGGTATCTTTCACTTTGTTCTTCTTTCCTTATGCTCTCTCTCTGTTACGAATTTGGTTTCGTTGATTCAGATTTTTGCGATTCGTTGTTGTAGGTGTACTGGATTTATAGATTGGCATCTGATCGTCCACCTCAGAGAAAAAAATCTCAGTGAATCATCATCATCGATCGGTGTGTGTTTTCGTTTTTTTCTCCGATCTAGTATTGTTAAAATTTTTGATGAAAGTATTTGGAACTTTTGAACCTGTGTAAGGATCTTTGATTAGTTCATTTTTTTTTTTTTCACTTTTGTACTCTGTTTGATTCTGCATACAGGGATCATTGTTTCCATTAGCTATCATCAACACTTAGAGATGTAATCAAAGTTACAAAATCCAAATCTTATTTCTAGTTCTAATGAGAGTGATGTGTTGTTCTTTGTTCTTGGCCTTGTTCACTCACTTTATCGATTGATTTGATTTGGTTACTGCAACTTATAGCTGAAGTCACCATTGGATTGATTTGATTATTGGTTTGGTTTCGTAGTCTATTACTACATTTCAGTGTCTTTTTCATGTTACCTTAAGGTAGTGATGAGTGTGACCAAAGTAAGACCAACATTATCAAAGGTATCTTAGAGCTAAGATTTACATAAGTCTGACCTAAAGAACGAATTCGTGTGGTTTTTTATTTTTACAGTGGACTTATTATAGTCAAAGGTCAATTTTAGTTTACAGTCTAAACTTTGGTCAAGTTAGTCTCTCAGTAAACGAAAACCTTAGTGAGCTTTTAATATCTCAAACCAACTCTTTTGCAATGTCTCTAGACGAAGGGTGATAGTATGTTTAATTTTGTTGACCACATAGATCCAAAAACGTGGTGAGACAAACCTGTGAATGTGTGCTGGTTTGGTTGCCACGATAACTAACAAACAAAGTTCTGTACATTTCTCAAAAATTGATGATGGTCCAATGACACAGTAGTAGATCGCATTTAAGGTACGAGTCAGTAATATAATAAATTTGTTGTCAGAACAGTGAGCAAACCAACATAGTTTTATCTCCTCTTTACATATACTACTTCCAAAGTTCTAGCCACAACCACAGAGAGAGAGAGCACACGTAATCACAAGCCATGAACCAAACCAAAACCTCCACCGACGATGAAAACACCAAACCGGCCTCCACTGTACCGGAATGGACAAGGGAAACAATCAACGGTGGCTCGTTCCGTCACGTTGGCCTCAACACAGGAACCAACGGCTGGGCATCACCACCAGGTAACGTTTTCCCTCTCCGTTCACGAAACTACTTCACCACAAAACAGAAGTCTCCCGGAGGAGACTACCTCCTCTCTCCCGCCGGAGTGGACTGGCTCAAATCCACCAAAAAACTCGACCATGTCCTCTCTCGTCCCGACAACCGTATAGCTCACGCAAACAAAACCTCTCAATCTCCTAGCAGCTTCATCTTCGCTGTTAATATCCAGATCCCAAGCAGAGAACACTACTACTACAGCTTTGTCATCTACTTCGCAACGCAAGAACCAATATGTTCAGACTCAATCCTCCACAAACTAATCAACGGAGACGAAGACGACACTTTTAAACGTGACGAGAGGTTCAAGATTGTTAGCAACGTTGTGAAAGGTCCTTGGGTTGCTAAAGCAGCTGCTGGGAAGTTTGGTGCGTTCGTTGCTGGCAAAACTGTGAAGTGTAGTTATCATAGAGGAGCTAACTATCTTGAGATCGATGTTGACATAAGCAGCTCAGCGATCTTGACAGCGCTTGTTAGGTTTATGTTAGGGTTTGTTACAAGTTTGACGGTTGATATAGGTTTTGTCGTGGAGGCTCATACGGAGGATGAGTTGCCTGAGAGATTGATCGGTGGTGTTAGGATTTGTCATATGGAGTTATCTTCTGCGTTCTTGGTTGATGATGATGAGAAGAACAAGGATGATATGAAACAACGGCGGAGGATGATGGGTGCGGCGGAATAAGAGATTACGTACGGCGAGGATGTGAATTTGAGATTTGGAAACGAAGTCAACTGTTTCTTATTTAATAAAATTAAATATGAGCTGTATAAAGATACTAGTTTAATTATTCTTGTGTTCCACGATGAGATCATATGAGAATAAGGATTTGAGATTCTTCTTTTATGTTTGACTTTGTTTTTATTGAACTGGAAAGCATTGCATTACAAAACAAGAAGAGTTAGCTATTTCTTGAAGATGAAAGTAACAACAGCTGATCCGATAGGAAAGCTATTGTCACAATTGCTTCCATTTCCATTCTTGTTGGAGTAACTTGGAAATGCCCATTTGTCAAACTTCATTTGGTTAATAAAACGCAAACCTTCTTCTTCAGCGAGAGTCTTTATATCCCACTTGTTAAATGGATGCATTGTGATATGAATGATATGAAACTCTCCTACATCTTCTTCTTTCATCATCTCTTTTGCACTCTTCATAAATCCACCAACCACCCCATGTAGTTTACTGTGAATTTTACAAACAAATTTTGAAAAAAATATCACATATATTTATCTAATAGGAAAATTATATGAATTTTTTTTTATCTTATACTTTCAATATGATGAGAAGTATAAGCTCTCATTCTGATTTCTGAACAACACAAAGCTTACCCTGCATGAGGACAATAAAAGAGGATAACATCGTATCGAGCTAAACGATTGTCTGAAGTGATGGAGTGTACGTTAACACCACGGACCACGGTGCATCCAAGTCTCTCCAACTCAACCACGTTCTCTTTTCCATTGTTGTAATTACGTCCTAGGTTCTCTACCATATACCACATAAACATTAATTAATCACCAAAATTGATCAATCTATCGTTGAGTAATTCCTTGTGGTGAAGAAATATTAGATCAAAATGGTAACAATAACAAAATGTTTTACTACGTACTACGTACCTCGAATATCAAGGGATGTTGCAGTGAAGTTGGTGGCAGAACCAAAGGCTTTGGCTAAAGACAAAGAAAATGAAAAATCTCCTTCTCCGACCACAAGTATTTGCTTATTGCTAAACCTTAACTCTTTAGATTCGTGAGTGTCCATTTCAACAACATCTACATGTCTTTTCAACTTACGCACACCATGTCCTTTATATACACATGGATGCATGACTGATGAGTTGTCAAACTAAGAGCATTTTAGTGTTAAATGTTCGGTTTTGTATGTCTCTTCGAATTCTGTGATCATTTATGTATTTGGAAGACCATTTGTATTCTATAAAAGAAGACTCAAAAGAAACTTCTTCTTTGTTCAAAAATTCTTTTTATTACGAGTTTGGTTAACTTTAGTTTTGGTTTAGGATCATGCATGAATTTTATACTTGCGAAGGAAGTGACTTTCTCGTTTTACAATCTTTTTCAAGCAAGTGATGAAATTATATTTGTTGAAAACCCTTTTTATTAGTAAAAATTCATAATACTACACATGACAATTTTTCTAGTTCTTTTTTTTTTGATAGGGTTTTTAATGATAATTACCACAAAGATTATCCAAAAGTTTAATATCATCATAATCATTTTTCAAATATTATTTCATATGATAAAGTATAATAATGAGTAACGGTCATAGTTGGTGGCAAGCTTTTTTGTAAAAGGTGATAACATCCCAAAGATGTTGGGATGATATTTGTTTTGTTATAAAGAAATGAAAATGGACTTTTTCGTATATATAAAAAATCAGTTAAAAAGTAGGGGTGAGTGGTGACAAGATCTATTTTGATCTTTGTTGAATTATTAACAAACATTACAAATGTTTCTAAATCATTCTCCATAACGAATCTAAATAGTTTAATACTTCAGTAATACTTTTTGACTTTTCTTTGTCACTGACATAAGAATGTTCTTAGTAAGAAGAGTCAAAGACAACGATGTGTTTTGGTCACAGCAAAGCCTGACCTTTGCTTTCGTCTCTCTTGATCTGAGTTTTATCCTTTCATTTCTCTAACATCATTTTTCTATATCTTCTTTGTCTTTTAGACCAAACCCACATCAAAAGTTTCGACCTTTGAGCTCAAAACGAAGTCAAATCTTGAATCTATTCACTCTCCTTACAGAAGAACTAGTTATGGAAGTAGAAGAGGAAATCCTTGAAAACGGCGGATCCGTAAATGTGTTTGAAGGAGAAAGTAAGTTTCGTAATGTGGTCTGTGGTCCTGTGCGGTGGCTAAAGATGTTGGCCTTAGAGCTTCACTGGACCTTTCTCTTTGGTGTGGTCTCAATTTATGGAATAAACCAAGGGTTTGGTAACTCATTGGGTAAAGTAGCTACAGAGTATTACATGAAAGATGTTCAAAAGGTTCAGCCTTCTCAATATCAAAGTCTCTTTACAGTCACTAAGATTCCATGGATCATTAAGCCTCTTTGGGGTATTCTCACTGATGTTGTTCCCATCTATGGTTCCCACAGAGGTCCTTACTTCATCATAGCTGGTAAGAATGTCACTTTCCAAACCGGATCAAAGTCTTTGAAATTGTCTGATCAATTACACGAATTCATTATGTTTTTGTAATGTGTTTTTTTGCAGGGGTGCTTGGAGTGGTTTCTTTTCTGTTCCTATCGGTTCAGAGTAATCTAAACCTTTACTTGGCACTGTTTTGGATGACTATATCAAGTACAGGAACGGCCATAGCTGATGTAACCATTGATGCTTGCATTGCTTACAACAGTAACGAACACCCGTCTCTTGCACCGGATATGCAGACTTTTTCCAATTCTAGCTCCTCCATTGGAGCACTTATTGGTTCCTTCATGAGTGGTATCTTACTTCATCTTGTTGGCTCCAAGGTTAGCCAATCGTTTTGCTTTGTGATCTTTTCCATTTGTGATTCCTCTCTAATGATGTGTTTGGCTTGCTTTTTCAACATTATAGGGCGTGTTTGGCCTGCTTGCATTTCCATTCGCCTTCGTAATTGTAGTTGGAATCTTGTTTAAGAAGCCCAAAAAGGTAAACCAGATCACATTTACCGATGCAATGAACGCGATGAAGAGCACAATGGAGCGCTCAGAAGTGTGGCGTCCGAGTGTGTTTCTATGCATTTCCTTTGCTCTGTGTTTGGACATTCACGAAGGTCTTTGCTCTGTGTTTGGACATTCACGAAGGTCTTTGCTCTGTGTTTGGACATTCACGAAGGTCTTTTCTGTTGGTAACCTTTGGCTTGCGGTTTTGGTTAGGAATGTGATGAGACTTTTGCCGCTCTGTTTCCTGTTACTTGTGCCCGAAGGAAACCCGAAAACGTTCACGCTACTGAATGAAAGAACTGGGAATGTGGAAATGACAAATCGTGAGACAGTGGTCAAAGAAGAAAGAAATATGCTTTTGGAGTCGGGCACCTCTCCTTCCGATAGGAGCTAGCAACAGTATACAAGTTTTTGTGTTTTCTTGATACAGAAGAAACAAACATCTCTGTAACTCATTAATTCATGACAACATTGTTGTTGTTACGCCCTAGCTCCTTTACCAAACATCGTACATGTATGGTATTAATCACAAGACTCGATAACAATTCAAAACAAAATTTGATGATTTAGATTTTAGTATACTACCTCGAGTATATCAAGAGATGTTGCAGTGATGTTGGTGGCAGTGGCTCAACCAAAGGCTTGGGCTAGAGACAAAGAAAATGAAAAATCGATCCTTCTCCGATCAAAAGTATTTTGCTTATTGCTATATTTGTCTTAACTTTTTAGATTTCTGAACATCCATATAAGTACACATGTATAACACATAATGAATACATGCATGCATGAGTCTAATTAATTAAGCGAATTTAGTTTCAAGTGTTTTGGTTTTGTAATTTGTCTTTTCGAACTTTGTGATCATTTATGTACTTTAAAGACATATTGTATGAAATTAAGAAGAAGGTCAAACTTCTCTTCTTTTTTTTTTTTTTTTGGGTTCAAAATTTATATTTATCACGGGTTTGTGTAAATCTTTATTTTCTTTAGTTTAGGATCAACAGTTTTATTTGGCACTAATATATATCATATACGTACGAAGGAGTGGACTTGATGAATGATGATTCTACATTCTTCTTATTATACTTATTAAAAATCTTTAGTATTTTGTAATTAGGTTTATCAATGACAAACCCACCACAAGTCCACAACATCATCCAAAAATTAAATATTCATATGACAAAATATAACAATAAGTAACAGTTCGTAGTTGGTGGCAAGCTTTTTTTTTGTCTATTTCTATAAAACTATTAACAAACATCCCAAAGATGGTGGAATTGATATTTGTTAAAGAAATGAAAATGGACTTTTTGGTGTATCAAAATCAGACGAGAAGTAGTGCCGTAGTGGTGACAAGATCTATTTCGATCCAACTGTATCCGGACACGTTCATAAAAAGGAGATATACTAGGTTTTTATAAAAAAAATAAAAATAATGTTTTGTTGTTCCTTTGTTTTCTTTGCCTTGCTGAAATAGAAAAAAGTAATACAATGCATAAATAGTTAAATACATAAATTAAAATTATTTCATTCTAATATACTTAACTAAAATTTAATTTTATTTAGGACTTTAACAATAAAATAAAAAATAAAAAAATACTTGTGTAGAGAAAAAAGAAAAGTCAAAAAGTATTGATGAAGTATTATTTAGGTTTGTCAATGGTAACTAGCTTAATTAATTTAAAGTAATTTCATCTTCTCTTTCTTGAATTATTATTAACTAACCTTACAAAATAAAATTCTAATGAATAGATAGACCAAAAGAAAATAGAAACAAAGACCTCATAAATTCAATTAAAAAGTTTCAATTTTTCAGGTAAAATTGCCAAAAAAAAAAAAAAAAAAAAAGCTGTGTGTGTTTTCAGGAAAATAAAATAGACAAAGAATGTTCTTAGCAAAGAGACAAACAAAAGAGATGTGTGTGTTTTGGTCAAACGTATTAAGCAGCAAAAGCTTGGCCTTTCCCTTTTCGTCTCTTCTCTCTGATCTGAGTATTATCCTTTCATTTCTTTAATCTTCCTTCTTCTTTAGTTCAATGGGCATTTATTTGTTCATCATACCAAAACAGGTCAACGAAGCTTCATGTCTGCCTATTTCGTTCTTGTTTCTTTAAGCTTTGATTGAAGATTCGTCATTTTAAATTCCCAAATCTTTGCTTTTTGACTTGCCTTACACCAAAAAGATTCATCCTTTTGGTCTGAGCTCAATCTAGTCCAAGAAATATCCACACTTCAGACAACTCTGTTCCTCGGATCTGTTTTTTAAATACCAAACCCATATCAAAAGTTTCGACATTTGAGCTCTAAACGGAGTCAAATCTTGAATCTTTCTCTTCTTAACAGTTATGGTAGTGGAAGAGCAAAACCTTGAAAACGGCGGATCCGTACATGTGGTCAAAGGAGAAAGCCATTTCCGTAATGTGGTGTGTGGTCCTGTGCGGTGGTTAAAGATGTTAGCCTCAGAGCTTCACTGGAGCTTTGTGTTTGGTGTGGTCTCACTGTACGGAATAAACCAAGGTCTTGGTGGCTCATTGGGTCGTGTAGCTACAGAGTATTATATGAAAGATGTTCAAAAGGTTCAGCCATCTGAATCTCAAGCTCTCACTGCAATCACTAAGATTCCATGGATCATTAAGCCTCTTTGGGGGATTCTCACTGATGTTCTTCCCATCTTTGGTTTCCATAGACGTCCTTACTTCATCTTAGCTGGTAAATGCCACTGATCAAATTATCTGCTATTGTCTCATTAGCTATAAATTTTATATGTTATGTAATGTGTTTTTGCAGGGGTGCTTGGAGTGGTTTCTTTGTTGTTCATATCACTTCATAGTAATCTACATCTTTACTTGGCGCTTTGGTGGATGACTATATCAAGTGCTGCAATGGCCATAGCAGATGTGACCATTGATGCTTGCACTGCTTACAACAGTATCAAACACCCTTCTCTTGCATCGGATATGCAGAGTTTATGCAGTTTAAGCTCCTCCATTGGAGCACTTCTTGGTTTCTTTATGAGTGGTATCTTAGTTCATCTTGTTGGCTCCAAGGTTAGAGAACTGTCTTGACTACTGTGATCTTTGTTATTCAAGATTCCTCTCTAATGCTGTGTTTGGCTGATTTTTCGACATTAGGGAGTGTTTGGCTTGCTGACATTCCCATTCGCGTTAGTATCCGTAGTCGGGATTGTGTTTAATGAGCCCCATGTTCCTGGTTTCTCTTACAAACAGGTAAATTTCTATTTTATCTGCACTAGTTTGGTTCCTACCAATATGTGATTGTTGACTCTTGCTGCATCATTTTCAGGTAAACCAGAAATTCACGGATGCAGGGAAAGCGATGTGGAGGACAATGAAGTGCTCAGATGTGTGGCGTCCGAGTTTGTATATGTACATTTCCCTTACTTTTGGTTTGAACATTCATGAAGGTCTTTTCTATTGGTTCACGGATTCAAAGGATGGTCCTTTGTTTGCTCAGGTAATCTTAACACAAGCCGTTTCTATTTTCAAGATCCACCCGGAAATGCATAATATGTTGAAAGCTTTTCTGGTTTGTTTCAGGAAACTGTTGGTTTCATTCTCTCAATTGGTTCAATCGGGTCGATTCTAGCAGCAATGTTGTACCAGCTAGTCCTAAAGGATCATCCGTTCCGTAGCCTATGTTTGTGGACTCAACTTCTCTTTGCTTTATCCGGAATGCTTGACCTCATTCTTGTGCTACGTCTCAACTTGAAATTTGGTTTACCGGATTACCTCTTCATAGTAGTGGACGAGATAGTTTCTCAGATGATCGGTCGCCTGAAATGGATGCCGCTACTCGTCCTCACTTCAAAGCTTTGTCCTCACGGAATTGAAGGGACCTTCTTTGCGTTGTTAATGTCAATTGACAATGCAGGCCTCATGACCTCATCTTGGCTCGGTGGAATATTGTTGCACGTCCTCAAGGTGACTCGGACTGAGTTTAGCAACCTCTGGCTTTCGGTTTTGGTCAGGAATGTGATGAGACTTTTGCCGCTCTGTTTTCTGTTTCTTGTGCCTAAGGGAGATCAGAACACGTTCAAGCTACCGGATGAGATAATGGGCGAGGATTCGGAAGAAGAGGAAGACGAAAAAGAAGGAACTCGGAATTTGGAGTTGGCATCTCTTGTTCAGTCTGTTGACAGAAGATAGCTTATAGTGTTCTCAGTGCTCTCGTGTTATAGTGTTTGAAGCAAATGCTTCAGTTTTTCAGCAGCTTCTACAAATTTTACTGGTGGATAGTGAAATGGCATTACATTTTTCTCTGAATAGATAATAAGTTCATGTTGTTTTGGGTGTAGAAGAAAACATCTTTAGTGAAATTAGGGGACTAATCTACTTATACATCTAAGAAAAACATATGAATCCTGCAGAAGAAACAATGAACGAGGAATCTTTCAGAAATTGGAATACACAATTACAAGCTGTGTATGGGAACAAGTTCTACATATCTTCTTGGATTTAGAAAGGAACACAAACAGGTTAAAATCTTTTCATAGGAAGATAATTTCCAGTCATGCAAAAGAACAAACCATGAGGTGAGAACAAACATAATCATCATCTCGTGCCTCGTCTGCGCCAGTCCCTGTCTCTCTCTTTGCTTCTATCATGATCATCTCGATCGTGGCTTGAACTCTTTTCACGTCGGTCCCGATCCCTATTCAAATCTTGTTGCCTATCTCTGTCTCTGTGTCTCTCTCTATCCCTATCCCTGTCTCTATCCAAGTCATGATCTCTCTCCCTCTCCCTGGTTAATGATTTCCGCGGCGGACTGTGACTCTTGTTTTCCCCACGTTGCCGCTTTTTAGAAGATTCTCGAGAATCTTCTCGCCTCTCCTTCCGCTCTATTATTGATTTCTCTGCAGTTCAGATCAAAGATTGAATTCATAAGGGTCAACTGGATCAACATGAACATGGCCATGTCCTGGACTATACCAGATGCTGCCAGTTCCCGTGATGAGAGCATTTCCAGAAAAGAGGAAGCAATTGAAAAACAAAGCTAAATCAAGAAACATGGCACGCGAAAGTCAAAATCAACAAAAGTTCAAGAGAGCATATGCAACTCAGAGTTCTAAATAAAAACATTAGAGAAGACTATCACTTGATGACAAAAAAAAAAAAAAAGAGAAGACTATCACTTATACAAAAGGAAACGATTTGTCCTTAGTTGTTAGCTATCATTGTCAAACTTCTGGAGTCCAGAAGTTGTTATTAAGAATACATTCACTGGAACGAGTAGTTCAAATTTCCAGTTTTTTCAAATCAGCAAACACAAAAACAAAAACAAAGGAAAAACATTTGTAAATGACGGAACAGGTTTTTGGAAATAACTTGGCATTAATACTTGCCCTAAATTTAAGATGGAAACACCAAACTCAAACATTGATAGTGTTTGAGACGCACTCATGCATGTGTAATGCCTCAGTTACACATGAGTATGAGAAACTGAGCTAAAGAATTTGCAGAAAGTAAGCCAAGTTTCGCCCATTGTTGCATCAATGGACATAAGGCAAATTAACAACCTTCCCCAAAACAACAGAAGAGTATATGTAATTTGAAGTAAGAACTTACGATTTCTGTTGCCCTCGTTAGATCCTAACAAGCCATAATCAACTTCAAGCCTCTTTCTGTTGATTTCTACTTTTCTCTCTATCTCCTCGGAGTTTTTCATCCCTTGTTCCTCCAGAGTTTCACGATACTCTATCAAAGCAACTTCTATGCGTCTACGCTTTTGTCTGCAGTAACAGAAAAACAGAGCAAGGGAGAAGTCTACTGAGTTTCAAATTATACAATTGAATAGTAACTTCTAGGGAATCGTAAGTTTTCATTTTTCTTGTAAACATTACAGTATTGGTGCAAGCCATGTATGAGACTAAGGGTTTAGAAAAATCCGGGTTTATACAATTGATGCGTATGCCCTAAAATTTCTATGGTATAAGTTATCCACCTTACGGTGATTTTTCTCCTTCCTGGAACTATTTCGAGTTATTCTTTGATGTTTTTTATGCTCCAGCACCAACATGAGCAATAATGCAATTGGTGTTTTTTTGCCTGCTTACGTCACTTTCCTTATATATTTTTAAAAGTGATGCATTGATCATACCTTTGTTCCTCATCCATTCCATTGTCAGGTTGGACACGGACACAATCATTACCCTTGAGATCCTCGTCATCAGCCTTGAAAGTTATCCCACCAGCATTGTCACTTCCTGAAGAGGAGCTTCTCTTTTGTTCATCATCAGCTTCGTCATCGTCTCTCGCCCATTTTGAAGCTGGCAATATGAGTTCATTCTTCTCTTTTCCCATAAAGGCTTTCAGCTCAGGCTGTGGGATTGGTATTGTCGTGGCCAGATTCACAGGCTCTTTCATTTCAACTTGTGCGTAGCTGTTGTTGATATGCTCCTTCTCAGTCTTATCTTCTTCCCAAGTTGAATGGTCTTGCGGATGCTTTGAAATTACATCCACTGCTTCATAGCCACGTTGTTTATCTGTGTCTTCAAGGCTTAGTAGCCTGGTAACCATCATCACTCTACCTCCTACAAGAGACAGTCCGTTGTGCCGGCAACGTCTCTCAAGCTCTGCAATTGGTAAATTCATCAGCTCTTGTCTTGCAGCTCCTTTGCCTATTGCCAGTGCAGCATCTGGATTGATCTTACCAATAGAACTCATATTGTCAACGTAACTTTTGTTCTCTATGTCAGGTGAATCACCACAGATAGAATGAAATGAGGTAACACCCGAGACTCCTGATCGGAGAAATGTGGAGCGTAGTCCATATATGTATGCGTCTGAAAAGAGAAACCAATCTGCCCATACTTGCAGTACTTTGAGAACCCGTTCCTGCAAAAAGATTCCGAGAGAATTTAGAACAGTACAGTTACAGGGAAAGAAAACCATCAAATATCATTTTTCTTTCTGACAGTACTTTTAGAGCCTCAGCCGTGATTCTTCCAGTTATGCTTCGATACAGATCATTGAAACTTTCCATTATGTCGGGTAGAGTTGCTTCGAATTTAGTCCGGTATGCAGATGCGTTTTTAACACGTGCACTGCTATTATGAAGAATATCAGACACAAGCATGAGTCTAGCAACTTTATTTGGAATTGGGGTCTCTTTTAGGGTCAGGGACTCCGTCAAAAATTCAACGACCTGTGGAAAGTACAAATATGTAAGCAGGAAAAGGCATTTGAATATCTATTTTAAAAACAAGTAAATCATTTTCAGTGTTCATTGTAATATCTAGAAGAAAAAAAAAAACACCTGAACATACAATTAATAGGAAACGTAGATTTTGGTCCAATAACAGGTTATCTTTCTAAATATGTTTTAGGCGTAGTATGCATTTTTTTACTACTGCATACAAATTAACCAATACTCAGAAAATTTTATAACAATATTGAAACATATGTTAAAGCTTCTGAATAATATGTATGAAGTATGGGATCTTCTGTAAAAATAAATGTATCGAATCTAACTAACATATAATACCTCTCCAGCCGCATCTGCATTATCTAAAGCAAAACCCATAGCTTCTTTTATCTGACTCCTTTCTAAAGTAAGAGCACGTAACACTTTCTCGAACTCATCCCTCTGAGGATCGGTCAGAGTCCTCTCAGCTTCTGCCCGCTGTAAAAATTCACCAGTGTGAGGTATCCCGCACACCCAAGGAAAACCTTAGGGAACAAAAAAAAAAGGAAATAAGTAAGATTACCCTGCTTCTACCAGCTGCATATGTGCTGGCCGACTCTTTTTCATGCTCCTGGGTCCTAGTTACAGGCAGTGGTGGCGGTATCCATCTGCAGTAAGAGTAAATAGAAAGTGTTGACAGATCTCATATGCAAAGGTGAACGAAACCGAACACCCGGATCAGTTTCAACATTTGCAAGGCTCACTACCTTCCACTACCAGTTATCATGATATACGGCTCTGTTCTCCACCTCTGAAGTGTATCACCCTAAGCAACACAAAAATAATCATCAGCTCATAACAATGTAAAGCTCGAGGAGAAACTAAGATATACATAGTTACAAAGCAATCAAAGTGTACCTGAGCAAAGGAATAGAGTCTCCAGACGTAGTAAGTATGCTCCTTTGAGCCAAGCTCAAACAAAAACTTAAACATTGGATTACCACGGCCCCTCTCCATGATAGCTTGTTCAAAGGCGCATTCACCATCCAGAACATAGAGAGCCATCGTATCAATCACATGTCTGAGGTGCTCGTCCTCAGGAGTAACAACAGTGATATCAGGAACATTAGGAGTAAGAACCTGTTCAACGCAAGAGAAGTTCATTTAGAATATGATTACTAAACACAGGTAGCTGATAACAGTGTCATCATCTACAGGGGCCACATCAGTAATTTAGTCGAACTAGATCATTACAAACAAGAGAAGCATAAAGTACTGAGAAGTTGGAAGTATTTGGGGACTGGTTTGGGGCCATTGGGTGGTTTGGGGAAGTAGAGGATGCACTAAAAATAGAATTTATCCCAAGATTGGTTTTTAGTTCTTCTTATGTCTTAGATTACTTCAAGAAGTAACGACAATCAATCCTGGAACTTAATAGTAACATTTCCAAACTATATAGTAATATCATATTCAACATATAAAAAAACCAATTCAAGCCATGCGTAACCAAGTTTACATACCAGCTCAGAGTTTTGATTCGGAACAGAAGTTATTGGTGGACCCGTTTGACCAGAAAAAACTAAGTTGCAGCCCTGCCAATGAAAATATATGAACTATTAGATTTACACTAAACAGATATAAAACTGGCAGTCAATAATTTCTGTACAAAAAAAATGGCAAGGTAATACCAATAAATTAAGAGATCAGGCCCATTCCTAGATTAGTGAATAGAATAAAAGAAGAAATGTATCAGGGCTAGCAGCACAGTATGCATCACAAACCTCTTTACTCCGAATAGCCATATGTCCAGGTGGTGGAGCGGGTAGTGCTTGTGACGGTAGAGATACTGCTTTACCCCATCCAATCTTAAGTTCATACTCATAGACGATGATTCCTGTTAAAATTGGGAAACTTCCTTCATAACTTTCTTTAACGTTGTCACATGCAATCATGTTGTATAGCTAGTACAAAACCAGTCGACCATAGATAGATAGACTAGTAAATAATGCCAGAAGGGTCATAAGTTTCCATCATTGACCAACCACCGATCAAAAAAGAAAAGAAAAAGGTACCAACAGAAAGCAGTAATAGTGAAGATAGCAGAGACAAAAGAAACAAAAGACAAGGTTCCAAAGTAAGGCAGTACTAATGACTAAAACTAACGCCAAAGCAATGCCATGTGATGAATATTGATACATATTTCTTTGACACTGACACAGGCTTTGCGCATATGAAACCAATCAAATTTTTTGGAACTGAAGTACTTAAGCTAACATACTTACAAAGTATAAGGCCTAACAAATATCACACATTACGTTGCGAATGATTTTTAGCCCAGACTACAATAGATAGTTTTAGAGAGAAGAGAGGCTAGCTAACCTTGCATTTCATCTTTTGCAGCTTGTCCATCAGCCCTATTCATGAAGGAAACAAAGCCACAGTTTCTCTGTCGCCTCTTCTCCTCATCTGTTCTTGGCCACATAATCTTCACACTAGCTATGGGCCCAAATCTTCCAAAAGTGCGCAGAAGGAAATTCTCATCGACCTACGTGAGCATAAAGGTTATACTTATGAATACTAAGAAAACATTGGCGAGAGAAACAAAACATGAATCCAAGTGAAAAAAGAAATACCTTTGGGGAAAGATTCCCAACATACAGATTCGTAGTTTGTGGGTCACCATCGTCAAACGATCCTGGCCTTCCACTGGGATCAAAATCATCAGGTAGCTCATCAAAGCGGCTAGATGGCTGAAGATAGAATAAGTTTAGTAGAGAAAGCAGGGCATAACTCTCTAAAAGACAGTGCAGAGTTAAAATCTGAGAGCAGAACACAGATAAAAAAAGAGTGCAAGAGTACGATGAACGAACCGAGTTATCGCCCTGACGGTCACGATCCTGATTTCGTCTCTCTCTCATTTCTTGTTCGCGTTTCAACTCCTCCATAAAATGATCTATATTTCGAGTCTTACCCTTTTCTCTTTCCTTAGGTCTCTCCTCTTCCCTCTAGAAAGATGAAATAAATGAACTTACAACTTAACCATCACTGCTTCAAATGAACAACCCAATTAACAGTGACAAAGGCCATGCTACTGACCTTCTTCTCCGGTTCTTTACCCTTAGATGCCAGTGGCGGTGGAAGGAAAGAGGGAACATACCTGCATAGATTACGTGAAAGATAATCTTCTATACACAAGAATACACGCAAGGATTTCAACTTATCAAGCAATACCTAAGAACATCATTCCTAAGACCCAAACCATTTACCAATAAAGCATGACGACCTCGGCTAACAACAAATACAGGACTAATTTTATTCTACTCAACCTTATAACAACCAAACCAAAAGTGCATACTCATCGACGCAAATCACGAGCGGTCAAACTCTTTATGATAGCAACCGAATATCGATCAATCAAAAGCAATCAGTTTTACCTACTCCCCTTCTTTGAAATCGAACCCCCATCTTTGGACTTTTCACCTGCCATCCGCGAACGCATAGAAAAAAAAGGTCCATACTCTTATTAATGTGTTCCCAATATAATCAAAGCATCGCTCTAACCATTTGACACCATCAAAAAAAAGTACACACAGAGAGAGAGAGGCAAGGTAACAACATCTAATTAAAAGCCGTAGCCTTTTCAGAGACTAACCTTCAGAATCAACCTTAGGCTTGTCTCCTGGATTAATAGTCCCACCTCGAACAAAAGTCTTAGTAGTTGCACTATCCCCTTGAAACGATTCCACGAATTCTTGATACAAACGAGCCGTTTCATCCTCCGCTTTCTGCGATTAAGATCCAAAAACATCTCCGATGAACAAATGCTCAAATTTGATTGAAGTTTTCGATTCATGAAAAATACAAACCTTCTTCCGAGCTTCTTCTTCTTCTCTATGTTTCTGGAATGGCGTTTTCTTCCGGTTAATTGAGAATGAACTCATTTCTCCAGCATCCAACTTCTCCTCGGGTAACTTGTAGCCGCGAGCTAAAACCCTTTAGCCCGCTCGTTGAGGATGATACTGGGAAGCTTATTAGCGGATTGAGAAAGATACAGTAACTATGAATTTCTGATTCGGATTCAGAACTAGGGTTTGGAGGTAATCGAGAAGGGTGACGAATTGATCAAAAGAAGCTAGGGATTGAAGAGAACACCAAGACGAGCTAAAAAAAAATAACGATTGAGAATTTATTTTTATTTTTATTTTTTAAAACTAGATAATACTGTATGCTTACAAAAAAAACCAATATTTTCCTACCAAAAAAAAAAACCAATATTTTCAGTAGTCTTTTATTTACTTATGGAATTTCAAACCAAAAAATGTCTTTCTACAAAATTAATATTTTAAAATTATATTCTCAGTCTCATTGCAAATTTACCTCAAATTTGATGGTTAAATCTTTATATTGTATACTAAAATATTTTATTGGTTCATTGATTTTTTTCTTCGGTTATAAACATTTTTTTTGGCTTTTCAACCAGAAATGACAACCAAATAGTGTATATTGTTTTGGATGCACATAAAAAAAATTTACAATCCTATGAAACAAGAAAGCATGGTAATGACCAAAACCATGGTAAAGGACTCATATTAGATCGTTTTTACCGTATTCTTTATGCAATGCATATTAATCATACATAAAATTATAATCATGTGAATCAAGAGGGCATCGCAATGACCAAAACTATGGTAAAAGACTTAGAGTATATCATTTTTACCGTATTCTTTATGCAATGCATATTAATCCTCCAGCTTTCTTGTCCTTCAAATACTTTCTGATTGTCATCTAGAGAACGCGTGAAGCCATGAAGAAATTCATATAATATTTAGAAAATTTTATTAATATTGAAATTAGACATCTAAATTTTGAAAAACCATAGTTTACCTACACATTTGAATCATGATATTTTTCACTTCATGTCCATTTAAAACCTAATGTGGATTTTGAAATCAAACAACAAATAATTAAACAAACAAGATGAAGATTGTAATTATATTTAGAGAATCAATGAATGAATAAAGATGATGACTTAAGGATCGAATAACATATAAATTTGTTTTGAATTTTTAAATAATTTAAAATTCATGAGCCAATACCAGTCCACCCCCCTCCCCATCTTGAAATCAGATTGCTTGAGCATGACATGTATTTTTGTGAAGAAGATGTCATTTTGAAATCCTTTTGCATAGAATTCTAAAATTTGATTAGTTTTTCAAACAAATAAAAACGTGATACTTCTATGAGAGAGAGAGAATATATTTACCAAAAATAAAGATATTAAAATTTGGTAATATAACAACTTTTGGTGGCTGATTCTTCTCTTGAATTTTATTTATTTATTTAATTATTAATATTTAGTTTAGTTTTTTCGAATGAGAGAAATAAATAGAGACGTAGTCTTTTACATACTTTTATATAGAGAGAGTCTGTTGGTTAAAGAGTGATATGCTAAGTTTATCAACATTCGACCACTTTTACGTAAATTAGTTTTTTAAATTTACCACAAATTCTGTACAAGTTTTCCGAATAACCTATATTAAGTATTAGTTTGATAATTTGATATTTGGTGAATGACTTAAGTATTGATCTTACCCCTTTTTGATGTAAGTCGTATTCATGCTGTAAAATAGCAAATATTGCTTCAACCGGATGTCTTTTGAGAATTTCAAACACTTAGTCCATTTAACGAATATTTTTGTAAACTTTGATGTAAACCAAAGTGTGTAGATTACAGTAATGCTCATGCTCATTTACCGAGCATCCCGTGAATGGTCTATCCACTTTTTTTGAATAACATTCATCATAACATATTCCATGCCTGCTTTGCAAGATAGACTTTAATAATAATAGTTTGTTTTTTCCCTTGTCAATATATATGTCAACTGTTCGTAGCATTCCGTTCGAGTTTTATTCATTCTGGTATTTTCTATATTTTGACAAGAAAAACATGGAATACCATTTTAAAAAGAGAAATCTGGAGGGTAAAAATTATATTTGGTTGCTATGATTTACAAATGATATAAGTTTCACCTTATTTGAACTGTTTTAACTAATTTTTTTATGAGAATATATCAAACAATAACAATACAAAAAAATAATTGATTATTGTAAATCTTCAATCAAACAACTAAAAGTCTTTTAATATAGACATTGTAAATATAAAAACCAATAACACTTCAAAATAAAATAAAAATTAGTAAAAGTTAGAAACCCTTTTAAAACCTTATAAATATTTGGATGACTTCTCCTAAAAGTAATTATTTAGAAATATCTTATAACCCATAAAATGGATTGAGGCATTTTTTTTAAAGGTATATAATTGAAAAATGGGTATTTTTCAAAATTTCTTAAAAGTCATAAAAAATAAAATAAGTTTTTTTTTTCTTTTAATAATAATAGTAGAATAAGTTATGATATGGTAATAGATCATGCGGTGAAGTTCTTGTCAAATGAACTCATAAAGTATTTCATTATTTGGCAGCGGGTGATGGTTGAGTAGTGTTCATCGTAGTGATGTCTTCAGTTCTCATTGTGTGTGCATCCAAGAACTGTGTGATAAAGACTATAAGTACCCAATTTTCAAAATCTTAAATTACAAGACGTTTTACCACCATAACGTACCCAAAATGGACAAAACAAAGTAATTACATTCCAACATACTGTATTTCGTCATGGATGTTTTCTACTCTTCCTCTGTATCCACAACAATTTTAAACTGAATAAGCTTTGCACTCTTCTCTTTGAACAACCAATCAATTAAACAAGGATCCCGAAAACAAAACCAAAAACAAAAAACATACATGTGGACTTCGTTGTGGAGCTCAATGGTGTTTGATAAATCTACAAAACCATTTGGTTCTTTTCCTTGATGACTCCTTTAGTCACCACGATTAAACCTGGAAGCAGCTTTTAAAGTTTAAGACGGAACAGATTCCGTCAGTTCTTGTAATTTTTTCAGACCAACGGTGGCTATGAGTTCCATAGAAACAAAAACTTCGTAAGATTTTGCCTCTTCTTCTCCTTCTTCTTCATCTTTGAGACCGCATGTGAGTTTAAGTTTCTCTGCCTCGGATTCTGCTTCTTGCGCTTCCTCGAGAAGAAGATTAGCTTCTTCGAGGTCGCTCAGTTCCAGAGCAGCTGAACTCTCTGCCTTTGCAGTCCCACTGTCGATCCGTAACCTCTGGAATCTGCTGATCGCCAATTCTTTTTCTTTTGACAGAATCAACACCTCTATCTCTTGTAGCCTCTTGATGGTTTCTTCAATCTCATGTTCTGCTTTTTCAAGCTCAGCGTTAGCTTTTTCTGTTTCGATCTGTATCTTATCTTTTTCCAGATTTAAGGACTTGGCTTCTGCAGCTATTCTCCCAGCTTCTTTGAAATTTCTTGTTGATGCAGCCACCTTCTTCTCTGCTTCAAGCTCCGGCATCCTTTTCTCTATGAACATAATTTTATCCATGAAAGATGTAATATTCTGTTGGATGATCGACTTTTTAGAAGATCGCTCCTGTAGTGACTCTCGTGTACTAGAAACCTCCTCTTGTAGCTTCTGAACTTCCTCAGAAAGCTTCTCTTCGATATTTACAAGCTTCGCTCTCTCTTCTCTAGTTTTAGACACATATGACATCAGACCTTTTCGCAATTCAATAACTTTCTCATATTCACTTGCTTCATCTGCTGAAACACGGACAAGATCACGGAGTTCAGCTCCTCTCTCCTTCTCAGTTGCCATGAACTCGTCCACATCTTTCTTTTTCCTTGTTAAATCTTCAGTTTCCTTATCAATCTGGGTGAGCCCCTCTTGCACATTGCTTAACATTTTATCTAAGCTTGTTTGCAATTCCTTGTAGCCAGTCACCACATTATTAATCTTCTCCTCAACTGCCTCAATTTGCAACTTGTTCTCATCAATCTCCTTCTCCTTTGCCTTCACCAAAGCAAGCAGCTCCTCAAGTTCATCTGACAATTGCTCTTTCTTCTTACGCAGCATCTCCTTCTCTTTCATATCTTCTTCCACAGATCCCTCAAGAGTACCATTCAACGACAACCGAACGTTATCAACTACAACAGATTCTACATCCAATTCGACTTTTCTAACCTCCACATCTTCAGAACATGAATGCCATTTCTCCATTTCATCTGAACAAAAAGCTTCTGCCTTCTCCAAAATCGATCCAGCATCATTCTCAGCATCCGTGCAAAACATGCGAAGCAGAGAGGCAGATTCTTCTTCAGCTGCAATCTGAGAAAGAAGAACCTCCTCCATTTTCGACTCAATGGTGTCACAATCAGATTCCGCTTGGCGGAGCAATGACAACAGAGCTAGCCTATCTCTTTCCTTAGCAGCGAGGCTTTCGCTAATCCTCTCAGCCGCTTCGAAATCCTCCGCCTCGATCGCTTCTTCAAGCTGCTTCTCGAGCTCTTCGTGCTTAGTAGAAGCTAATCTGAGATTCTCAGATGCTTGCCTTCTCTTCCTAATCGCGTTCTTGCGTGCAGAAGTAACCGAAGCAGCCAAGTCACGAGCACGGCTAAGCTTCGCTTCGATCTGAGCCTTGACTAATTCTAGCCTTGAGCCACCATTACTAACAACAACAGCAACATCAGGAATAGAGTCCAAAGATTGATTACCGGAATCAAACACATGCGCGACGGAATCCGATACTTGGCTGACGGAATCGGATTGTTGACTAACGGAATCGGATTGTTGACTGACGGAATCATCTTCGTCATCGTCGTGATTGTTGGTTTCGTGCCTACCGTATCCTATTCTTAATCCAGCTGCTCTTTTCTTCCTCCGTGAGGACCGTGACACCTGACGTCCATAACTCTTCACCGGAGATTGCTGAGTAGTAGTAACTACCTCGATCGGCTCAGGTTGGTGTTGGACCGGAGTCACAATCGTTAAGTCTGAAAACAAATTCTCGTCCAAAGCCTCCGTCACATCTGGCTGAGGAGCCGTCGTCTCCACCGCCTTGGCTTCATAATCTTCGGATTGAGACGGTGGTGAAATTGAAGATGAGCTTACCTTGTTGTCACCGGCGAACTGAGACGCCGGCGTAAAAAGTTCCATCCCTTCGAACAGAGAGTCCATATCATTGTCGCCACCATCCATCGCCGATCTGATCATCGCCGGATCAGATCTACTTTGCCTTTTTCATAAAAATTAATTCACCAGTTTAGTGGGCCATAAATGTTTACTTTATTGGGCCTATTAATGGCCCGTATTAAATGAAATGCTTTTATAATGCTGACGTCACTCTTTCCGAATACGTTAGCGCCTATTCATCTTTCAACACTTGTCGGCGACTCAGAGAATCAAATCGGAAACCTAACGCTTTAGTATTGACCTCTTGAGTTCTACACCGAGCTTGTTCCTCCAATCAATCAGAGTATTCAATTTTTCAAATTTTCAATTTCTCGATTTCGATTGAAGATGGAAGGAGGTGGAGGAAGTAGCGGTGGTGCGGCGGCGGGAGCTGGAGTGGTTCCGATATCAGCGATTGAAGCTGTGACCCAAACACTTGCGTACCTCAATGAACTGAAACCGCAGCTTGAGCAGATGCTTACTTTAGCTGAGCCAGAGGTTCTTGCTGCAATGCAGCCGTTGCAGCGAGCTAAGACTATGTACTTGCTAGCTGAAGCAACCACTACTCTTTACGAACGTAACTCTCTTTCTTCTTCTTCTTCTTGTAAATCTGTTTCCATTGAAGTTTGTTTTGTTTTCGATTATGTTGAAATTGTTTGTGGTATTTTGGTTTTTGCAGTGAGGTTGAGGTGTACGGGCGCTGATCCTGATGATCATCGTGTGAAATCTGAAATTGTATGTGTAATTCTGTGTCTTGTGTATATTGTAGTTCTCTTATTTATCTTGTTGGCTTGATTAAATGGTGTTTGTAGCTCTTTTATGCTTGGAAATGCAATAAAAAGGGTATCTTTTGCTGTTTAATTGATGGTAGTGTTGGTTGTGTAGGAGCGGATCAACGTGTACAGAGAGAAGTTTCAGAAGTGTTTGGATCAAAGTAAAGGTAAAGATTGATTTTCTGGTGCCTGGAATGATTTGTAGAGAGAGATCAAATCTTGTTAGTTCTGACAAGTATTTGGGTTTATAGTCTCTGAATGTTGGATGGAGAAGACAAGTAATTTGGGTATTATAAAACCATTTGTTTCAATTTGTATTGGTGATTGTATTGCCTTATGGGTTAAACAAGTTTTATGACTTTCTCTTTTTGTTGGAAAAATGCTGCGTCCAGTGTTGTTGGGGATAATATCTCAGCAACCTTTGAAAATTATGCTCAGTTTAGAACTTTTCTGATAGGTGTTAGCAGTTTCTCATGCGATAAATGAAATCATGTGGGTGTTGAATGACATATTTTCTCTTAAGAGAACTTGTGGTTCTGATCCTTTTTTTGTTAGGAATATGATTCTGCCTTCTTTAGTTTTCTTTTGTTTCAATCTATGCTTAGTGTTGATTTTATCTTTTCGTAGATATGATGATTTTGGTTGAAATACTCTTTTTATTGCATGTACCCATCTTAAATGCAGGGAAGTAATAGTTCAACTTTGTTTACTAAAATGGTGTTTCTATTGGAATGCTTATCATAATGTCTCGCGCCTAATGCATTGTTCTGGATATATCTTTTCATAACCTTAGTATTGCACCCACCTTTCATCTTAAATTTAAGGGATATTCAGGAGCTAGTTTCTCTGTTTTCACATATTTCATTCTGTTTTTGTCAGGATGTACTTCCATTTATAAAACTTGTTTTGATTTGAATTCATTAGTGGCTAATTGTCGACTTTGATGTTTCGCGAACATGTCAATCTTTTTGTCAAATATCATTTTATTCCAGTCTACTGTCTGAAACTTGGGGATATGAGTCTCTTCTCTTCGTTTATCGAACGAACTTGTATATATCCATTTAGAAGGTGTTTACTAGATTGGTAACGCTTGTGCGCGTGGGCCTTTCTTACAAGAATCGTTTTGTCGATCTGCTATTGAATACTAATGGGCCGAGTAGTTCTACTTAGCTACTCGAATCTCTTTTTATGATGCGCATCGTTTCATTTTTAAATTGTCTAGTTGATGTTAGGTTGTTTATCTGATTAAGAAATTTTGTATTCATTTCGATTTTGTTGGACTTAATTGGTACCTCTAATTCAATGTCTTATCCACCAAATGATCTTTTATCTGTTTCTCTTTTTATTGTAGCACCATTGCGCCCGACTACTGTCTTAAACCGTCAGGCAGCAACCCGTTTCATCGAACACTCTCTGCCTGATCTTACAACGAGTAAGCTTTATGCAGTTTTTATCTCTACCTTTCTCTTTTCCTTTAAGTTCGTGATTTCATGCATCTCTAACACTCATTACTAAATGAATCTAGCCCAAAAGCAAAACATTAGAGACCTCAGTAAAGAAGACAAATCAAGGATCAGGAATTCAGAAACAACTGCAAGAAAGAGGAAGTACCAATCAAATGAGAAATCTGTTCAGTCAGCCGCGAAGGAATTTCTTGAAAAGGCAGCTCGTGAGATTATCGGTAACAATGAAAATGGTTTGAAGGGCCCTTTAATGGCGGCAGCTGATGGTTCAGATGATGTTGAATTTGGTACAGCCTGACTTACTACCAATATATCATGGTAATGTTCTTTTCTGGTTATCTTTGACACCTGAAAGCAAATCTCTAGAATTGTCAACTATGTGGTCGTCCAAGAGACAAAAAAATACCTTCTCCTAATAAAAACAATAAACTCTAATAGACATTTATCGACTGTTTGTTTCCATTTCTTTTGAAAACTCTCTTCTCTTTATGAGGTTATACATATGGATTTATTGTTTCTCCTGATGGTGTGATTTTAATATCTTTGAAATCATGAAGGATGGGTCAATGAGGAAGTAGTGTGAAGTAGTGTTCATTTTTTTGTGATTTCCTAGGCTACAATGTTAGCCATAATTCTTCAATTTTTGTCTTATCATTGCATCCGTTACTTATTCGCTGAATGGAAGAGGCTTAAGGTTTCAGCATCATTTCTGTATATACCAGAATAATATCAATTGCATCAGTTACTTAACTCTCTTTCTCTTCTTCATCGTTTGCAGCTGCTGCTACATTTTCCGGATAGTAGTTGTGGCATTCGTCAGCATCGCCGTTGCAGAGAAGTTGGTTTTTGCAACTCATCTTTGATAGCGTTTTTAATATCCCAGTTAGTGTTGTGGTGTTGGGTGTATGATGTTGTACATTGCATTTTGTGTTAGCAACTGTTCTCGGAAAGCTCATAAAGTTGGCAAATTTTATATTCGGTAATAACATTAATGTCTAAAAGGCAAAAAGAATTCAACAAATCTCTCGTGGAAAAAAAGAATATCAAAATCCAAAAATCAGAGCAAAACAATCCCTAACCCAACAAATCCCAAAACCCCAACTCGACTGGCCAAAGAAGAAGCAGAACCGGTGGCGGGAGCAATAGCCGGAGCACCTGATAAAGCTGGAGAAGGTGCAGGAGAAGGAGCAGAACCAGAGAAGAAACCACCAGTGTGGTGGCCACCACGAGAGGACATGACAACAATGTGAAGCTTCTCACCTTCAACACAGTTGCTTTTGGAGCCGCTGATGAAGTAAAAAGGACCAGATCTCTCTAGCTTCACCTTAGTGTCTCCATTGCTGTAATTAGCAGCTGGGTTTGTGGTGTTGCAGGTAACGTATGCTTCTTTTGTCACTTGCAGAACAGAGTCCTTTTCCCCATCGTACTTCCACACTGTTCACATACAAAACAGTTAAGAGGAAAGGGTTGATTTTTTGGATTTTTATCTGAATTTGGGTGAAAAAGATTAAAACTTACCAAGAGAATCGCCAACGTGAAATCGTAAACTCTCAGCCCATTTGTTTAAGGACTCAGAAGGCGAAGAAGGGATTTTCCAGGCGCTGGTTTTGCCTCCGACCAGAATCTCTTTGCAATAGGCGAGATTAGTCAACAAGAAGAAGACAGAGAAGAACAGAAAAAGAGTTCTGTGAGCCATTAGGATTTAAGTTACGTGTGAGAGCTCAAGAGAGAGAGATGGAGAGATAAGAATGAAAGAGAGATATTTTGTAGCTTATTTGGGCTCTGTTGTGAATGATTGGGTCTGTATATATAAAGAGGAAGAAACTAGCCGTTGGAAGTTAAATGGTGTCTGCTGCTACAGTACTGCTCTCTGTTGCTCCCAACGCTTATTTTAAACGGTCGAGTCACCGTACGAGGACATGTACGTAAAACCAATTTTTTAATAACGGTCGGAGACAGAATTATAAATACGAGTGCAGTGAGTGGACCAATAATTATATCTCTTTGACTTTGTGTCTGCGATTAGACCAGCTCAAGAGTCTCTAAAGATTTTAAAGGAGAGTATAAATAGAATTGAAAGAATCACATATTGTCAATCAAGAAAAGATAATCCGAAGTGTCATTTGGGAAAAATCAAACAGAATACACTCTAAGAAAAAGGTTTACATATAAAAACCTTTCTTTCGTTACTGTAACCAAAACCAGAGCGAAACAAGAAGACTCCTATTGAGCAAAAAAAAAAAAAAGATTTTGGAACTTGTGAAAATCATACGCTATATTACCTTCTTCTTTCTTTCTTTCTGTCTCTTGAATGTTTTCTTGAATCAGTCGATCTTAACCGAGGAATAGATGAGCCTTGTGAACCAGAGACAAGCGTAGAAACCGATTGTTCCGGTCAGCACAAAGAAGGCGTAAGAGGCGATGAGCATGTAACCAAAGTAGAGCATCGCTGAGACGAGCTTAGTGATCTGGAGCTTTGTGAAGAAATAGAAGGCTGCGTAGAGGAAGAGATAGACCGCAGAAGAACCTGAGGTGAGGTAAGACCTCCACCACCAAAGATAGTCTTCACTGCAAAGCTGGAAGTAGCAGAGAACAATGGTTATCTCTGCGCAGGTGACCATGAGGATCACAAAGACGAGGAAGAGGAAACCGAAGATGTAGTAGAACTGGTTGAGCCAGATGGATGTGAGGATGAAGAAGAGCTCGATGAAGACCGCACCGAATGGTAGGATTCCTCCGATAAGGATTGAGAAAATTGGGTTCATGTACCAAGCTTGTTCTGGGATTTGACGTGGGATTTTGTTGGTTTTCACGGGGTCATCGAGCGGTGGCTTCTTGAATCCGATGTAAGCGCCAACAAAGACAAGAGGGACTGAGATTCCAAACCAGAGGAAGATAAGAGCAAACATTGTCCCAAAGGGAACAGCTCCGGATGATTTTTGTCCCCAGATAAGAGCGTTTAGGACAAAGAAGATGGCTGAGACAACTGCAGGGAACAAGAAGGCTGTTCTGAAGGCAATTCTCTTCCATTCTGTTCCTTTGAACATTTTGTAGAGACGTGAAGAGGCGTAACCAGCAAATAAACCCATGAAGACCCAGAGGAGAAGCATAGCTGTCATAAGACCTCCCCGGTTGGAAGGTGATAAAAATCCGAGCATGGCGAAGATCATAGTGACAAGTACCATGCCTAAACACTGGACACCTGTGCCAACATAGACACAGAGAAGATCTGAATTGGTTGGAGGCCTGAAAACATCACCATGGACGAGTTTCCACCCTGTCTCTTCTTGAGCTTCTTCTTGTGTCTCAAGCTCGTTGTATCGTGAAATGTCGCGGTAAAGAGTCCTCAGCATAATCATAGCTACCATACCAGAAAGGAAGAGGACGATCATCAGAGAGTTGACAATAGAAAACCAGTGAATTTGATTGTCGCTCATCAGAAGATAAGCATCCCATCTAGACGCCCACTTCACTTCACTTTCCTGAAGAGGCAGCAGGGCAAAAATCAAAACAGTGAGAACAGGAACAAAATAGTATTTCACCAAGAAAAAACTGTGAGAACAGGAACACAATAATTATAAACTGTTCAGCGAATAAGAACTTGCCTGGAAATCAACATCATATGTGAAGATAATTTCCTTCTTATTGTCGACTTCTTGAGGTGTTGCTGAGCTAACAACCAGGCGTTTTGTGTGAGGATCACAGGTAGTCAAACGGGTCTTCTCACTCCATTGTCCCTCGTATTCATGCTTGACACTGCAAATCAAGGGAAAAGAGAATTAGTACTGAAAAACAGAGGACATCCCAAGAGTCTAATCTGTTAACAAGAATTGCACCTGAATGGTTTGACCTCAAATCCCACAATCCTTGCAGCATCGGTTTGCATATCTCTGTGATACCGGACAGTGAATGCCAAGTGATTGTGCATAAAGTACTTTTGCTCTTTGCTCTGTATAACGAAAGGACTGCTTAGAAAAATCATGATATCACGTGCAATGCAAATAGTAAATAATCTAAACTTACTTACCCCCTCATACTGGCCTTTAAGACCGACATGATATCCTAGCTGATACACAACAGAGGGAGATCCCTGACCTTGATCAACTCTTTCGATTGGAACCACTAGAGGAAGGTTATCGAGAATCCTACCACACACACACAAACACAGCATGAGAAAAGTACCAGAGGGAGAGTGCATGATATTCATCAAAAAAAAATGTCAATGTAAATCTCATATCCTAAATCCTACATGTTGACCCGATACTCATCATCAATCTTCTCTTTGAATGCTTTGGCAGTCTTGGCATCAAGTGTAACACGGCAGAGAACATTGCACATTTGTGCTTCACGCATTTTAAACTGCATTATTCCAGTTCCGCAAGTTTTAGGGGGTAAAGCAAAGGGAAAGACATAAAGAATAACTTAAGAATCAACTGCCATCATATTCAATCAAAACAGAAACAAACCGAATAAGGAGCATTTTCGATCCGGTCTCCACGTAGCACTTCTCCAAGATTCTCAGTACTGTCCACAATCTTCTTAGGACGACAGAAAGGAAGAGAGTAATACGAGTATGGAAGCTGAGTCTTTATGGAAGTCAATTTGTTCACTTTCACCTTCAACTCATCTCCCTACAGACACCCAAAACAAAAGATCAAAACTTCAAAACCACCCATCAATTCAGCTTGGATCTTCAACTATAAGTCACAAGCCACCAAATCTCTATGATACTAATCAAACAAAGCATGCAAAATTTCACACAGAAATTTAACTCTGAGAAGCTAATCAAAACTAAACGATGTAGCTCCACTGGAATGCGACATTGGTACAGATCAAGAGATCGTAACGAGAATGCGAAATTCACAATCCTAAAGTGTCGGTGGCACTATGATTCGCTAAACTAATCGCGAAACCAAAGTTCACAAAAACCAGATCCGACAGATCCAAATCAGATCCCAATTTAATTCATCTACGTTTTACCTTTTCGAAATCCTGAGGAGCAACACCAGGAAGGTAAAAGGAGTGAGCAGCGTGGATAAAGAGAAGAAGAATCACAGATCCAAGGATTTGTAGTCTCCTGGAACTTCTATAAAACTCCATAGCCATGGGAGTTTCCACAGATCTGGAGCTTAAAAAAGCTTTTTAACAGTTTTGTGTGTATTTGTGCGAAGAAGAGAGTCTCAGAGAGAAGAAGAAGCAAATTGAATTGATTAGAGAAGAGAAGAGAGATCCTTGTTTCTCTCTCCGTTATTGCTTCGTTTCTCTGACATCACTCTTCTCCATTTATATTTCGCCACGTGTCTAACCCCGTCGAGGAAATGTAAATGGGCCTCATTTCTTAAGCCCATTAAGGATTTTTTTTTTGAACTAAAAGCCCATTAAGGATTTGAAAAGCATTTTTCATACTTTATTTGGAAAATTTTAAATTAAAAACGGAAAACATGATTATTTAATATTTGTCAGAGAAATACATAATTTTTATTGGCACAAAAATGTAAAAACCAATTTATAGTTTATAAAAAGTTTACTAACTGTTCCAATTCCCGATTTTCCACCAATTGTGGTCACGATTTTCAATGATATTAGCGCAATCGTAAACATTACAAATGATCAAAAGAAGGCAGATTATTATAGTCATGGACTCATAGTTATGACAATAATAAAACTTCTCTGCAAAACTGTAATTGTAACAATATCTACTATTGTTTTAACATCGTTGAAAATCGTAATTACAATAAGTAGAAAACTGGAAAATCATAATAACTCGTGCAATTTACATCAATTATGAAATAATTTGTGTTATTTTTATAGCGAAAAGATTTTCTGAATTTTTTAACAAATATCAAATATGTCCCATTTGCTCTGAGAATATTTTTGTATTCTAATTCGTAAAAGTCAAATTTATTATTTTGTTCACATTGAAGTAAAATATATTTATTACGTAAACGTTACGCAACCCAGAAGATGTTAGTTTTCGACCTAATTATAACTAATGTAAGTAAATTAATTAATTAAAAACGTTACTATAACGTTTATATCACTAAATATATAAAAAAGATATGGAAAGAAAAGGCAAGAAATACAAAAAATGGAGATGATTAAGGTAGTACTTTTCATGGGATGTCTCTTAAGCACCATCTTGATATCATCAGCTAATCCTAACTTAGCCACAAAGAGTGATGATGATGATGAAACGTGGATCATCGACCCTAGCACTGATTTAAACATGGTGTTTGCAGAATCGCCGACTTCAAGAGAATACAACGAAGATGTGCTTAACAAAGAGTCATCAGAGCACTTTGATTATCTCTTGAACTGCAGCGAGAAGAGGGGACGAGAGTGTAACGAGGAAGTGATGGAAGAGATTCTTCAGAACAGGAACGTTTCGGACCGTTGTTGTGAGAAGATAGTGAGTGTTGGGAAAGATTGTCACGTCGGGATTGCGAATGTGATGTTCAAGAATTATCATGTGAGACGTTTTGCTTCGAGAAGTGTTTTCAAGGCTAGCAAAGTTTGGAATAGGTGTTATGCTCAAAGTGATGCTGCTCATACGCCATATTCTGGTTAAAACAAAACTTGTAAAAACTTGGTCGAAGCTGCTGCTTCCTGCTAATGTGCAACTTTATTTATGATTTGTAAAGAGTTATGTAATAGTAACACACATGTACGACTTATGATATGTTTTAAACAACTAAAATCAATCAATACAAGAACTATAACAAACAAAAGAAGATCGCACAAAAAGTGAAGATGGCAATAGCAACGGTCATTGTGTTAGCACGACCATTCTCGTTCATGTCCTGCTTGATTATACAATACACAACCCCCATCAAGAACACCATAATGAACAAGAATGAGAAAAATGTTAAACCATCGCTTTCATTGTTGACATTTTGAGTCTTTTGATATTTGGTTTTCTTGGATGATGATGATATAATAGCGAACAAAAAGCGCGGTATGGTCCAAAGCAGAAACTGAAGCAGTCTTATAAGAAACCGAAACAGACCTATAAGCACCTCTGCCAACATGTTGTAGTATTTGCTTTGTTTAAAAAGAATATGAGATTTTTTTTAATGATTTCTTGTTATGTTTTTATAGTGTAATAGTGATTATGAAAAATAAGAAAGCAATCATCATGGTTTAGATATCTTTAACATTTTTATAAAAGTTAATTGTAAGGTTTTATAGTTGATTTGTACTATGAATTCCCAAAAGAGAAAGACAATTTTTTTTTCACATAAGAGAAAGACAATTAATCTCCAGTATTTAGTTATATAACATTTTGACAAGTTTTAAGTAGCTGATAATTATAGCATCTGGATTGGTGAGATATCCAGATATATTAATATTTAATTTTGCAAATATAATAATTATATATCTATATATATTAATGAGCTTTATTCATTTTTTTTGGTAAGATAAAGAGCTTTATTCATATGTATAACTAAATATTATTTTTAGTTATAAAAGAGAGAGACAATATTAAGATTTCCTAATATTGTATCATTGACAATGATTCATTGTGTTAGATGGATAAAAATATGATATAAAATGTATCCTCCAGATAACACGAAGATGAATCACAAAAATTACGCGGAGGGTCAGAGTTCACTTAAGAGCCATTAATCATATGTGTTTGCAAGATTAACATAGAAACATTGAGAGGAAATAACGTAGGAGGGTCTCACTTAGGTATCAATTTGATTTCGTTGCAAGCATGAATAGTTCAAATATATGTGATTACAAGACATTATTTGTGGACACATTTTCTGTATTATTAAGCTATATACAAAGTCCAGTACTATGACCCATACTAGTCTATCAGATTGAAATATGAATCTTTTTTCTTATCAAAGTCCATTAAATCCATAACTCCAAATAGCTCCATTAGATATGATTATTTTTGTAGAAGATTTCGTAAGGCTTTTGATGGACATAGGGAAACATTTGAATGTTTGGACGACTTTAAGAAGTTCTCTTCTCCTATATAAAAAGAAGTAATAAAAACGATATAGAGCAATGGACATTCATATTATTTAGAAAAGTTTGGTTTATTCATTAATATAAAAGTAATATTTATACATAAAAGAATTTTTTTTATAGGATAGAACCGTATCACATCTCAATATTCTAATATATTCTAATATATCCTAATACCTTTCCTCAAGTTGGTGATTCGAAATTTTGGACACCCACTTAGACAATACATTCTTGAAGAAAAAATTTAGGTTTAGTATGTGTAGAAGATAGACGTGCGGCGGCTTGTGAAACAGCGGCAATGAAGAAGTTAAACGGCGGCAGCGGTAGCTTTCATGGAAACCGACGGTAATTGCTACTAAGTTTAATAGAAAACTGGTAAAATCACTATAAAAATAGATTTAAAATTTATAAATTTTAGAAAATAGAAGATAGCGGAAGCAACACTGGTTTGTATAGCAGTGGCAAGGTTACGACGACCATAGAAAAATAAATTAGGTCACAAGAGCTTTATCATAATATAATTTAGAAAGAATTAGTTTATTCATTAACATAAAAATAGTATTTATACATAGTGAAATTTCCATATAGGATAGAACCGTATCACATCACATATCAATATTTTAATATATTCTAATATATCCTAATATACATACAACCATTTTTATTGGATTTACATTTACACGACCAATTCTGAATCGAAGCGTGCCTAAAAGATATATTTCCCTTGTAAATTGTTTCTCACATTTTGACGCAGTTAGACACAATGATGAAGGGGGATCGATGACTATGGTAGAAGAATTTTGAAAAGGAGCATTTGTGTAGGAATTTGGTTGGAGTAGGGTCGTTTCGAGTTCGACGTGATCATGGGACCTATATGATCAGATGTCTAGTGTAAGCAGTTAGGTTGTGCCAAAAGTGAACCCCTCACTGATTGACCTATAATCTTTATTAGTAGAGAGATGGTGGCATAATGTGAAAGACAAACTTAGTAATCACAAATTGATGGACGTCTACTTTGGTACATTTTCAAACCAGCTCACGAACAACATGATTGGAATCGTATCAGATGATACTTGCACACTTACCAAATCCGTAAGACCTTATTCTTTGAACTTGAATTCAATTTTCTCTAGATGTGGTTGTGATCTTTATATATTTTTTTAGTCTATAGGATTTTATTAGACATAGAGTTGATGATATTTGTGGGTTAAGTTTTAGTGTACGAGTAAAATATCTATGTTAGGCTAAAAATAACCTTATTATTTGGAATCTTGGATAGAGTTTGGTGGCCCGGTGATGATGTTGGTGCAGATTCCATCCAATTTTAGCTTGGTTTACATTCTATGCATCCGAGGCTAAATAATGCATGATGATTCATAGGACCTACACACCATTATCTTCTCCTTTTGTTTTTATCTTAAATCTTTCTATCTTTTGAGTCATATATAATTTATAGTATGAAGATTAGATTGTGATTGCTCGTAAATTTTATCATTTGCAAGTAACTAAGAGTTATAATAGTTATGCAAGTTATAAATAGAAAAATCCGTCCACGATTTAATCCATTTTATTTTTATGATAGACAACAAATCGTTATAAACAAATCATATAATTAGTCAACGATAACTAATATAAATATAATTTGTGAATGGTAAATAAAAACGACTTTATTTAAACGATGTTTCACAATGAATCTATCTTCCTGTGGTTAAACTAATTATCTTTCATTGTCGTGTTTTAGTCCTCGGTAATTACAATTTAATTGTTTTGACTTTAGGAAACGAGAGAAGGTGGGTCGTTTCGGACACTCTACGACACAAACACGTGCCCTGTGCTTTGTCAAACACTGTCCTGTCCAATTATATGTTTCAAGTTTTGTCCGTTACTTTTTCTCTCTATCACGCAAGCAACGTTACCTTGCCCACTTGTCAATCAGGTATATGTCACTAATCTCTGTATCTAAACTCACAAAGTTTTATCTTCTAATCAAAGTTATTAGTATAATTTACTACTTTCTAACGTTGCCATATAATAATTTATCATACTGTAAAAAAATGTTTTTAAGTAGTTCTTGTTATTAAACCTCAACTTCTATATATACAAGATTTTACAAAAACTTCCCTTGAATGTTAACAAACTGATTAACAAAAAAAAGTAAAACAGTTTTACATTTACTAAACATTACATTCGCTTAACTAGAATTATCATCACTAATAACATAATTAACATTACTACCATTCTTATTAATAACACTATTATTATGATTATCACCGTGCCACGACCACACAATCTCCTCCAACGCCGGCCTTACTTGTTCTTCATACAACCTATTATACTCCAAAGTATCTCCCGCCGATTTGCATAGCTCAACCACCGCTACCTCCGGGGAAACCTCGAAAACCTCGGCCGTCACTGCGATCTGTCCTTTCCTCCCTTCAGATTTCCCCAACATATTCACTTTAAAATCCTTAGTCCTCTTCACCTTCATGTTCATCTCTTTACCTATCCCTTCAAGCTTCGTTATTATCTCCGACGCTGACCAACGTGACGTAAACATAGACCTTAGCTTCCTCTTACTCTCGAACAAACTTGATAAATCAAACCCTGATGACATCGATGAGATGAACTCAAACGCGTTAAAGAACTTTGGCGATGTTGTTGTTAAAGCTGTTGTGTCTTCTTCTATGTTTTGGCTCTCGACCTCGTCGATCTTGAAAGCTACCGGAGAGTTGAAGTTTTTACGAAACCACGGCGTACGCATAATCGCCGGGATTGAGATCCGTTTATTAGGGTCAACGACTAAAAGCTTAGAGACTAACCTCCTAGCTTCCGGCGAGAACCACGGCGGAAACTCAAACTCCGACTTGAATATTTTCCGGTACATGTTCATAAGATTCTCATCTTGAAACGGCAAGAACCCGGCGAGAAGCACGTACAAGATAACGCCGCAAGACCATATATCAGCTTTAGCTCCGTCGTAACCTTTCTTCCTTAAAACCTCCGGTGCAACGTACGCCGGAGTACCACACTGAGTATGAAGCAACCCATCTTGCAAACTCTGTTCCGGCAAAGCAGAGAGACCGAAGTCAGAAACCTTGAGATCACCGTTCTCGTCGACCAAGAGGTTCTCAGGTTTCAGATCTCGATGAGACACACCTCTACTATGACAAAAATCAACGGCTGAGATTAACTGTTGGAAGTACTTACGAGCTGAGTCTTCTTTAAGTTTCCCTTTAACGACTTTGGAGAAAAGCTCACCGCCTCTAACGAACTCCATGATGAAGAAGATCTTTGTCTTCGTAGCCATGACTTCTTTTAACTCGACTATGTTAGGATGACGAACTAGTTTCATGATTGAGATCTCTCTTTTGATTTGTTCCATCATACCTTGACGTTTAAGCACTTGGTCTTTGTTGATGATTTTGATCGCAACGCTTTCTCCTGTGGCTATCTCTTTCCCGTAGTAGACTTTTGCGAATGTTCCTTTGCCTAGTAACCTTCCCATCTCGTATTTTGCGAACAGAACACGACGTTGTTCTTGTTCTTCCTCCATATTTAGGGGTCTGATTGGTAACGACTGTTATAAGAGAAGTGGTTTTTCAGGAGAAGGTAGAGTTGTTGTTGATACATGAGTTTAAGTTTGGGTTCCATGAACATATACAGAAGTAGAAAGATTCCATATTTAGCATACTACTCTCCCACAAGTAGGAGTATGGAGAGAAATGAGAGAAAGGGTTTGTGGTGGTGAATGATGAAAGCTTGAAGGTGGTTTTAGTGTATTATTATAAGAAAATGAAGCATAGGGACTTGAGTCGGTTTGAGAGGAAAGGCCCCTTGTAAAATTATTCTGTGGGGTAAATTGAAAGATGCTTACACGAAAGATTCTTTCTTAATCAATCTGCTGCGGTTTTGAGAAGCAAGTTTCTTTTTCTTTTTTTCTTTTTATGGGTGTGAATGTGATATTTCTTTTCTCTCTATTCATAAATGTATTAAAAAATCAAAAATAATAATATGTTATTATGAATTAATGTTACTATTTACGTTACACTTGAAAGGCTGAAAGACCGAAATGCAGTTTAATTGTATATTAATTTAATGAGTATTATATATATATAAATACAAAAGTTTATTAATGTGAGTTTTGATTTTTTGCCAACCACACAAAGGATTTTGTTTTGTAGTTTTGAATTGTTTTATGAATGTAAAATTGATAATTGTAACGTCTCCTTAGTAGTTGTCATCTTTTATATATCACCTATCATGAAGGCAATGTTACATGGTTGGGCAAATGATGCAATCCTCTAGAGCCTACTTTAGTTTTGATTGATGATTAATTATAAAAAAGCCAAAAATATTATAATCAGAAACAGTTGTAAATGTATGATAAGATAAAATTTTAAAAAAATACTAAAAGTTGGGTCGTTCAAAGTTTTCTTTTAAATACATATTATTTTTGCTATCTCTTGTCCCATTATGGTAGAGATGATTATCATGAATTTTACCACACGATGCATATATGCATTATGATTCGCTTATTTGTTTTGATCTATCGATAAGTGTGTTGGAAATTCAGATTTGTTTAGAGTTCTCTGGATGATTAGTTTTGTTTATATGGATGAACGATTTTTCCAATAAAGTATATGAATTTGTTTAATTGTTACAAACCTAACAATAATAAGTCCAAAAGTTTTGGTGGAAGAGATTAGTATTATTGACTGAAAAAAAAAATCGAATATATAAAACACAATGATGATGACGCTTTGGTAGCATTTTGTTTGTATCCATTAGTTGGAGAAGATATTTTTCAGGCGAATGACTAAAATATTTCATTGGCTCCAACCTTTAATTATAGAAAAATATCTATTTTAAACAATTGATGATCATAGTACATGCATCTATATAATAAAGAAGGATAACCACCTAAAATTATTTTTGTTATTCGTACACTGTATATACAAAAATGTTATTTTGGTACTTTCATATAAGTTAGAAAAATGATACATATATATTTATAATTGAATTTTAGTATTCATATATGCACTTGATGTTAAATTATATATTTACTAGATTTGGACCCCCACGTACGTGCGGGATTGATTTCAAAAACTAAATTTGCTATCATGTTTTCAATATATTATGTACATGTAGAGTTATATTTGTAAAAGACATTTCTTAAGAATGTTATTAACATTCATAATCCAAACTCGTACCAGTTCAGTATTTGATTTATTTTCAATTTAGTTTAAACAAAAGTAACGATAAGATTAGGCTTTGTTACCCGTAAAAACAACTATATTAAAAGTTATATAGTAAAAGAAAAGAGTTTGTCTATTTTATACCGGATAAAAACAACTAAAAATAAATAAAAATTTCTAACCCGAATGATAAAAATTTTGCATTCTCCACATTAGTAAATGATATATTTGCATATGTTCTGTTTGAATTCATGTATTACGCTAAATTTCCTACCCCTCTTTTATTAGGAATACAATTTAGATAATGATTTTTATTTACTGAATTACCTGTACCTTAGCATATATGTTATTTCATATAGTCCATACTATTATGTTATTTATATTACCCCTCTGTTTTTTGATAATTATGTCATTAATTCTGTTTGGTTATAGGTTTAGAATTACATAAAATGTAATTTTTTTTTAAATTCTGTTTGACTACACTTATAAAAAATGCTTCACTTTTAATAGTATAGATAGTACAAAACTTTATATTAGTCATTTAATATAAAATAAAATAAATAATTTTTAAAATAAAATAACATTTATTATAAAAATAAAATAATATATATATATATATGTGAGAGACTGAGAGCAATATAAATATTCTACAGCCTGTATGTTTTACAATATTTTTAATTTCATAAACTTTTTGATGCCACATTAAACTAATTATATACTTAATTATTTGTTCGTATCTCTATCGGATTTCATGACATAATCTACAAATTTATTTGTAACAATAAATCCAAAACAATTTTGTGAAGCGATTAGTATTGTTGACTGAAAAATTCGAGTAAAACAAATGATGATGAGTACGCAATGGTAACATTCGTTTGTTGTACGTAGCTATAGTTTGAGGAGATATTTTATTAAAATTTGTATTTGGTTGCAGCCTTTTTTAAAACAAATCTTGTTACATTATTAATGACTTATATGCATTAATAATAAAGTTTTTTTTTATGTCGACTGCAAAGGACACGATGCGCAAGTCAATTTTGGTTACGTTGTTTTGGATTTTTTGAGGCTCAAGAGTTTATCTGTAAATGATGTTGATTGCATTGATTTATTAAAATTTATTAGGACTCAAAAAATTTACATTGTTTATTAAAGTTTACTTGAAACTAATGACAAAATATTTGGAAACAATTGAGAAAACAATAACATATAAAAATAATCATTGATCTTTATATATATATATATATATGATTTTGATATTTATTTAATCTATAACATAACATGTTAATTCATATATAAAATATTTAAATGAGTAAATGATAAATTTATAATTTTGATTTTAGAGATTTGCTTCTTTTTTTGGTAGAATTTATTAAGGTATCATATGATAAATCTGATGTCCACATCTCTAAAAGCAATGATAAAAAGGCTGTAGATTTGTTGGGCTTTTAATAATTTTCAAAGATAACTTTTATTATTAGAAAGGCTTTAGATTTGGTGGGCTTTTAATGATGATTATAAAAGGCTGTTAAGGAGATAGATAGTACAAAAATTAAATTACATACCTCTTCCATTAGTGATGGAGAAGACAACACTAACCAAGAAACCTCAAGAATCTTTTCATCACCAAAACTGTCCCATAACTATAACTACAAGTCTTATAGTAAAAGACTAATTTCTGTGTTAGTAAGAAGAGATCCAACTTCGTTTTTCTCAATACTAAATGTAGTAAAAAAAAAGAAAGATCTAAAACTCCTAAATCTATAATTTCAAACTTCTAGTAAGTAATTTTATTTTTTTAGGATAATTACAGGACATTAGTCTTGCTGGAGTAGACACTACCGGCCACACTATAACATGGGTGATGACACATTTGATTACAAACCCAAGAGTTATGAAGAAAGCACAAGAAGAGATGAGAGAAGTGCTTCAAAACAAAGACCATATCACATAAGAAGATATAGAACAACTCGAGTATCTAAAAATAGTGATTAAAGAAACATTTAAGGTTAAACCCACCGGTGCCACTTCTAGCTCCAAGAGAGGCTTGTTCCCGTTCTTACACATTAAGGTTAAACAAGAAGGTCCTCTTGAGGTTGTCCCCGTTCTTACCCAATGGGCTTAGTTCTATATTTTCATAGTCAAAATGTAATGCTGTGGAAGATCTTCATATATGAAAAAATAGAGATTGGATGCATATATATATATATATATATATATATGACTATAAATGTAGATGTGTATCGAAATTTTAGAGCAATCACATTTTATTTCAGAAACCTAATAAACATTACCTTATCTTGAAAAATTTGGCATTATTCGTTTGTGTGGACACAAATGTTACTCTTGAATCTTGATCAAATAAACTTATCTTGAAAGACATCCATGCCACCACCACATCCATTTTGAAAGAAAGACTCGGAAAAAATCTGTATTTGTTGAATTCACGTACAAACTATTTTATAGAAGAGACAATTATAAATACAAGTTTTTAACATTATATAAGTAAAAATCACTATCCGAGAACAGATTCGTTTGCACCTTTGGATGCGAATAAAACTATCATTGTAACATTCTCCATCTCTTCCTCTATCCATCTCTTTGGCACGAGGCTTAAGAGTACTTGAAGGTAATCCTACCGATCTCGGCGTCTCTATCTATGATGTTACTATATCATGTGTTCTTTACTAGTTCGAATGTTGTTTGTATGTACCTTCGATCGTGTAAAGACATGTAGGATTCTTCATATATAGGTTTGCCTAGTTACGACAAAGTGATGATTCTTTGGTGTTTAAGTTTAGGGGGCTCTATATTTTCATCTATGGGGGTGATTGATTACACAATTATTAAGACAAGACTAGAGCTTGTGTTTTTATTGTCGTTAATTGTCTTTTAAATCCGATTTTCTCTAAGCAAACTTAACATTTTAAATTAGGCCAACTTGAAATTGGTTTACGTTTGTTTAATCTATTCCTTTTTGTGTAGGAAGGAAGATGAGTTTGTGGTGGTATACTATTATTGTTGGATTCGTCTTCCTTTCATCTATATTAATTGTAAAGAACACGAGATCGAACAAGAAGAACCTACCTCCCGGACCACCAAGACTTCCTATAATTGGCAACTTGCACCAACTCGGATCAAAACCTCATCGTTCGATGTTCAAATTATCTCAAAAATATGGACCTCTAATGTCTCTAAAGTTTGGAAGTGTGTCTACTGTTGTGGCATCTTCACCAGAGACAGTGAAGGAAGTCTTGAAAACGTTTGACGTAGAATGTTGTTCACGACCTTATATGACTTATGCTGCAAGACTTACATACAATTTAAAAGATCTTGGCTTTTCTCCATATAGTCAATACTGGAGGGAAGTAAGAAAGATGACGGTTCTTGAACTCTACACCGCGAAAAGGGTAAAATCGTTTCAACATATAAGAGAAGAAGAAGTTGTATCCCTAGTTGATTCCATCAAACAATCTGCTTCATTGGAGAAACCAGTTAACTTGAACAAGAAGTTTCTGAAACTATCAGGATGTGTTGTTTGTAAGATTGGATTTGGTTTCAATCTAAAAGGAAGCGAATTCGAGAATACTTATGAGGAAGTCGTTCAAGGAACCATGGAGGTGGTTGCGAGTTTCGCAGCAGCTGATTACTTTCCGGTTATTGGTAGAATCATCGATAGGGTCACGGGGTTACATAGCATATGTGAGAAGACTTTTAAGGAAATGGACACATTTTTTGAGCAATCTATAAAGCGTCAAATAGAAAATGAGAGTAATACGAATGATATCATTGACTTGCTCCTCAAGATGGAAAGAGAAGAGATTGGACTAGGGGAGTTACAACTTACTCGAGACCACACCAAAGGGATTCTTCTGGTAAGCAATGTGACATTCTCATTCCATAGCTTCATTCTTTACAATGTTGCATAAATCTTGTGACTTTTGATTATTACAGAACATTCTCAACGCTGGTATAGACACTTCAGCACAAACTACAACATGGGTAATGACACATTTGATTGCAAACCCAAGAGTTTTAAAGAAAGCACAAGCCGAGGTGAGAGAAGTGATAAAAAACAAAGACGATATCGTAGAAGAAGATATAGAAAGACTCGAGTATCTAAAAATGGTGATTAAAGAAACGTTTAGGCTAACACCACTTGTGCCACTACTAATTCCAAGAGAGGCTTCAAAAGATTTAAAGATTGGAGGTTATGACATCCCAAAGAAAACATGGATCCATGTCAACATATGGGCTATTCATAGGAATCCAAACGTTTGGAAAGATCCAGAAGCTTTCATCCCGGAAAGGTTTATTGATTGCCAAGTTGACTATAAAGGTTTAAACTTTGAGTTGTTGCCGTTTGGTAGCGGTAGGAGAATGTGTCCTGGTATAGGAATGGGTATGGCTTTGGTACATTTGACTCTTATCAATCTTCTTTATCGATTCAATTGGAAGCTTCCTGATGGAATGGTGGCAGAAGATGTTGATCTTGAAGAATCATATGGACTTGTTTGTCCTAAGAAAGTTCCACTCGAGCTTATCCCTGTCCTTACGCAATGGACTTAACTTTATATTACATAGTCAAAATGTAAATCTTTGAAGAGTATCTTATTGTACACAGATATTATAAGGTTTGAACTATATATGGGCCAAAAGTAGGCCCAAATTTGGAAAAGGCCCAAAATAAACTTAAAACGCTTCGCCGTATATATCAGACCACAAAACTAGTGAGAGAGAGTGAAAGAGAGAAAGGGAGACAAAGAGCGAGTTGAATCGAGAGAGAGAGAGAGAGAGAGAGGGAGAAGAATGGATCCAGAGCAAATCAACGAGTTCGTTGTGGGTTACTTGAAGAAGAAAGGATTTAGTGGTGCTGCTAAAGACCTTGAAGACTATCATCACCAGAACAATGGTAGCAGTTTGAGTTCTATCGATTATCATAACGATCCTGAGCTCACCAAGCTTATTCGCTCCTTTTCCCAGTAATCTCTCTACTTCGCCAAGCTCACTCTTTACTGTTTTAGTGCGAATTGCGTTTTGAATTTGGGTTTTGTGAATTTTGAGCAAAATTATGTCAGCCTAAACTTTTCTGAGCATTGAGCTATAGATATAATATTTTTTTTCTGGGTGAGGATGTTTTGAATCTTTGTATCAATTCGTTTGTGAAATTTAAGATTTTGAATACATCCCAGGGAGCTTTCTGATTCTATTTGGGAAGAAATTAGGGTTTTTGTAGTGTTGTGTTTATGCATTTGTTTCTTTATGCTGTATATATGGATGTTAAGGGTTATGGAATTGGTTCTGTAGAGGAAATGGTTATTGAAATGTGGTTTTTTGGTTTTCTAGACAAGAGGATGATCCAACTCGGTACCGTGAGTCTTACAGCAAACTAAGGTCATGGGCATATAACTCACTGGATCTATATAAGGTGTGATTTTTTTTTCTTCTCCCCTAGCTGTTTTTGCGTAGACACATTTGGTGTGGAACTTAATCAAACTAACAAGCTGCTTCGAATTTGAATTTTTGTAGCATGAATTGCTCCGAGTTATGTATCCTGTGTTTATTCATTGTTACATGGATCTGGTGGGGAAAGGGCACACTCAAGAGGGTACTTTTCGAAATAGCAATTACATATTCTGAGTATATTTTATTTTAGCTTAGGTATAAGATTTCTGTAAGCAGTGGACTTATGCCATTATGGGCAATAATTTTCTTGTATCCAGCTAGAGCCTTCTTTAACAGCTTCCGCAAAGATCATGAAATGGTACATTTACGGGATCTTCAGAAGCTGGAAGGCGTTCTTTCTCCATCTCATCTAGAGGTTTAAGCTAGGACTGTATAGTCGTATTATGTTGAGAATGAATTAGTTTTTCTTTTGGTTTCTCAACTTTCTTTATGGCCTCTGTTATTACCAGGAGATGGAGTTTGCTCGTTCTCTTAGAAAAAGCAAGGTCAACATCAAAATTTGTCAGGTAGACTTAGTGAAAAATGCTAGTAGCTGTAACAGGCATATACTTCGATGTTTTTGGTCTGATGAACTGAATTCCGTGACCTGCAGACGTCTAATATGCTTCCTGAATGTTGCAGTATTCATATGATCTGTTACTTCAGTATCTACATAGGACAGAATCAACTTTAATGCTGGGTATTATTAATGAGCACATCAATTTCCAAGGTAAATGTGTTTCTTTCTCATATATATGCAATAGCATGTAGCATATATTTGAGTTCAAGACTGAATCTACTGGTTGGTCATGGGTAATTTGTTGCAGTCTACTCGGGACAGCCGACTTCCTCATCCGATGACATAGAGGCTGTCACCATTGTCGGGAGTTTTCAGGACACAGCTAATCACATCAATCAGAAAGAAATACAGTGGGGAGTACGTATTTTGCCTAAAGCGTCTTCTCCTTTTTTCCCGGAGTTGAAACATGTTGATGCGTCATCCCTGGGAAGATAATATATTTGTATATTCTAGCTAAATAGTTTTTTTAATAGTTGCTTGAAGACTCGCTAGAAGACCGCCTTGAGAAGACTGGGGGTCTACTGTCTGATTCTGAGAAGGGACAGGGAGAAAGTAAAGACGGGGATGCGGATGATAGTAAGGTGATACACAACTTCAAATTAGAACAGTGATTTTTGAACTGGATAGCCCATATTTACTTGTCAATTGATACTATGTTCAGAAAAGATCCACTGAAATTGGAAAGCAAGGCTCTTCCATAAAAAAGTTAAAGAAAGACAAAGCGGGAAATGCAACAGCAAAAGTTGCACGTCTGGAGACCAGCACGGTGCCACCAGCGCCACGTGTAAAACCAGAACTTGCCTTGCCAGTAATGTACTTTCGAATCCCTTACCCATTTTTTGTGTTAGGATGTGATGAAAAAGGAACTAACATGTGATATATGTTGGTGATGCATGATTGATTAGGAGAAATGAATAATGTAGCTCTCAAAGATTCAACCAACTTTAACATAAGTTAATTTCGTTCCATCTCCTTTTATTTCTCTGTCAGGTCTACAGATGTAGAGCAATCCATCCTTGAAGACCTGAGAAACCGCGTGCAGTTGAGTAGTGTCGCAATGCCATCTGTCAGCTTTTATACATTTATTAATACTCATAATGGGTAATGTCCACTTCTCCTCCTAATTTGTGCTATTTATTTGCAACTTGTTACTCACTCTTTTGTTGTCCCACAGGTTAAATTGTGCATCTATATCTCATGATGGATCTCTGGTGGCTGGTGGATTCTCAGATTCATCAATAAAGGTGTGTAATTCTTGGATGGTTGGGATATGTTTCCTTTTCTTGTTTTCTTCCTCTCTTAAATGATGCCTAACTGAAAATTATGGTCTTCAGGTCTGGGACATGGCTAAGATAGGACAATCTGGCAGTGGTATGCTTTTACTTTGAAGCAATAATTTTTATAATAGCATTCATTGTGGGAAACATATTATTGACATCTACAGTTAAGAATGATATTAAGTTGGTTTTGCATGATTGTCGTTTGTGTTTCCACCAGAAGTAGTAGACACTAAGTTGTCTGGTTCCAGGTGCTTTGCAGGGTGAAAATGATACAAATGATTCAATCGGAGGGCCTAATGGCAGAAGAAATTATACATTATTACTGGGTCACTCAGGGCCTGTTTACTCGGCCACTTTCAGCCCTCCAGGAGATTTTGTTTTATCTTCTTCAGCAGATACGACAAGTATGTATATGTCCATCATTCTACGTATCTATATACTCTCTTTGGTTTGGAGGTTTTGTAGTTACCAATCACGTTTTCATATGTGCAGTACGACTCTGGAGCACAAAATTAAATGCCAATCTTGTGTGCTACAAGGGTCATAATTACCCTGTGTGGGATGTCCAGGTATAACTGTTAATTTTTAACATTTTTTTCTTACATAAAGTGCAATGTATGGTGGACGGATTTGTATATATACTTGTTTTATCGTGCAGTTTAGTCCTTTTGGGCATTACTTTGCAAGCTGTTCTCATGATCGTACTGCACGGATTTGGTCAATGGACCAAATACAACCTCTCCGGATAATGGCAGGGCATCTATCTGATGTCGATGTGAGTGTCTCCCTCATCTTAATTGTTTGGTTTTAATTGGCAAAAGTTAAATCAAAGATACCACTTGAGTTGTTAATTCATGCATGGAGAAAATTAGAAATGTTTTGGTATGCAATTGAAGTCACTAATTTACCGTTTCACAGTTTAAAATGCTTTAGCTAACACATTGCATTCTTTTATTGACTTAGAATAGTAGCTACTTTCATTTTTAACGTGACATTGGCAGTCATAAATTATATTTGATCCAAATACTGTTATCCATTCCACTTGAAGTCATAAGCTTATGATGGATTACTTAACTATTAGGATTGACATTAATACATATGAGTAACTTAGATTTCTCTAAAGATATCTATTGACATGACTTTCGTTGTACTTATCATATAAATTTGGTTTCAGTGTGTACAGTGGCATCCCAATTGTAACTACATTGCAACCGGCTCTAGTGATAAGACGGTTAGACTTTGGGACGTGCAAACAGGGGAATGTGTCCGGATATTCATTGGGCACAGGAGTATGGTGTTATCATTGGCAATGTCTCCAGATGGGAGATATATGGCTTCCGGTGACGAAGATGGCACCATTATGATGTGGGACCTCTCAACAGCTCGCTGCATCACACCTCTCATGGGACATAATTCATGTGTCTGGAGTCTCTGTTACAGGTGAGAGATTGAAACAATAAGCAAGTAGTATTCTTTGATTGTTCAATTTTTGTTGAGCATGTGAAACCCAAAGAAAACGTAATATGATCAAAACATATTTGTTTTGGTTGGTGGCTTATAATCTCTCCAGGTTTGCTCTAGGACAACATTGTTTAAAGGTAGTTCAGGGTTATGTACAAGAGTGGCCTGTGTGGCTTTTCTTCTATTTGTTCAACTTACTACTGGAATGGTAGAATTTTTTATGTCCACACACTCTTGTATTAACTTTTATTGAGGAGTTCTTGTCATGGGTTGGGGATAGTTGTAGAGGCCTAACATCTGTTGGGTCGTTAATAGAATGGCTGGCTTTGCATGGTCAAGTCTGCTTGCTTGAAATAGTAAAAACGGCAAACTTCACTTCTGATAACCCAAGAACTACTAAAATTTATGACTAACCTGTTTTTCTGTTTCAGCGGTGAGGGCTCTCTTCTGGCCTCTGGATCCGCAGACTGCACAGTGAAACTATGGGACGTAACCTCAAGTACCAAATCAACAAAGGCTGAGGAAAAGTGAGTTTGCTCGTTCCAAAGTTGTATTATTGCTCTCTTTGATTAGTAGATTGTTTTGTTAAGAAAGATGTATCATTTGTCGCTGCTCAGGAATGGGAACTCGAACAGATTGCGTTCACTCCGGACTTTCCCCACCAAGTCCACACCAGTTCACGCTCTCCGAGTAAGTTATGCTTTCTTTACTGGAATTATTTCCACCATTCCCGAAATACCATGATCCTATTCTCATTGCTGGATTCTCTGCGTATCACGATGTGCTTGTTATATCACATCCGGATAATTAGTGACAAAATATTGATTAGAACCAAAATTTCATGGTGTATGCAAAAAAAAAAAAAAAGTTGATCCATGATAGAGAACCTTACAGCTAACCCCTAGGATTGCAAAGCTCGTTGATCAAGCCTACACTATATAACTCGGGTTTTACATTGGTGCAGTTTTCTCGGAGAAATTTGTTGTTTGCTGCAGGAGCGCTCTCTAAACCCGCAAGCTGATCAAAACGATGGTATTCAGATATTTCCTGCTTTAGCATTCTTACAAGCTGTTGTAGATCAGAAGAAATCAGGTGTAGAATAGTTATATCCAAAGATTACTTGTTTGTAGCTTCCATTTCCCATTTCTAAATTCCAAAGATGTTGAGATTCTTCAAGTGAACTACTCCTGCTGCTTATGTATGCCTTATGTGTCCAATCCAAGAATCACTTATCTTCCACTTGGAGAGCTTACTGCTATGTAGGATTAGCCCACAATGTCCCTTTTTTACTGCCATCACATTGTTCTTCTCTCTCTGTCAATTGCACTACCATTTAAACATCGATCTTTCTATCTTTTATAGTAATCAAACATAGCAAAATGTGTATTTCGATTCATGATTTCGCTAGTCATTTGGAAATGTAAGTTGATGGGCTTGTTTGCTTTGCCACAACCTCATTTGAGATGCCTACGCATGCCGTCATGCTATAGCAGTCATTACTGTTGGGAGTGCACCGTCAGAATATACTTAACTCGTTTCCATGCAAACCCACATTTGATTTTATTACCATATTCATATAAGCATGCATCGATGAATTATCTTTTTCCATATTTAATTAGTCATTTATCAGTTTACAACTCCATAGATGTTTTTTTTTTCTTCTAATCTCAGCATACAACATGTTGTGAATTATGATTTATTATTAGAGACATAAAATCAAATCCCAAATGAGAAATTTATTATATGCTAACATAAGTTATTTTTGTAGAAAGATTATTTCCCTTAATTTTTAAGAAGACTGTACTTGAATATAATAAGATCTGAAATGAAAATGAATGACATTTGCTTCAAAAATTTGGATGAGACATGAAATCTAACAAAAGTAGATTTGGTTGTTTTCGTGATTAGACAATTGTCTACATTTGGAATTATATGTGTGAGTGTGTTTCTTTGTTATCTTATATCATTAGTCATTACATTACTTTTTCAGAAACAAAATAAAGTTAGAAAAATTCACTTGCATGCCATCATTTTCGTTTTTTTCCCAAAAATACTGTAAACATAAAAATCTGATTTTTAAAGGTGTAAAATTATTTTTTAATGTTTGACTTGACTATTTATATTTAGAGTATAGTTTTTAGGGGTAGGATTTAGTGTTTATGATTTATAAATTAGTTTTAAATGTTAAAAATTTTAGTTTTGTGGTATTTTTGAAAAAAATGTATTTTAGTGATATTTTTGAAAAAAAAAACTTATAATTATATTTTTTGAAAGTTAACAGGATAAACAGCAAAACCATTTTGAATACCATATATATATATTTTATATTAGTGTGCATAAAGAGTCAAATACTCCTCTCTTTTTCTTTTGGTCCGGTAACTCATGATTAAGTAGACAATGACCACGAATGAAAATCTATATTTTACAAAAATACAATAAGGATTTTGAATTCATCGTGTAATAAAAAAAAAGGATTAGCTGAGATTAAAAATAAAAATAAAAATTCAGACTCAAAACTATATTGTTATTGACAACCTTTATATGTAGAACTATTTATCAATGCAGATGACAAACTCATTATAACGCTACATCACATCAAAATCAATTCATCATCTCTCTCATTCAGAAAAAAAATCGATTCGTCATAAGCAAATTCCAAAGAGTTTTATTTTTTTGGTGATAAAATTCCAAAGAAGTTTTGCTATACGAATAGCTACAAGTCACCATCTGTTTAAAGTAAGATACAATGTTCTGTATCTTTTTGACCATGATTGATGTAAACTATATCATATATATAATATTACGTGGAAAATTAGTTTACTCATAAAGCTTACCATAATCCATAATGATTAATAAACTTTGACAATTCACAGTTTCACACTATTCATTGATCTTTCTTTAAAACAATAATAAATGAATTCCTTTTTACTATTAACGCTTAAGTATATACTAAACGGAAATTAAACTCATAAATAACCTCAATTATCAACGAAATTACAGAATTATTTGGATAGATATATAATACCGACTTATAATACAACCTTTACTATATAAAAAAGTAACATACTTTATAGAATCGAATATTGATAAAAGTAAATAAAAAACGTATAAATGGAACGTTAACCATTTGATTAGAATCACTTCTACTTTCTTTTTTTTTTCATATCATGAAGATAATTAGTGATTATAAATTGAAAACTCTGAATCAGCTTTCCCTATTTCTGTGTCGGCCATATGTAACGTTGGACCTACCAACCAGGTCGCAAATCCCATACGACAAATATACAAAAGTTTTGAAAACCATTAGATCTTTCTGTTTTAATTACATATATGCTAAAGTAAATTAAACTTAGCTAAATAAAGTTGGAAATGTTAAAGTGGTTTAGATTGTTAGGAAATTAATATGTTGAAGATGTTGAGAAAGAAACAACACATTTAAACTCGACGTGGCTTCCCAAAAGAAAAGTTTCAATTGGTTGAAGAAAGCGACTATTTTTTCATGCAACCTAGTTGTATATGTCATGATGAAATTGAAGTGGGGAACCAAAATTTATATTGTCAAATCCACAAAAACTCTTTAGATGATAAAGAAGATGAGCGTGTAACTTTCAAAATTCTCTTTTCCTTCAAGATCAACACAAAATTAAGAAGGTTTAATCTCTCATTAAGATTAAACTATTCTTTAAATAAGTCATAAATATGGTCAACTATTTCTCATTAAGATACAAAATAAATTTTGATAAAGTATAACGAAGAAATCGTGAAGATATGAACCGGAGCCTGTAGCTTTGGTGGTAAAGGCTCCGGCTCTGGTGGTAAAGGACCCTCAGCTGAGGTATCCGCCATCATGAGTTCGAGCCCCAGCCACTACGGATTTCATATACGAGTTGCAGTGTTCCAGAAGCTAACACGTGGAGTGCCTTTAGGCCGCCGACGTGGCTATTCCAAGTGCAAACTTGGAATACCTAAATTATAAAAAAAAAAAAAAAATCGTGAAAATATGCGCATGCAAATAAGTATTTTAAGGTTGAGCTCTTTTAAGAAATTTACGGTTTGGATTCTAAACATTTTAAGCAATTAGGGCTAGGAACAAAGAATGTATTCTAGAATTTGTGATTGTAATTGTCAAGTAACTCGTTATTCGATCGGTTTCATCCTTCGGATGTTCGAATATTTTGTAAACTATAATATGTAAGACTACCAAAGTAATTTTCATCAAAAATTAAAGATGCTTGACCTACCTAGAACTCTAATATTAATATAATTTAATTTTCATTATGTATTTGAACAGAAATAAAAGTACTTTTTTATCATGTATTTGATTGATTTTTATAACTCTCATCCTCCTATCATTGCATATGTAAGTGTGTTAAGAGAGTAGTTAATTTGAGTGGTTTACAAATTACAACTTGTTAAATGATTGTAGATATTTTCCTAGATTATTTTTTTATTAGACCCACTAATTAATGATTAATTGTTTTTCTTGGTCAAAGAAGGAAAAACAATATATTGTATAGATGAGGCAAAATCAACAAGTAAAAATTAGCGACAATAAAGCTATGGGAAAGTTATTAAGACCTTTGTTCTAAGTAATTCTAACCAAGTGGGTTGGTTTGTAGTCATAGATCATCGATCTAATTGTATTACAGAATTCTAAATAACCGGTTATAAACTATGTGATTAGTTCTTAGCTTTGCTCTAGTCTCAATAGAGGACAAAAGAAGAAACATATGAAGGAGAGACCCACACGAGAAGCCAAAGGAGACAGAAATGGCCACTTACCTCGTGGGAGTTACAAAAAGTAGACATAATAAACTGACCTGAAATTTTTTTTTGGATGGATGGTCCATTAAAAACAGTACTCTTCCTTTTCAATTTATTGTCATCTTTCTCTCATGTCATTTCATCAGATGTACTAGCTAGAGACTCTAACTATTTTGAGAAACTGCTTCATTTTCAATTGTCGTTTGTATCCTTCTTAACTCATAGCTTTTATTTCTCTTCATAGATGAAAAGGGTTCTACTATATATATAGAGTGGAAACTGCACAAACTCAATTATTAAGATTAGCTATAGGGTTTACCAATTCAATATGTTCAACAACAACAAAAAAAGCATTCATCAATCACATGAATATACATCCATGATATGATCATCTTATATAATTTTGATATAGTATTTAATTATAAGGTAAAAAGTAACCGATCTAACTCCAAATTTTATTCGCAAAAATAAATATTTGATTAAAATTTGAACAAGTTGTATGTACCATCCGTATTTGATTATTTTAGATATTTGCTCTCTCCGTTACATAATATAAGATATTTAATAAAAAATTTTTTTTAACTTTATAAGATATTTTACAAATTTCTATACAAATCTTAAGTAGTCTTAGATATTTTTTGACTCTTTAAATTATGCAGTCTTTTGATGAATAGTTGATATATGTTTTTAAACTAAGATTTAAACGATGTTAAGTTTTTAAAAACGACTTCATAATTTTTGTACTTTTATCTAAAACATCTTATATTTTGGAACGTTGAAAGTATATATTTGTTATGGAAAAGAACAATCTAAACCAATATCAAACCGAAATCTTGATTGAATACCCTATAAATGTATGGAATGGATTATTGAAGGAAGAAGCAGCCTAACTAGGAAAGGATTCTATATACATATATTGAGATAGAGAGGCATATATATTTAGATGGTAGAGTTCCAATCAAAAAGCTTTAAAGTGTTTTGTGAGGAAGGGTGTGACAGCAAATTAAACCTACCTATCGCTCTCATCATAGTACTTTGGTCCACTTATTACAAAAACCTAAGGAAATGTTCTAAAGTGTAGGGTCTTTGTTTTCTTTGTCTATTCCTTTCTAATACCATCTACTTCTGCTCCCATTCACTGATATAAGACCTCTTCCATAGCCTATATTAATAATAGAAAGAGATTGAGAGAACCAATATATCATCATCATCACCTGAAAATATAATCTGTTCCCTTTTTGGCTCTCATGGACGCGTCGGTAGTTTCCTCATCCACACCTTTCCCATATCAAGATTCTCTAAAGCAGAGCCTAGAACAGAGCAACAAAGAAGACGTTCTTGATAATTCTTGCCAAGAACAGCTCAATAATAATCAAGAACTCAATCTCATCGACTGCATAGACGACACGACGAGTATTATTAAGGGATCATCTACTACATCAACAGAACAAAAGCTTTTCTCATGCAACTACTGTCAAAGAACTTTCTATAGCTCACAAGCACTTGGTGGTCACCAAAACGCACACAAGAGAGAGAGGACGTTGGCGAAGAGAGGACAACGTCTAGCAGCATCAGCCTCAGCTTTTGGACATCCTTATGGTTTCTCTCCACTTCCTTTCCATGGACAATACAACAACAGGTCACTAGGGATCCAAGCTCATTCTATGAGCCATAAGCTAAGTTCATATAACGGGTTTGGTGGTCACTATGGTCAGGTCAACTGGTCAAGACTTCCATTTGATCAACAACCAGCCATAGGCAAATTGCCTTCAATGGAGACTTTTCACCATCATCAAATGATGATGATGGCTCCTTCAGTAATTTCAATGTCCAATAACATCGGTAGATCATCAAGCAACATAGGAGAGATTCTTGAAGGGTCACCGGCTCTTGAACAATGGCGCGGAGAAGGAGGACTCTTAAGCACTAATCATGAAGAGCAACATAAGCTTGACTTGTCCCTCAAGCTTTGAGTTACCTTTTTCTTGATTCTTGAAATTTAGTGTCTCCAACTTTTGTTCATGTGTGTCTAGTAAAGGTATCTAATGTACATCTCTTTCCACATATTGTATCTAATTTAGTCTGAGATTTGTAGACTTCACATAAATGGATTTCAGGTTAGACACCCAACAACCGTATAAAGTATAGAGTAAATGAAAGAAAAAACAAAGAAGAAGAAAAAGAAGATATTGAGATCTATGGGAAGATTTGGTTTCATAGTCACAAGAAAAAGGAATTAATATTATAATGTCAAAGTTGGGTTACCTAAAAGTTAGAACAATCATTCCATTTATTTTAAAAGTTGATAACAAGACATTTAAACAGAACGAAACAGATATAAATTTTTAAAAGAAGACAGTTTTGCTGAGTAGGATGATTGTGACACAAAAAGCAAAGAGTACTATAAGAATATTGAAACACTATATATGTATATGATGAATACATCACAATGCATAATGTGATGACAGTAACAAGATAGCATGCAATGTTATATAAAGCATCCAATGGTTCTTACTCTTTGCTTAGCCTCAGATTGGTGGACACTACTAGACAACGAATGACATTACTAGAAGGGAGTCACGTTATTCAGCATTTAAGAAAACATTAAAAGAAGAAGAAAAAACTTGTCACACATGTTGCTTTCATAACCAAAGACTTCACGTGTTTTATCCAAAGACGGTCGAAAATAATTTCTTGTGGTCTTAATGTTCACCAAACAACCGAGAACTCCTTTAGAACTAATCGACAAAACCAATCGAATCAAGAACAGGCAGAGACCTTTAGTTGAAACAGAAGTAAACTATGAGTTTCTATGAAAACCTAAATGTTCTATGAGAATTACAAGAAAGTTGTATACAGAATCATTAAACCTCCGCTCTTACCTACAATGAAACATATAAGTTTGTTTTAATAAACTCTATAGCTAACACTTGAGAACAGACACACATGCACATCTCTTAAGGAACATACCACGAAGCTGAGTGTCGTTTAGAACTAGCTACAATTATATACCTGGACCGGTTTAAGTTTGACCTCAACTCAACTAAGGCTCTGTCGACATATCTCTTTTTTTTTTCTCTGCACCAGTGAACATTAGATGTAAGAAAGTACGCTTATTTGTATCCACACAGATTAAAAAATCGTCAGAGTGAATGAGAAAGTCACACAGTTCCATGAATAAATCCAAGAAGAATAAAGTTAGACAATCACACATGGTCCTAACGGTGCCATGCAGAACCAACCTGACGAGCTCGTCGATTCATTTTTATCGTCTTGTATACAAAACTTTGGCTCCAAAACTTTTCCAACATACTCATGAGTTACACACTTACACTTACCTGATGACATGATACATATATAAGTTGTGACGCTCATATTTGCCTTATCAATTTCTTTTATATATATAATTAACCCGATATTAAACAAACAAAACTTTTTTATTTCTTCGATTATGTTCTTGTGTCCGTTGATATATGATATTAAACATTTTTAAACGGATGATTATCATAACGGATGGGTTAATTTAGGAAAGTCAGGATTAGGTATTTGATCGGTTGGATATTTCGTCCTGAAACGGACATGATTAGCAAAATGAGTCTCTTTTGTTGGGCCACAAGGCCTACAGATGAAACTGACTAAGCTGAAAATGACATTCTCCGACAGTTTGAAGGTCTAGTGAGAGCCAATGGATTCACTAGATTCTAAAATGTATAGGAAGGGACGAAAACTTTAATTTGTTTGCTTAGAGGATTTTGTGTGTGTTGCCCATAAAATAACTTACTACAGTTTAATCGTGATAGGTCCCAATCAAAAGGTTATAAGAACACTAGACTTTAAACATTTTTCTTCATATATTTCATCATAAGATGTTATGAGTATTTATACATTTTAAGTGCCAACTATCTAGATCCTAGAATATAAAAGATATACATGAATCAAAGATTTAACATAATCTACCCAAACCACTAACAATGATAAGATCACTTATTATATTCTCATCCTTTTTAACCCTATTTTAATCGACACCGATTTATTTTGGTCATGTTCTCATCAAATCGTTCTTTATAAATAATGGTAAATATTGTACACTCTCTCTTCTAACCAAATGTTCAATCCATAAAAGACCATATCATGTATAAAAAGACCACTTGATGTGTATAAGCTGTTCCCGCTGAATATGCTGGTGATGACAAAGATTAGTTGACCCTAAAAGAACTCATCTAGTTATGGCCGACTTGTTACTTGTATATGATACGATCACTTGTGTTCACATATAGAGCTATCTTATTCGTATTTTGTGTCCAACGGGTGAAAGGAATAAAAGAGTTGTAATCATACGTTATCTACTTTGCACCTATGTTGTTTGGTGAGTGCTACATAAGCCTTGCTTTACAGAAGCCATATTTTCTATTAGTGATAACTCGACTGCCGATGAGTATTAAGATCTTTCTATATGGATTTGTTGGAAACTTTGGAAAAGCCAAGAGAAGAGTTTCATTTTCATCAGGTCCACCGAACAAACAACGTTATCGAAAAAGATAAAGGAAGATACAAATACAAGTGATCGGCCCATAACGTCGTTGCTTTTGATTTAATGTATTCTTCGACTAATTGACATCATGACCGAAGAAAAAATAAATTGTATTGTTGACTATAAAACAAGAACAAAATTTTCATTTATGAGTCTCTGACTAGTGACTACTAGTGCCAATCATAACCGATAAAAAATATATATATTTATCAAATTATGATAAACATGGTCGTTGAAAAAAAATAGTCACTAGGAATATAAAACTAGTAACTTATATTATCATCACTAGAAGTCGTATAAATAATAATCTACACAACTTGTTTGGTCTACGAAGTCGTTCTACAAATGGCCAAGGCTATTTAATTGTCGAACTCATAAAATCATATAGACATAGTTTGTTGACCTTTTAAAAGCCTCCTTTTGTAGAATTTATATACTTTGAGTAGTGAACAAACCAAAAATCTGATTTAATGTTAAATCACCTTTCTTATATGAAATATAACTTATCTTTAGAATTCAGTGGAAAATAAAATTATGATTAGAAGAAATGATCAAAAAGCATATTAATAAGTTTTCTTAGTCCAATGTTTATTCCACTATAAATTAAACAATCTTTAAAAGACGGCTAAAACATTTTTGAAGAGTCCATTATTGTATCTTAATTTGTGTTATGTTTAACCCCAATGCCAACTCATAATATGTTTTTGTCCATTAATTTACATGAAATTATTAGTCTTTTCTTTATACTTTTTGTTATATTTGTTTATCAATGAAAGTATAAAGTATTGAACAATGATCATTAAGAGCTTTCAACTAATTAAGTACCATTAATCACATAAAAAACAAAAGAATCATGTTGTATAATTCTCAAGTAAGTCAACGTAACTTAATTTGTTTCTTTTTTTTGGGTCAAAAGATAATTAAAAACGTAATTATGTTGCCAACTTCACGCCCTAACAAAAGCTTAGTCATCGTTTTGCTTAGAACTTACACAAAGACACAACTCCTGAGACATGGCTCGTGGCTTTGTCGATTTCTAAATTCTATTTTACAATTCTACCCTCATCTTCCTCATTTAATTACACAATCCACCACCCACTAGTATTCATACCCTCTCAACTAGTAGTCCTCGTTGGCGTCGTTGAAGGGAGAAAAAACATGAAATTCGTAAGTTTTGGGGCAAAACATAATAAAGTGTAAAATATAAGGACTAGAAAAACAATTTATGCACTAAAACAAAAGGAGCAAAGGATGACACAAAGCAGGAAAGAAGAAAAGAAAAGAATGTAGCTTTTAAGAAAGAAGGAAACATCATCAGAAGCTTCTCTCTTTCAGATTGACAGAGTTACAGAGAGAATTAAAGATTCGAAGCTCTTCTTTGGTCGTTTTTTAAAGAAAAATATGTTGTGTAGAATGGTGGTGGTGACCGGCCGGAAGAAGAAACCTGGTTCTGTTCCGGTTTATCTGAATGTATACGACCTTACACCTATCAATGGCTATGCTTATTGGTTAGGACTTGGGATCTATCACTCTGGTGTTGAAGGTAAATTACTTATTACTCGAAATTATTTGTGGGTTTTGGTTAAAGATTAAAACTTTTCAATTGGGTTTTGTAAATTTCATATCTTTGAGAAGATAAAATTTTGGTTTCAAGATTTGATTCTGTTTGGTTTCAAGAAGTAATAGACTTTATAAGTTTGGTTTTTGTTTGTTTGTAGATATTGAAATAGACCCGGTTTACATTTTTTTCGATAGATTCCAAAACTGGAAACTTTTTTTTTTTAACCCAATTTGGATCAGCTTCTATGTGTGACTATGACTACCAAGCTTATATGAATTTTTAATATACATGTCTGTCCAAAAATGAATGATGAGATCAAGTCCTATAGTTTTGTTTGGGTCCTAATATATAGATGAAACAGAGTTGTTGGATTGATGATGTATTGTTTGGTTATAGTTCATGGGGTTGAATACGGTTTTGGAGCTCATGAGCATTCAACTACGGGGATCTTCGAGGTGGAACCAAAGCAATGTCCGGGTTTTACATTCAGGAAGTCTATTTTGATTGGAAGAACTGATTTGGATTCTGATAAAGTTCGTTCCTTTATGGAGAAACTTGCTGAAGATTATAGTGGAAACACTTACCATTTGATTACGAAGAACTGTAATCACTTTTGTAATGATGTTTGTGTTCAGTTGACTCGAAGATCGATACCTAATTGGGTTAACCGTCTTGCTCGCTTTGGTAAGAAGTTACAAAAAACAGAACACTGGCTTTTACTCTGTTTTGTGTATAAGATTGTAAGTTTAGGTTTGTTTGTTTTGCGTTTAGGTTTGTTTTGTAACTGTGTTTTGCCGGCTGAGCTGAACGAGACAAAGGTGAGGCAAGTGAGATCAAAGGAAGAGAAGATTCCTGAAGTGGAAAAGAAGAAACTTCGGAGCAGATCAAGTAGATTCCCACCTGGCCCTTCGCTTTCTTCTTCGCCGGGTTCTTTAAACCGGAGCAGAAGAGGGGAAAGGAGAAGACAATGTTTTCCTCCATCGCCAACTGTGAGTGCTTAGCTCTAGTGTTAGTAAAACTTTGTATTTCACCTTCTTGTTTCTGTTATTTGATTCGTTAGTAATGGTCCAAAGAAGTTGTGTTTACGCTACGAGATATCAGATTGAACAAACATTTTCTTGATATGGTAATGTTATAAGATCTCCACATTATTTTTGTCATATGGTAATGATATAAGAACTTCACATTACTTATTTTGAACTACGAAATTAAAAGGTGATGTGACTTCAACTCCATTGGGTAAGGACAGGGATAAGCTCAAGTGGAACTTTCTTAGGACAAACAAGTCCATACGATTCTTCAAGATCGACATCTTCTACCTCCATCCCTTCCGGAAGCTTCCAATCGAAACGGTAAAGAAGATTGATAAGAGTCAAATGTACCAAAGCCATACCCATTCCTATACCAGGACACATTCTCCTTCCGCTACCAAAGGGCAAAAGCTCAAAGTCTAGACCTTTATAGTCAATTTGGCTATCCATAAACCTCTCCGGGATGAAAGCTTCTGGATCTTTCCAAACGTTTGGATTCCTATGAATAGCCCATACGTTAACATAGATCCATGTTTTCTTTGGAATGTCATAACCTTTGATCTTTAGATCCTTTGAAGCCTCTCTTGGAATTAGTAGTGGTACAAGTGGGTTTATCCTTAATGTTTCTTTGATCACCATTTTCAAATACTCGAGTCGTTCTATATCTTCTTCTATAATATCGTCTTTGTTTTTGATCACTTCTCTTACCTCAGCTTGCGCTTTCTTTAGAACTCTTGGGTTTGTAATCAAATGTGTCATCACCCATGCCACAGTGTGGCCAGAAGTGTCTACTCCAGCAATTAGAAGGTTCTGTAATAATTAAAGACAATATTTAAATTATATGCAACAAGTGAAGAAAAACATTTGTTGAGAGAGAGGTTCACATTACGTACCAACATAATCCCTTTGGTGTGGTTTCGAGTAAGTTGATATTCTCCAAGTCCAGTCTCTCCTCTTTCCATCTTGAGGAGCAACTCAATGATATCATCGGATTTTCTAGGTGATGCTCTATAGATTGATCAAAAAATGAATCCATTGCCTTAAAGACCTTCTCACATTTGCTGTGTAACCCTGTTATCCTATCTATGAGTTTACCGACAACTGGAAAGTTATCGGCTGCTGCAAAGCTCCCTAGCACCTCCATTGTTCCTTGAACGACTTCCTCATAAGCATTCTCAAGTTTGCTTCCTTGGAGAGTTATCCCAAATCCAACTTTACAAATCACACTCCCAGAGAGTTTCACTAACTTCTTGTTCAAGTTAACCACTTCCTCCAAAGAAGCAGATTCTTTGATGGATTGGACAAGAGAGGCAACTTCCTCTTGTCTTACATGTTGAAATGATTTTACTCTTTTCGCGGTGTACAGTTCAACCACCGTCATCTTTCGCACTTCCCTCCAGTATTTGGTATAGAAAGAAAAGGCGAGATCTTTTAAATCGTATGTGACTCTTGCAGCATAAGTCATATAAGGTCTCGAGCAACATTCTACGTCGAACGTTTTTAAGACATCCTTCACTGTCTCCGGAGTTGACGCCACAACAGCAGACACATTTCCAAACTTCAAGGACATAAGAGGTCCATATTTTTGAGATAATTTGAACATCGAACGTTGAGGTCTCGATCCTAATTGGTGCAAGTTACCAATTATAGGAAGTCTTGGTGGTCCGGGAGGTAGATTCTTCTTAGTCTTTCTCGTGTTCTTTGCAATGAGTACAGATGCAAAGAAGACGAATGCAAGAATGATATACCACAAACTCATCATTTTGCTTCCTACACAAAAAGGGATAGACACTACAAAAAAATAGTGAGATGATAGTCAGATTTTAATAACTATATAATAGCATTTTAAAAACGCTAAATCGTATAATTGCTGAGCAGTAAGCTAGAGAAGCCAATATTTTCTATTTCTAGTAAGCTTAATATTTGATAACCTTAAAGAGATATATAAATACATGTCTATAGTATGATTGACTCAAAGCATGCTTAATTGGATTGAAAAATATATAGAACCTCGCTAAGTAAAACCACTCAAGCACCCTTAGTTTTTTTTGGATTGAAGATTCATATAAGTCTGTAATTAAGCCAAGACATAAGAAACATATAAGAGAATAGACATCAAAATTATATATTTATAAAGAAACTAGAATCAGAAACATATAGATACAGAGTTATATGACAATGAATAGTCATATAAACTCTGTAAAGACAAGAATAATTTCTTAAAGAATGGCTATAGATAAGATTTACTAATATATTTCTTCAAAGAATAGAATCAGAAACTACCTTAAACACTGTGGGGAGAGGGAGATGGAGAGATGGAGAGATAGAGAGAGGAAGAAGAAGACGAAGTGTATTATATTAAGCTTTGGCTTTGTGAGAGAACTGAGAAGAGATGTGGCGGCTACGTGGAATGCTTTGAGATAGATTATGGCCACTCAATACTTTTGTTAGATTCTTGTGCTGATATAGATGTGTCCACTTGTTATAAATTCCCTATAAGTAAAAGAAAAATACATTTTTTCACGTGGACTGATCGATGGGGTTAAAATTAAAAATTAACTAGAAATTAAACAATTGGATACTTAAAAATCAGATATTTAACTGGGTTTGAATATATATTAGATACTTTCTCAACTGATTATATTATTTCTATATTTAGATTTCGGATTTCCTAATATTCTATAACTAATTTAAAATAATAAATTACAAAACACTTATTATTCTCCTTTCATTTTTATTTGATCTTATTTCATTTATTATATTAAAATATATAATATAAATATAGAATAAAAATTCATATTTTTTTATATTTTGCATTTTAAATTTTTCAGAATAGATATATATTACTCAATTGACAAAGAAAATATTATTATAAACTTAAAATTTTATTAAAATAAAATATTTCGTTAAATATATTGGTTAAATCTAAGCGGGTTGGTTAGATATTTTCATGAAATTTCATATTATACTTTAATGATAGAAAAATGTATAAAACATACCACATCGGTTAAATATTCTGGACAATGGATTTAAATCATTATAAACATGACCACTATACTTCTAACTATGAATGAGCATAAAATTTAACTTATCGGGCTTTCAATTTTAAATTTTTTTTTGGATTAGTAAATTATTTATTTGAGCATATAAAATTTTTAAAAGTTTCAAAATATTATATATTTTTTTTATAAATATTACTATGATACAAAATTCATTTATAAGAGTTACGACTATTTAGTCAAATGAAGAAAACAAGAAGGATTTTGTACATATTACTATTTAAAATTACAATATTATGTATATATTTAAATAATAATAATATATTTATTATTTATCATTATTTAAATTGAAATGGTGAATTTTTTAAGAATATTGTTAATGTTAGAGTATCAATTCATGCATGATGCCGATCAAAAAATAAGAAATTTTCATTACATATTGTTATTTATAATAAAATAAAAAATTCACCATTGTTGTAGTTTACGGTCCTTTTGTACTCTTCTCTTCGTATTGCTCTGTGTTTTATAATCTTTTAAAAAATGGCTTAGAACTTAAGTAGACAATCAGTTAACATAAAAGATCATTTGATTTTGACAAACATTTAAAAAAAATAAAAATTGAGCCGAGTTTATCAGTTGTATAAACTGATCTTTACATAGATACACGAGGATATGTACAAACTATTACCTTAGCATGGGTTTACACCATCCTCATTAGTCATCCCCATAAGAATGTAATTTAAATATAAAAGTAAAAATAAAAATAAATGAAAGTGTCTTTAAATGTGTGCATATGTGAGATTAGTGTCTCTAAAGAGAAACTTTAGATCACAAAATAAGGATGTCTATAATTTAACATTAAATTATTTTCGAGACATTTACAATGGTATGGCCAATGAAAATGCTACAAGATATCAGACTGAACAAACATTTTCTTGATATGGTAATGGTAAAACATCTCCACATTATTTATGATATGGTAATGATACAAGAACTTCACATTCTTTATGATATGGTAATGGTATAACCACTACACATTATTTATGATATAGTAATGTTATAAGAACTTCACATTACTTATTTTGAAGTATGAAATTAAAAAGTGAAATGACTTCAACTCCATTGGGTAAGGACAGGGATAAGCTCAAGTGGAACCTTCTTAGGACAAACAAGTCCATAAGATTCTTCAAGATCGACATCTTCTACCTCCATCCCTTCTGGAAGCTTCCAATCGAAACGGTAAAGAAGATTGATAAGAGTCAAATGTACCAAAGCCATACTCATTACTACACCAGGGCACACTCTCCTTCCACTACCAAATGGCAACAACTCAAAGTCTAGACCTTTATAATCAATTTGGCAATCCATAAACCTCTCTGGGATGAAAGCTTCTGGATCTTTCCAAACGTTTGGATTCCTATGAATAGCCCAAACGTTGACATAGATCCATGTTTTCTTTGGAATGTCATAACCTCCAATCTTTAAATCTTTTGAAGCCTCTCTTGGAATTAGTAGTGGCACAATTGGATTTATCCTAAACGTTTCTTTAATCACCATTTTCAGATACTCCAATCTTTCTATATCTTCTTCTCCAATATCGTCTTTGTTCTTGATCACTTCTCTCACCTCGGCTTGCACTTTCTTTAAAACTCTAGGGTTTTTAATCAAATGTGTCATCACCCATGTCAAAGTTTGGCCAGAAGTGTCTATTCCAGCAACAAGAATGTTCTGTAATAATCAAGGCAACAAAAAAATTTAGATTTATATGCAACAAAATTATATAAATTAAGAGAGGTTCACATTACTTACCACCAGGATTCCTTTGGTGTGGTCTCGAGTAAGTTGAAATTCTCCAAGTCCAGTCTCTCCTCTTTCCATCTTGAGGAGCAACTCAATGATATCATCTTTAATATTAGGATTTTCTAAATGATGCTCTATAGATTGCTCAAAAAATGAATCCAATAACTTGAAAACCTTCTCACATTTGCTATGTAACCCTGTTACCCTATCGATGAGTTTACCAATAACTGGAAAGTGATCCGCAGCTGCAAAGCTCCCCACCACCTCCAAGGTTTTTTGAACGACTTCCTCATACGCATCCTCGAGTTTGCTTCCTTTGAGAGTGATCCCAAATCCAACTTTACAAATCACACTCCCAGTGAGTTTCACAAACTTGCGGTTCAAGTTAACTGCTTTCTCCAATGAAGCAGATTGTTTCATGAATTGGACAAAAGAGGCAACTTCTTCTTGTCTTATACGTTGAAATGATTTTACCCTTTTCGCGGTGTAGAGCTCAACGACCGTCATCTTCCGTACTTCCTTCCAATATTTGGTATAGAAAGAAAAAGCGAGATCTTTTAAACCGTATGTGATTCTTGCAGCATAAGTCATATAAGGCCGCGAACAACATTCTAGGTCAAACGTTTTTAAGACTTCCTTCACCGTCTCTGGAGTTGACGCCACAACAGCAGAGACATTTCCAAACTTCAAGGACATTAAAGGTCCATATTGTTCAGATAATTTGAACATCGAACGTTGAGGTCTCGATCCTAATTGGTGCAAGTTACCAATTATAGGAAGTCTTGGTGGTCCTGGAGGTAGATTCTTCTTTGTCTTTCTTGCGTTCTTTGCAGTAATGAGTATAGATGCAAAGAGCACGAATGCAACAATGATATACCACAAACTCATCATTTTGCTTCCTACACAATAAGGGTATATTCAAAGTAAATAGGTAGCTAAAAATTTGATAAACTTAAGAGAAATATAAATAGCATGCATGCATGTCAAGTGGACGATTGACCCCAAAAATGGAAAGCTTAATAAGTGGATTGAAAATATAGAACCTCGCTAACTATAAAACCACCAAAACACCCTAATTGTAATTAAACTAATATTGCAATAACAACAAAAGAAGAAGGGTCCTTATATATATTTTAGTTTCACATGTATAATATTTTGATTTTAGAAAATTCAATCGATTAATTGAGAAAGAAAGTGCAAAGTATACAAAATGAAAAAACAATGAAGAGTCATCATATCATTCATCACAATACTGTAAGCCAAGACAAGAATACTTTCCTAAACTGAATGACTAGAGATAACAATTATCAGATAATATAATCAGAAACATGTAAAGAGACATAGAGACATCGCAAAAAATACCTTAACCTTCAAGTTACGGAGAGGGAGAGATAGAAGACGAAGAAGTGAATTAGTAACTATGACATCTAGCTAGTGACAACTGAGAAGAGAGACGTACATGAGATGTGGCTACGAGGACTGCTTTGAAAATAGTAAGTTCATTTCGTAGAAGGAGCCAATGAATATATACTGATGAAAAATTCCTCAAAGTATTTTCTGAACTTAATTTTACAACCAAAATATTTTCTGAACTTAATTTTACAACCACAATTTTTCTGAAGCTAAATCTGAGACAATTTAGAAGTCCACACATATATTTTTCTTAGGGTAAAAGTCCACACAAATATTTTTCTCGAGGCAAATGAAATGTCCATTCCATCCTCGTTAGAATTTTCTACGAGAAGATTTGTAACCAGTTACATCATTTTTTCTACGTCTGTTTTGTAATAGGTTAATGCTACGACGAAATAGTTGAAAATTGTTAAAGAGTTTTCTACGACAAGATTGTAAACAAGTAACATCACTTATGTACGTGTTGAGTTTTGTGGTAATAGGTACAAACTAGATGTTGAACATTGTTGGAATGTTCAACGGAAAGTTTGTAAACAAGTAACATCATATCACTTTTGTACGTCTGCTTTTTGTAATAAGATAATGCTACGAAATAGCTGTAATTAAATGCCAACACGAGATACATTGAATTGAACCCACACTGCTCTACTTACGACATTTCATATCCAAAGAAAATGTGCATTACTCGTTAGGTGAAATAGATCCGACTAATACGATATAGTCATAAAGTACACAATGGGATGTATATAGCGCTGTCTGTTTGACAGTCGTTGGAGGTCTGTCACTGTGACTGCGACTGAAAGTTGTTTTCTAATCGACGTGTATGAATATATATCCGAGAATATGTGGGGTTCCTAGTTACTGTATTAACTAAATCTATGTTGTGATTTTGAAAATTGTCACTTTTTTTTTGTGAACTGACGGGAGATAATTAATTCTCTTCCTATGTTTTATTAATAAAATTTTAAAAAATTATACATAAATTTCTCTTGGCTGAGGTACACCAACAACATCTTCTTATAAAATCAACGCCAAATCCGGCGGAACAACATCCAAAGAATAAAAACTTAAAGGCAAAGAAGATAATCCAGTGAAAATTGTCACTTATCTATCAAATAGCTGACTAAAACTCTAAATAGATATTCAAATAGGTTTTACATAGTATCGTAACTGTCATCTATACATTTGCACTGTCTCATGTAATGTGAAAGTCAAAAAAATTTATAAAGCTTAACATGTTTAGAAATTTTTACTATATGTACAAAGTATTATTTTATAATGGGCCGGGGTTAGTTTGGTGTTTGCAATATGGGTTTGTCCAATAGTAGAGTATACTTTGAAGAAAAAGAAATAACATGGAATTTTAAACACGTCGTGAGGAGCATGGACGGACAAAACTTAGTTTCGATTGGTAATGGGTGAGAATTGAATGAGATGACGGATTAACGTTTTTAATGCGATTATAAACATAAAAGAATGATGACTTGCGGCACAATATTAAAATTTACAAGATAATACCATTATTGTTACGTTAGCCATCGACGAGGGTATTAAAATCGTAATGATAACGCTATGCATGGTCATGGATAGAGCTAGGTTAGATTCATAATGATGATCGGAAAAGAAGCTGAGGAGGTGAATAAATCGTGAAACTAACAAACTTTTATTATTTCAGTAAAGTATACAAAGCTTAATATGATATGATTATATCAATCTAGACTGATCTAGAAATTTGAAGTCATTGTTGTGTATAAATAAATTCATAAATTTTTGACAACAAAATGCTTTTTTATAAGATCAAACTATATATGTACTATGTTGATAATGATATTCATCATCCTCTTTTAAAATTACATTATCTTTAAATTTAAACGATTAGAAACTAATTAGATCGCCAAAAATGTGCATGGTCAATGTAGTTCAGATTGATGCCCATTCTTACATTTATGTATGTGGACAAACATTCGAGTTAACGGATGGTAGGCAGCACTGAAGAACTTTGTCATATTCCCATTTATTATATGAACGTAAAATTGTCCCCATTGCATATTTGTTTTGTTCGATATAGATAAGAAAGATGTAATGCACATGTGAGATTTAATATATGAATATACATTCAAATTATGATAGAAAACAATTCAGGTACGTGGCCATTTATATAGTTGTGGAGTCTGAACAATTGTTTACTAAATCATAAAATAAAATTTACAAAATTCATTGAAATTGTATGAGCAATGAAAATCTCAAATCTCAATAAGATATATATACAACAGATTTATCATTTATGTGTGTTTTAATACAATAAAGTAGACAATTATGAGAAATGTTTTTAGTCAAGATATATATATATATTTTTTTGAATGCAATGTTAAATTATATTCAAAAGAAAAAATAAACGTTTTTACAACAAGTGCATCGGTTTTGGACTAAAAAATCGAAAAGATTAAGAATAGGCTACAAATTATGTTCTAGTTTGAAGCCACAATTGGAAACCCGCTGCATACCGGAGATCTCCCATTTTCCGAATTGAAGAAAGTTGATCTCGTACTTGTTTATCGATCATTTTCGTAAGCTGAGGTGGTGGTATTGGGGCGTTGCCATGTCGCCTACAATTCCGCTCTCTCCAGATTCCATAGACAACAGCTTGAAAAGCATATCGTAGCAGAAAGGTATGAACCCGATCTTGATGAGGTGTAGAGATTAAAGCGATGAGTCTTGTCCAATCTGTTGTATAATGCGAAAGGAGGAGTCCCTTAGCAGTTGAAGCCCAAATTTCAGAAGCATAAGAGCAAGCAAAGAACAAATGGTCCCTCGTCTCCACGTCTTGTTGGCAGAACTCACAAATTCCCGAGAGACCCCGAGACCACTTCACCATTTTTTCCCCCGTTGGTAATCGGTCATGTACTGCTAGCCACACGCAAAAGGTGAATTTTGGAGTAGCGTGAGAGAACCAGACTCCCTTCCCCCAAGCTACCCGACTGGAAGCCGTGCGAATGTGATTCCAGGTGTCTTTAGTGGAGAACCGAGGCTTATATGAGTCGTTTGCAGCTTTCCAGAGAGCAACATCCCTTTGATCCGTGCGAGTAAGACTTTTGAGGTACAGCGTTTCTTCAATGGAGTTCAAGAGATCAGACCGGTGGCGACGCCTACGCCGAGACCACGCCCACGCTAGACTTTTCCCCCAACCAATTCCCATATCGATAACCACTCTCGCATCAACAAGCTCGACCAATCTACCCATGTGAGACCAGTCATCATACCAGAAAGAGGTGTGATTCCCATCACCCACGTCCATTTTAGCAAGAGGTTTTGCTAAACCACGGTACTTTAGCAATTTTTTCCAAATCCAAGAGCCTTTAGCCGAGGTGCTTGCGATAGACCAGAAAGACGAGTGCTTAAGAAGATATGTTTCAATCCACTTAACCCATAAGGACTGACTATGCGAGACAATACGCCAAATGAGTTTCAAAATACTAACATTGTTAGCCTCATGTAAAGATCTAAGCCCGAGACCACCCTCTTGTTTTGGTTTACAAACTGTTCCCCATGAAATTTTTGCTCTATGAGTGCTCATTTCCTGTCCAGACCATAGGAAGCTAGAACAAATCTTTTCAACCTCACTTATGCAGGCTCTAGGTAGCCGGAAAGCCGACAGCCAAAAATTACAAGTACTCCAAAGAACGGAGCTGATCAGATTTAGACGACCCGCAAAGGAGAGATGGCGAACAGTCCATGAACTTACACGGTTTCGAATCTGCTCAAGGAGAGGAGCACAATCGGCAAGAGACAGCTGCTTAGTCACCAACGGGAGGCCTAAGTAACGCACGGGAAGGTGGCCGATTGCAAAGGAGAACCTCGTCTCAATCCGTTGTCGAGTGCGAGGAGTGACACCAGCAAGAAAGATAGTAGATTTCTCCATACTAATCTTGAGACCTGAATATCCAGCAAATTTGTTAAAAATCTCAACAATACCATCCATTGATCTCACCTTGCCATCCGAAAGAACCATGAGATCGTCCGCAAAACTGAGATGAGTTAGCCCAAGATTTTCACAATGAGGATGATACCCATAGCGTCCAGCTCCAGCTGCCTTATCCAACATTTTTGAGAGCACATCCATGCACATAACAAACAAGTATGGTGATAAAGAGCAGCCTTGACGAAGCCCTCTTGAGCTCCGGAAATACCCTGCTAATTCACCATTAACTTGAACCGAAAAAGAGGCTGTGGAAACACACAAAATGATCCATTGAATAAATGTTGGTGGAAACCTCATAGCTGTGAAGATCTTGGAGAGAAAACTCCACTGAACCGAATCGAAAGCTTTGGAGATATCAATCTTGATAGCACACCTAGAGGTAATAGTATCCTTGTGATAATCCTTAACCAGTTCCATAGCCAACAATACATTTTCAATTAAGAGACGATCTTGAACAAACGCGGACTGATTCCCGGAAACAAATTTAGGCAGAACTTTCTTGAGGCGGTTAGCAATTATCTTGGAGATAACTTTATAAATCACATTACAGCAAGAAATGGGTCGGTAATCTTTCATCTCACAAGCTCCCTGATTCTTTGGAATGAGGGCAAGAATAGTAGAATTAATTCCCTTCGGTAGAAAACCTTTGGCAAAAAAAGATTGAATCGCAAGAGTAAATTCAACTCCAATAATACCCCAAGTTGCCTTGTAAAATTCAGCGGTGTAACCGTCGGGTCCGGGGGACTTATTACTTGGCATAGCAAATAACACCTTCTTAATCTCTTCTCCCGTCACTACAGCCGTAAGCATTTGGTTTTCCTCCTCTGAACATCGGAACGGAAGCAGTTCCTCAAGCTCATCAACAGCAACACCAACAAAATCTGACGGAATGAATTGTAGGAATTCTCTGAAATGTCTCTCAGCCTCAATCTTAATCTCTTCGACTTTCTCCATCAATCTACCATCTTGACACTTTATTTCCTTGATATTGTTCTTAGCTTTCCTTACTGCAGCCGCTCTATGAAAAATTTTATTGTTTTTATCCCCCACCTGAAGCCAATGGAGCTTCGAGGTTTGTTTAAGGAATTTCTCCTCCAATCCAGCAACAAAGTCCCACCGCTGGTAAGCCTCATTTTCTTCCGCCATCAAAACTGCAGAAGGATTAGATAGGTTAGCTTCCTGTTTTAGACAAAGACGATCAAAAGCTTCCTTCGTCTTTTTCACCAAGTGTCCCAGCCTCTCTTTGGCCAAACTCCGAAGTAACGACTTTAAACCTTTACATTTCTTTGAGAAACGGAATAATGTAGAAGTAGATAAGAACAGAGACTCAGTTTCCTTCCAATAATTCTCCACCAACGGTTTAAACTCCTCCATTTCTGTCAAAACATTCACAAACTTGAAAAGCTTCCTACTTCGAACAGCATTGTCATTGTCTCCTTTAATCATAATGCGGCACCGCAGATGATCAGAACAACCACCAGCGTCAAAAACATTATAGGCATGAGGGAAAGCCTGGAGCCACTTATCATTTACCATGACCCGGTCCAACTTCTTCATAATAAGATCATCTTCTCTTTTGTTACACCAAGTGTATAGAGGTCCTTGAAAACTCATATCCTGAAGAGAACAATCGTTTACTACCTCTTGGAAATCTCGCATAGCAGCCGTGATCTCCGGAGTAACATCAACACGTGAATGCTCCACCATAGCCAAAGTCACATTAAAATCACCAAAAATCATCCAAGGCTTATTTCTGATAATTGTGGAATCGCAGTGATCCCTCAAATCTCTCCACAGCTCCTTACGCTCTGCCGGGCAGTTAGAAGCGTAGATAAAAGAACAAAAAAACTCTCCTTCTTGTCCTTGTAACTGTACCGAGCAAGTTACAAGCTGGGCACTTTTAAAAAATGGAGTGAGACGAGCAGTGTCTCTCCACATGATCCAAATACGCCCACGGCAATTAAATTCATAGTTGGTTAGCATCGTCCAGTCACGCAAGAGCTGATCTCCCAGCCACTGCGCTTTCCGTTCTTTAACCCGAGTCTCAAGTAAACAACCAAATTGAAACTCATTCTCTCCCACCCACTTCTTTATCACGGAATGCTGTGAAGATTTATTTAAGCCACAGACATTCCAAAAGAAGCACGACATTATTATTGATGGTTTGGCCGAGCCTTCTTACTCGGATCTCTTGGGGGAGCCCCATTCGACTGAGTTAGACGATTCGGTATTGCCTTATGCTCTGTTTTTGACTGTCGCGGGAGAGAGGGACGAAGCAGAACGTCGTGCTTCATACTCCGACCTGAAACCGCAGTCCCGCGCGTTTCAGAAGAAATAAAGGGGAGAGAAGAAACCAGCTGAATACTCTCCTCCTCCCGAGGCATGTCTTCCTCTTCTTTGTCTCCCTCCACCTCCAAAACAGAGTAGGAGTTCGAGAGAATAGATAGCTCTCCAAACTTGAAACTTTCGGTTGATTTCCCTGGGCTGCATGAAGATTTAGGAGTGGTCCACTCCTCTTCACCTCTCACAGTGACGTTCTGTTCTTCCACCTGTGGGCGCTCGACTTGTTCGACAATAACAGTGTCTAACGGAAGCACAGCTACTTCACTAACTACTTCTGGAATAATCTCTTGGACATTAGTCAGGGCAACTATAGAACCAGGAGCGGTTTGAACTTCTCTTGGTTTAGTTAAGCAAGTAGAGGAAGCGTGTCCCCATTTCTTGCAGCAGATACATCGCGGAGGCAACCAAGGGTAAGAGTACATGATGATCGTATCAAGTTCACCTTCCTCTTCGCCCGTAAGAAAATACTCTTGAGGGAGCTCTTTAGTAAGATCGGCCTCAACTAGAATTTGTGCTTCCTCAAACGTAACACATGCCTCTGTCTTAGGATGAAGTCTTATAGGTTTACCCACTGCACTTGAAAGGAATTCAAGTCCTTTGTGTGTAAACATTGATGGAGGAACGTTTTTAAGCGTGATCCAAAGTGGTATTGATTTCATTGCTGGTTGTTCCTCCGCAAAAGGAGTCCATTTGGAGACAATCATTGGAATGTCCATAATGTTCCACATACCACGGTTTAGAATTCTGTTTCGCATACTCTCATTTCGAATGCGAAATTTGACAGTGTTGTCATTCACCTCATAAACATCAATGAATGTAGACTTATCCCCCAATCTCCAAATCTTATTCACTATCATGTGAATCTTCCCCACATGTGGCGCCTTAGTGTTAAGAAATTTACCCAAAACAAAATCTTCCCAGAGTGGTTTTGCATCAACAAACACCTCTCTTGGAACCACCACCTTCTGTTGGCCATCAACTTCAACAACCTCAAACTTTTGTTTAGTGAAAACACGATTTTGGGCGACATGAGCCCAGGATCTCTTCTTTTTTGGATCCACCGTCGGCTGAACTGACGGTGACGTAGTTTGTATACCTTCCACTGCCTTTACGGGGCTGCTAACTTTCGCACTAATGACTGAATCTTGTGACTGAGTAATCTCGACCGAAATTCCTGGAGTTTCCGATGCCAGAGCAGCCTCCGAGCGGCTCCGAGAAGCCAGCGGCGCCTCCATACGTGACCAAGAAGCCAAAGAACCCTAATCTCCCTTTTTTTCGCCCTCCACGTCAGCAGTCTGTGTTTATTCCTCGACTATGAAAGTCTTTAGTCAAGATATTAACAATCCACCTCTATGATATTTTTTACATGAATTCAACTTTACTAAATCGTGTTATTCCACGTAGTAATTGACTATTGTTTATATCTTGCTGATTTAAAGATGTAAGAAAGAATTTGACTTTACTAAATCGTGTTATTCCATGTTAATAAAAATTGATTTATTTATAACGTACCGATATAAAGATGTCAAAAAAAATTACTACTATGATAACGTGAAATTATTTATATTATTTTTAATTTAAGAGATTCATATATTGATGGTAATTTGCGGAAAAAATTATTTTCACATCTCTGTATTAAAGTGTTTTCAATAGATAAACCATGAAGTAGAATTGTTTTTGGTAACATTAACTTTCCTCTGATTTTAAAATTTATTTTGTTTTGGAAATAACTAGATATTTAGAATAGACTCATGGTCAAAGGCACCTTGAGAAGCATCACATGAGCTAGAAATAAGTATCATAAACAAATGAAAAAAATACACCAACTCGAAAACAAAGGAGTATGTAATTGGATGTTAGTGAAAAAGGAGTTTCACCATATAAGTCCATGTTTGGTCGTCTTTAAAACCAACACCTTCACATGAGATTTCTACATTGCTCAACACCATCATTCTCTTCTCCATTATTGCCTTTGACCACTTTCCTTCTTTGTTTTTTTATATTTTTAATTCTCGACGTGTATCAATATGTGTCTAGTTATATATCTAATATAAATATGCAGCTATCTCACTCACAACTCACAAGATTCATCGGGGTAAAAGTTTGGGGTAAACTAGTTAGTTTCCTAGAACTTAGATCTTTTGTGAGTGTTGTTGTACTTCATGTTTATACCTATCACCAAAATAAAACTAGTTTACTTATGAAGACAAGTTTAAATTCATGGTCAATCATTCATACTTGTAAGAATTGTGGACATGGAAACAGATCACTGATATGTTCCTTATATTATGTACTAATGTTAAATCAATTTAAATTCGTGATAGAAATTTTTTGTGATTAAAAATTTTCTTCTCTAAAGTTTTAATATTTAACATATTTTTAAATTAATCAAGTGGTAAGTGGTAGTAGTTTCCAGTTGTTGAGAAGTAGTTTTAGGCTAGAGATTATTTTTTTGTAAAATTGAAATAAGCTAACCTCTTATATTTGATCGAAATGGTAACATGTTGTAAACTCATTTTAAAATCTGGTGAGTAGTCTACTCAACTTCATCCTAAGAGAATTAGTCATGTGGTAAAAAACATTGATCATCTCATGATTTTTATAAAAACAAATCATTTTTAAATGATTTAACAAGAAGAAAAAAAAAGAAACCGATTTTTAAATTTTGATAATTTTTTTCGATTTAAAAAAAAAATAATTCTCAGAATAGAGATCTACACTTAATAAAGGAAAAAAAGGCAAGCATGTAAGACTTGTAAGTGTACTTTTTCTTATGAAACTTTGATTTAAATATGTTGGTTTATTTTTGGTTGGATAAGACATAAAAACTTAATTGTTAAACATACTACCATTAAACAACAATTGCAAACGAAAAAATGAGAGGATTAACAAAGATCAACAAGAAGATTAACTAATTGAGTAGTCAAAACAAACACTAGCTAAGAAATTGAATCATGAAAAACAAAGCATGGAGTCATAGAGATTTACATAGGGACTAGGGAATAAAGTAGAAATAAGAACTAGAAGCAATCAATGGAATCATTTAAGAATATTTTTTAAACATATGAGTCATCAAATTACGATTAATCATATTTGTTCGATACTCAAAATTTCTTAACTCTCATTTGCAAATTGCAAATCAAGTAATTGACAACCGCACCACTAATCTTAAGTGTATTAATCTCACAAATCACAGAAATATTATTTCTCACTAGATTAAAAGAATTAATCATAATAACTTTCTTGGAACATTGTCACAAACATTTTATGTCAATTTTGTCGCAACTGAAGATTGTGAACTACCAACTTCACTTCACAAATTTTGTTGGATCATGAACATGAAATTGGGTTGCAGCAACCTGAGGCTTGTTGATCTAGATTCCATGAAAAGGTACATTGGTATAGGGCTAAGAGGTTGGCAACTGATTGGTTCGGTAGAATTGTGGGTGTTAATTCACCACGAGCCAAAAAGATCAATCAATCCTCACCACATCTTCAGTGGCACGAAGGTTTGGTATTTTTTCAGAAACTACACAAAATTGGATATTGGTAATGAAGTAGGTGTAGTTTAATTTTGACTTTAAATCACACTATTAAGTTTAATTGAACATAAACCTAAACGTAAAGTGGATGTGGATTGATTTCAAACTCAAAGTTTTGTAGTTCCTTAAAAAGGTTGAAACTATATGTTTGGGGAGGTAAAATGAAAATAGATCACCACCCATAACACATTAACTAATCATGTTCTACTAGTAAAGATACATAAAGATGAAGAGCACCAAACTGTTTATTTTTCTCCATCATCTAAACCTAGTAGGCCTATTACATCTCATCATAACCATAACACCTAGTTAAAGATCTACTACATGTACTACAAAATAATAATTATAATTGCATACAATTAAAGATTTGGTTAAGAAATTTTCCACCGTCATACTTATATATATGTTTGTACTTGATAACTTAAGTTTATAAACCAAAAAATGTGGATTGGTTTTTATACATAAATCAATATATCGAGATAAATCAGGTGCACTCATTCATCTTCGTTGATATACTAGTCAAGTGGGTGATTGAATGTAAACTTGGAGTGTGTTTCTACATTGCTCTGTTAGAATAGCATGGTGATCAACTAAGAAATATGCAAATATTTTAGAGAATTAGGCTATATTTTGTGTTCCATTTCTATCCGATTGAGTGAAGTCACAAAACACGGTTATGTGATTATTTTGTACAAAATATAGCAGTTATGTTGTAAAATACATTTAAATCTCATTGTACGACTTAAAAACCCTCATATAAAGTACAAAATAGATTAAAACAATTACAAGTAAACTACATATCAGTTCTTATATTCGATTAGGACGGTTTCAAACTATTTGTAGGATTAATTTTTTCCATAAATTTTGTGGAAAAATATATTTAACATGATAAATGTTTTTATTTATTAAAAGCATTTTATATTTATATTCTTTTAATAATTAACTTTTTGATAAATCAGAGTTTTGTTCGACCATTTAACTTATACATGTCAAAAGACAATATATCACAAGATCACCGTTGTTCACCAAACATGTAAAAATAATATATATATATATATATTCAATGCAAATCTTATATTAAATATCTTCAATTAAGAATTTAAGATTAATGCACATCTTACACAAATGACTAAAGATGTTTTAAGAATAACCTCAAGAACAAAAAATGTACGTAGATGTCGATAACAAGATATAAATAATACAAAAGTAAATATCAATGCATAAAAAAAAAAAATGGACAACATACATGTTCTCATGTGAATCTGAATTGCTACTTTTTTACCTATTCATTCTTTATTTGGTGATTGCAGTGAAATTTATATTGGGACAATAGAAAAGGACCTTCCTTAAAGGAAAAAACGAAGAAAGAAAAAAAGGGTCACAGAAGTTCAAAGAAGTAATGATGAAGAACTCACAAGCATGCCCATTATTTTAAATCTCACCTTTGCTGCTGCAAATTGCTTTATTAAGAAAACAGAATAATGAGAATAAAACTACACTTTTTTATAATTCCATCTTCTTTATCTATATATTGTTCACTTTTTTAGAAAGTTTGTGGGGGAACCAAAAATCAATTTCCAAACAGGTACGTAGAATAATCATTATAAGGTTTCCATTCGATTCGATAAAGACCTCGATCCAAAAATTAATATCACGTTGCGATTCTTATTCTTTATCAATCATATTGCTTTGACAATCTTTGTCCCATATAACATTTTCTTAATGGATCTCATCTCAGAGATAATATATATTGTCACTTACTCAATTTCCAGTATGTTTTGAGTAAGATTAGATTGGAACATGATCTCTAAACTCCAACAATTCATTTTTAATTTAAATTCCAGCATCTAAATATGTAAAATTCTGTAAGATTATATTCAAGAATTTTGAAATGATGTAATCTTCAATTTTAGTACTTTAAAGTTGCTATTGTGTCAACAAATTAACTAATTTTTTTTTTTTTTGATAAAAACGTAATCAAAAATAAATCATTTATAGATTTAATAGAAAAAGGAAAAAAAATAGCGTTCTCACAAGAAAAAATATCATATATAAATAAATATATATATAAAGACATTATTATATATATATATATATATATTATATATATAAAAAATAGACATAATTTTAGAATGATTTGAATTATAGTTTCGACAAGTAAATCACGTATAGCATGCAAATAATTAAAGGGACAACTAAAATCTTCGGATCCATATATTTCCTAATATCAAATCATTAGCGTGCGGCAATTTAGATGCATTGCATGTGAACGAACTGGTCATATTGCAAACCGAGCTTAACCATGATAATGAACTTTTCCGTTTAGTTCTTTTTGTTTTGTTTTTGGCTTGTTGCTAACAATACAACTAATAACGCGTATATTCATAATTCATGCAAGAAGAATCAACCGATTGGGCTGGAGCAGAGCTATCGTCACATAGTTGTAGCTTTTAGTCTTTCATTTCGTGAAAATAGTAATATATTTTTCCGTATTGACAGCTGATAAAGTTATAATTAGCCTAAGATTTGGCTAAGATACCACCAATAGTGGTGCTTTTAGGTTTTATTTACCCGAACCAAACCAAAAAACGTTTAATTCAATATACCATGGTTTCTATGAATACCAGAAATTTACCGAAATCCAAAATTTTGTTCGGTTTAATTCAGTTTTTCGAGTATGCTTACCATATGTGTGGTGTTATGTGGAGATTCTTTTACGATGTATCTTAATAATAGCTTACATAATGGAGTTTTTGTACTCAAACTGGATCGGACCAAGATTGGTATGAAATTGCAAGTGTCTGACAGGGTTTTACTAACGGACACTTCACACTAGCAAAGCTAAGTGGCAATGAGAAACCTGATATACACACTTGCGGTCGAAACAAACGCATTTGTTCAAATTTGCAACTATTTGACGTATCCTATATTTTTATTGTGGCTAACAAAGAATATTTTGATTTCTTTTTTTTTCTAGTTTAGTATAAGTGCTGGCAAACACAAATCACTCAAATTTAAAAGTTGGATTTGTATGTATGGTCGTCTCAAGCCACAGCTAGGGACACTCTTTTTCTACTTGGCAGCAATCCCAAATTATTTTAAAAAAAAAGATTTGTAAATGGAAAGAAAATAAAGACCCACCGTTGAAAAATGAAAACATGCATGGAACAAAAACACCAAAAAGCTAACACAAAATTTTCAAACACCTTCCAAACTACTACTACTACTCTCTCTCTCTCTGTCTTTTAGATATCTTTCTTCTCATTGTTCTATCTTTTCACTACACTATATCCCCACTTATTCACACATGTGTATAATTTTGTATTCTTGGTTTTTACAAGAAGAGAAACAAGAAAATGATAAACAAATTTTTATATAATAAGAAAATATACTATACATTACATAATAATAATAGCATATGATCGATTGCTCTTATAGAAACTAGAATCACAGTGTTTCAAAAGAGGCCAATTCAGATCAAAATGTCTTTTGGGGGAAATTAGCCTTTTTCTTCTCTTCACTACTACTCAAACGACGCCGTTTTGCTGAAAATAAAATAAAAAGAATACGCTAAAACGACAGGGCCGTTTCTTTAAAGCGTCTGAGTTGGTAAAACAGAACAAAGCTCAATGGAACCGTAGTGAAGCAGCTCTTCAATCATTTGCTCGATATGATCATCCTCCAAGGGACTAAAGTTCTGTTCCATGTTCATGTTTCCATCTTCCCACTTGATCTCCGTCGTCTCTGCTTTTACTCCTCCTCCTCCTCCTCCTCCTCTGTTAAACTGGTTCCCATTGGCCATCACGCCATTGATGTTGTCCCCGTCAGTTTCCGTGGTTCGTAATCTTGAGTTATGAGTTTGTGTTTGCGTTTGCGTTTGTTTGGTCATCTGAAGAGAAGCCATGTAGCATTTGTGGAGTTTGGCTGTGAGAGTTGCTGAGAGAAGCTTGGAAGAGGAAGTAGGAACTGCATTAGGGTTGTATGGGAAATTGGTACGTGCTCTCGGGCCACACATTAGCCTCGCAGCCTCGTCGTAGGCTCTTGCCGCATCTTCCGCGGTCTCAAATGTTCCCAACCAGATTCTTGTTTTCCTAAAACCGAAAAAACAAAACATAATCAGGTTTTGGTCCAGAACTTCTTAGTTAATTATAAACACGAGGATGTTTTGGTAATCTTTAAAAAAAGGGGGAAGGAGAAGAGTTCTTACAAGAGAGGGTGACGAATCTCGGAGACCCAAGAACCCCAATGCCTTTGTCTAACACCTCGGAAACGTTGTTGTGGTCGTGCCATTTTAGTTTTGCTTGTGGATGAGAATGGAGTAGTGTATGGTTTGTTCAGGTGAGTTTTTAAGTGTTTAGTGGTTTGTGGAAATGTTAAGAAAGAAGAAGAAAAGAATGATGAGAGTGAAGGAGCCTTATTGGAAGAGTGAAGGGTGGCTATAAGTACTGTTGGCTTTAGCTTCATAAAGAGAGAGATAGAGAAATGTCTTTTTTTTTTTTTTGTGTGTGTGAAAATTTCTTGTGGCAATTAACTGGCAATCAATTTGGTCCTAATTTGGACCCACGGCGTTACCAATACGATACGACCCAAAATAAAAAATCTCTCATGGATTTTGTTTTTTTTTTGAGAAAGAGACTGAGAGAGCTCTCTATAATAATAATTCTTAAATTTACTTCATTTGTTGTATTCGAAGTTGCTGCGACATGGGCAAATGGATTATCTAAGACCATCATTATTGGGGGGATCTTAGAGGCTAAAATCCCCCGGTTTTTGTAAGATCTTTTCTTTGCAAAAACCGGGGGATCTTAGCCTCTAAGATCCCCCCAATAATGATGCCCTAATACTGTCAGATATGGTATTTATAATTATATTGAAAGCTTTAGAAAACTTGTACATGCTAAACTGTCAGAATAATATATTTAAACCTATATAGTTTTGGTAAGTCTTATCGTAACTTAATCTACAAACTCAAATTTATTACCACATACATATTTATCACAGATTCGTGTAAAATTACATATATTTAATGTTTAGTTTTAGTTATTTTGTCCTTAGTTACGTATATTATACTTGAACAAGAAATACATTATAATCTCTATAAATCAATTTATTATTTCTGTCCAAATTAGTTTTTCTGTTCAATTTATTTATCCATGATATATAGTATCGTAGTTTTGATATTACAAATTTATAGAATTGTTGATGTAGTTATACATATTATGGAGTAAATTTAGCTATGAATATTCATTAATAACTCTAATTATTATATGTATAAGCATCAAATGTATTTTGTTTTTGCAATTGTGAACAAGTTGGATCCAAAAAGAGATTTTGGCTGCGGTGAAACTTCAAACCCACTGTATCTATTTTCACATGGGTTTGATCATCACAACATGTCTCTATATCATAGATACTGCCAAATTTTTCTAGATTTTTCCCCCAACTAATTAATAATAATAATAACAATAATAATTGGAAAAATAATAATCAATAGTTTTGATAACTAGTGTGACTCTTTCATCACCATTCTTCGCCCATGTGAGCCTTCGATAATGACTCAATCAAACCATCTTCAAAAACTATCATCTATTTTTATTTTATAATTATTGAAACAAACCTTAATATATTCTCTCATCATACCCATGATTTCTTGAGTATACAGTTTACCTACGAGTCTGTGACCTATAATAATAAAAAAAAAAAACTATACATTATTAATTATTTGTCATTTAGAACATTTAGGTTTATACTTTATACTAACAAAATATAATGACTAGTGTATATTGCTAAAACTCCATATTCAGACAATATATATACTTTTAGAGTAGATAATAATTGAAATAAGAGGTAATATAGAAGAATATGTTGGGGTAAAAGAGTGTGCAGGTAGAATGGATACATCAAGATTGACAAGTGCCAAATATTATTTCGTTCAGTCGAGTGACAAATTGATGAAAGAATCTTAGACCGCAATTATGACAAAAAGAAAAGAAAAAAAAACACTAGAGAAGGTCATTAACTTTTTTATCAAATTATTGATCATTTTAACCCTACTTATAATCATTTTTAACCCTAATAATTAACAAGTTTATGCTTTTTTCGTCGTTACATAATACATATTTACATCCATATATGTCTAATAAAGAAGTAAACCTAATTTAGTGCATTGATATAGTTATGGTCTTTCCTTTGATTCAAATAGTGTTATAAGTCGAAATAATATATATATAGTAGTTAATTAAGTTAGTTTTTGATTAATAAAGTGATATAATTGTCTTGGTCGATCAAATAATGAAGCAAAGCATGTGGGGGTGATGAGAAGCTCAAACAAAGACTGTTTTTTTTTCTTTTTTTTTTTGTATAAGTTACATTGCTAAATTTGTCTATTTGTTACTGTTTTGGCACGTGTGAGTATCGTAAACTATTCATTCTTCCAACTACTAAACATACTTCTGAAAGAGAAAGAGTAAGACTATCTCCAACTAAGGTTCATTAACATAGATTCTAGGTACGTATAATTAACAACATTCATACGAAGTATTATGCATGCTAGTTTTAATACGTGAGATTTTACAATAAACACATATATATCTCAATCTTGCAAACTATTATAAATATGAATTAACAAGTGAAATCATTAGCTAATATTTTGTAGATTGTTTGTCTTTATATAGCGTAGAGAGGGTCATCATAGGTTTGGTGAATCATAGTATTATTAACTTATCTTGATTGTGTTTTTTGTCGAACATTATATACAATTATGATCTTTTAACCTAAATAAACATATTACAAAATTAGTGTTTTGCGACTACATACAAAGTTTATGGGAAAAATGAGACAAAGTATTATGAATAAATTAAGGTAACGACCCTACGGCGTAAACGCGTGACAAGGGACCCATAACGACATACACAAACATGGGTGATGAAATGGTTTTGATTGTGATTCATGTCTTTTTCTTACATTATAATTATATATATACCAAAATCTATCATTTTAGCCTTTGTTTTAAAAATCGTCTTGCGTTAGTCGGGTGGTCGAGGTGCGCCTAACAAGAAAATCGGGGATTAAAAAACACAGTATAACATACAAAACTATAATATTGGCTTCCAAATTGTAGTAAATGTATCAAAATTATAATTTTAAAACCAAATTTATGTTTTTCATTAAAATTTTAGACATAAATTATTGTAAAACATCACAAATTCTCAATATAAGTGTTTAATAACCGACAAAAAAAATTTAAATTACGAATAGTCACTAATCGAAACAGATAAAGTGGACCTTACAATTACACGGGAAATAATCGGACCTAGGCGATGATTTTTTAAACAGAATTTAGCTATACATATGGTTTTAATCTATAGCTAAAATGTGAAAATTAATAAGGTGACGTCCATATCAAAGACCGCCACTCTCTCGTCCCATTCCACAATCAGTCACATGCAAATATGTAGAGGGTCCATTGAATCCACAACAAAAGGTCACAACAAAACTATTATTCTATAGAACTAATGTATAGTTTTCATCATATTATTATATAAAAAAAAAACTTAGTCATTCATACATATGATATAATATATGATAATGGATTGGAAGTTAATTCAACATGGACTTTTGGATGGTTTCAGAGACGTTGTTCCTCAGCTTGCATACACACATGCAGTATCTTTTTGGTGTTATCTATGCAATTTTTATATGTTCTTGGTACAAGAGAATCTAATCTATGTTGACAATATTTTCTCTTTTTATAATTTTTGAGAAAAGAAAAAAAAAATCCTGAAAGAAACAAAATATTATATCGAGTTTGTTTGCCTTTTTGTATATTTTATGTCGGGAGATCAAAAAAATTTCACAAACATAGAATCAATGGTTTGAATGTTCATAATTGTTGTTGGCATTAAAGCCACTAATTCCACAAAATGTAATTGCTCATATTGAAATTGTATGGTTCTTTTCGATGAAATAAGATTGGGTATGACTTTAAAGATCAAGATTTATAATTTACGATAACTAATGTATTAAAAAATGTAAGAGAGATCTTCTTCATGGATCGTGTAATTTACGCTTAAGTTAACGAATTCATCTAATAATCTATGTGGTTCAAAATGTCAAAATATTGATAACTAATTCTAGCAATTTCATTGTATTGCTATATATATATACATATATGTGTTGTGCTAAAGTATCATATAACATATATATTTAAACCTATGGTTTTTGCTATTGTATTTTAAATGTTCATTCATTTTATGGGTTACCAAACAAAACATTATATTTGTTTCCTATAACTCTCACATGCATAGTCGACTAAATTAAATATAGAATGTAATACACAACAATAACACTTTATATATAGTACAAATGATTTGATCTTAGAAACTCTCTGATCAATGTAGATTATGTATATATGAACCTAGGAGGACTCAAAAAGAATATAGAAGAAGTGATCAAGTTGGAGATAAAGAACGCGGTTTTGGTTCTTTTTGGAGCTAAGTAAAATGTTACGTTTGACTACCAAAAAGACAGAGAAATTGGAGTTGTGACTTTTTTGTCATTCTCACCCATTCATCACCGCACTCCATGGGATCTTTGTTCCCTCTCCTTATCTCTTAATCCGTTTGATGAAAGTTCTTTTGTTCTTATATACATAAATACAAAATTGCTTCTAGCTACTATACCTTAGCCACACAATTATGTAAATTTGGTGAAAATGAAAAGATAAGAAAAATTATATTTCTTGTGGCAAAAATGCTAAACCCATCTCTCGGCTCATTTCCATGTGCCTTTTGTTCATCAATGCAATTTTTTCTTCTGAACAAAGAACATCAATTATAAGTTTCTTTGGCTCTAAAACTATATATGAATTTCATATGCATATCAATTCCCTCTGATTTTCATGATTCCTTCATTTTATTGTTTGTAATCATTTTGAACAAGGAGTAATAGTTAGTATACTTTTTTTTTATCTTTTTTATATTAATTTAATTTATTTATAAAAATGGTCGGAAATTTGTAGGAACTTTTTCTACAAAATTCTGACAAATATTTCCGACAAATTTTAGACGATATTTGTTCGTCAGTAATATCCGACCAATTTCCCACAAATATTAGTTTTCAACTAAAGAATATCGACCAAATTTTGTTTTGTCAATAATTCGTCGGAATATGTATGTTTTGTCAAAGAATACCGATATAGTCGTCGAAAATTGGCGTGCTTTCTTGTAGTGTATAAAGTAGTCTTGCATTGGCATGTGTATGTGTGTGTGGCAATACAAGGAATAGTATACAATGAATGAATGGAAGATAACTTGGATTCACTAGGCCATGTGAATGATGTGAGCTTTGGGACAATGGTGAATCTCCCAATGGTTGAATATGGAAGAAGAAACTTTGACTTTATTGTTCGGTAATGTTGTTTTTTCAGTTTTCACGTTACGATTTTTTCCTCTTGTCACTCTCATGAGCCGCTCAGTCCCATAGCAGCATAGCAGCACCAGCACATGTACGTCCATATCTAACACAGACACTTTTTATTATTTTAATATCAGTTTCGGGAAATAAAATGTTTATAACTTGTGCTACTTTTTATTATTTTAATAGAATTATTCTTTTAGCGTATAGTTTTTGGACATTACAACCGGACCCAATCGGACATATGTTAGTAATGTTATTGTATCATCCAAATATTAAATTTTAAAAATCAATTTAACATTCAAAATTTAGGTAAAATATAGTCATGAAAAAATCTTTAAAAGACAGACACCTTAAATTTATAGATTTTGCATATTCGAGAGTAATATATATTTATTTTGATTGTAAAATATTTATTTAAAAAATATTACTAAAAAGTTTATAAAAGGACCAACCGTGGACGAGAAAGCAAATATGTATGTTGAAGGAATTAGTAGGCTTTAATAGTTGGGTCTGGTCGACGATGAAATCAATGTCTTAAATGGGCCTAGCCTAGCCCACTAATTGTTATACGCAGTCCAATCTCACTTCTCGTTGGTGCTCCTATGCGTTTGCCCTCGTCGCTCATCATTTGCCTTGAACGAACATAAGGGTTTGGTTAAATTTTGATATTCTTTCTCTAATAAGTGGAAATTTGATACTTTTAACTTTGATAATTTTAGATGGCAGAAATGAAAAAGTCTCATTTGGGTCCTAAGATGATAATAAAACACAATTAGAAAGTAGTTTTTTTTCTTGAATGTGATAAGAAAATAGTATAAATGGGCTACAATTTTCTTTTGGGGTTTTAGGAAAACTAAAATCTCACGGGCCTAGCTAAAATCTGTTAGTGGCATTCAACGTGGCCTTTCTTATTCACATGTAATTCGATTTAATGATCGATGAATGGATGCATAATGTTAACTTGCAGTGACCCTGCCGATAAGCAGGCCGCACCAATGCAGAATTAGTTTTTTGGATTTGGTTTTCGTCCATCGGACAACACAAGATGAGAGAATTATTGTAATCCACGAAAAGAGATAAACTCAAACTCAATTTGATATTATGTAACTAGGATTTTTAGCAAGATGAATTTTTTTGTGAGAACTTATATACGTAACGAAAACTTATTAGTGTGTACTCTGAGAATTGTTTCAAAACATTTTTCCGTGTTTTGAAACAATTTCATAAACTCAAATGATTTTCCAAATGATATTTGACTTTATGAATTTCATAAACAATTTTCCGTGTTTTGAAACAATTTCATAAACATTATTAGATTTAAACTCAAATGAGCCTATTAAACCTTGATTTAAATTTCACTAACTATGTTCCAAATTGTTTGAGTTTATGAATTTCATAAACAATTTTTCGTGTTTTGAAACAATTTCATAAACATTATTAGATTTAAACTCAAATGAGCCTATTAAACCTTGATTTAAAACTTGACATATCATATCTAATAACGTTTGCTCTTGGTGACAAGTTTAAGTTCTTTCCTTTTATCTTTTAGTTTGCATTTGAATGAAGAGCTATATAATCTCTTAGTTTAAATCAAGGTTTAATAGGCTCATTTGAGTTAAATTATCTTGCTTTCGATTAGCCCACAAGAACGTAGCAACTCACTTAATATTTCAAGTAATTATCTTAATATCCAATCTAAAGTAAACTAGTCAAAATTCGAATAAGACATAAATATTGATTGCTTCTCTCCTACTTAATTCTCCAACTCCCACATCTTCACACGTACTAATTAATTTATATACAAAAATAAAATAAAAAAACAGAGATAAAGAATAAAAACAAAGGAACTTTAATAAAAATATCATCATTTCTTCTCCTTCCTTGTTCCTTTCTCTCTCTCTTTCTCTTTCTCTTTCTCTCAAAGTTAGTATCTCAGTACACCTTTACGCTTTGTTTCTTTCTTTCTTCTTCTTCTTCTTCATCTTCTTGGTGTTTTGATTCAGAAGAATGGTTTCATCAGATGATTGGACGAAGTGCGCTATGAGAGATGGACAAGTGGTGGCAGAGCTTTTGGTAACGCTCAAAGAAGCCAAAGCAATCAAGAACCCGACAGTATCAGCTCTCCGGTGGGGAATCAGACAGCCACGGTCGTCTCAGTCTCCAAGAAAAGAAGCTGAATCTAGATGTAGTCCGAGTACACCACTATCTTGGAGTGGTGGTTGTGGTGGTTCTTCTTCTTCTCCTTCTTGTTATTATGTCGATGGTTACGAAGCTACTAGTCGTCGTATCAGCTCCGTTGGATCTAGATCTAAGGTTCCTTTCTCATTCTTGATTATGTTCTGATTTAACTGATCTGTTTAAAACTCATCAAAAAAAAAAACTTTTTCTTTCTTCTTTAGTTATGTGTTTGCTTCAACCTAGTTCTTGAATCTTGATTTATATATAACTTGGGAAACAAGATTTTCAGGTTTATAAACATACCAAAGATTATAGATTTGAACCATTTTATTATTACTACTTCTCCATCTGATAGAGATTCCAGACGTCCTTTTTTATTTTGTTTTTGTGCTTTCAAGAAGCTCATTGACCAAAAGCATCGTGTACTTACGAGTTAAAACAGCATGATACGATGCCGTTTTGGTGGTTTTTCCATTTTCTTGGATATTTAAAACTTGTTTTTACTGCTTTTATAGTTATGTTTTGCAATAATAAAAAAAGTCACGATGTGGATCTGGTTTGATGGGCCTACGGCTACTTGATTAATTTATGGGTTATCTCTTCTATGTCACAGTAGTAGTAGACCCCATAGTTTCTTTTTGGCCTTTTACTATGTTGCTGTGTCTATTACCAAAAGATCCAAGAAGTTGTTTTCCAAATGATGTTGTTATGTACGTATAAACATTTGGAAATAAGCAGAGGAACATCATCTGTTTTGCTTGGTGGTGGTTTGATATAATTTGGGATTAGTTGTTTTGAAATGCTAATAAAGAGTTGTAAGGATTCATTAGTTGTGTCTTGTGTGTGGAAGTGTTTAAAGAGAGTTAGGTTTATCAACCTCATAGACGCGTTGTTTAATAGTTATAGACTCACTTATGACATATTGGGACCGTTTGTTTTCTCAACATTCAATTTTATGTGGGGGCTTTCGAGTTTTTTCAGCTTATGTTTCTTGTGACTCAACTTTATTATTCACCTTACTGTTCTTGTTCTTTATCTCTAGGTTCTTGTAACGACCGCAGACTTAGATTTTGATGTCAAGAGGTTACAGAAGAAAAAGGTATCCAATTCTTGAAGTACTATAGAATCATTTCCTCTTTTGTAATTAACATTTTCTTGACTGATCACAAAGCAATTCTTGGTTTCTTGATGATGATATGTGACTCTTTCAGCATTATAATATTCTTTCCTTTTCTGTAAACAGGACATGGCATTGCTTAGATCACCATTTAGCGAGAGCAAGAACTTGAAGAGAATGAAGGTGAACAAATATTTCATACTTCACTCTCTCTCTCTTTTTCTCTATTTCTTGTTGTTTATACTAAAGAACAACAAAAACCCTTTTTTTGTAATTCAGAATATGGTAGAGAACGAGAATCATCGCAAGGCGGATGGCAATTTTTTGCTACCAGATTTGAATATAATGCCATGTGAGGAAAGTAGTGACCATTGTTCATCTTTGGGTGTGGAAACAACACTATATGGTATAGGGATTATAAGGTGAAAGGGTAACTCAACTTTAACCATGAGAAAGTGGTTTGAGAGACAGTGACCCTCTAGTTTGATCAGAGTATAGTAAGCTGATCTTGATCATCTTTTGGCTCAAAATGGTTTGAGCCTGCGCAGGAGCTCGAAACAAATGAAAAGATGTTCTACCTATAAACTACCTCAAGGAATGAAGTTTCCATTACATTGTGGAGGTGGTTTTTTTTAATAAAGATCATCATCAATGTGTAAGTTAAAGACAGAACTAAGAGATCAAACTAGATCTATTCTTATTCTTGTAGCAGCAACAAGAATATATTTATTTTTTCTGTTGTTTGTCTAAGGAGATATATACATATCACTTGTGACATTGTCTTCATGACCTCAAAAGTTCTCAGTTTTAAACTCTTCGACTGACGGTGTGATTTGAGTCACAAATGGTTTATATACAGTAAACTCTATAAATTAATAAAAACTTGAAAATAATAAAATATTCTAGTTTCGAATCGGGTCAATGTAAAAATTAAAAAATTTTTGAAAAGATAGTAAGATAACTTTTTTTTGAAATTCCTATGTAAATTAATATCATAATCATATATATATATATATATATATATATATATATATAGTTTCTTTTAGCACTCATCTCTATAAACAACTGTTATATTGTAGTTTCAAACTATAACATGTCATAAAAATAAATAAAAATTTTCTTTAAGTTTTTATTTCCAAATATGAATAATTTTAATTTTGATAGGTTTTAGGCTATTAAAATACGACAATTGAAGATTATTATTAAAAAGTTGAATATATGTATGTCATGTGTATAAAGGGATTTATCTATATTATTTGTAATTTACTATCAATAATTGGTTTTTAAAACCAAAAAATTTCAAAAAAATTATAACATCCAGAAAGTCTAATCTAATTTTTTTTATAAAATTGGCTTAATTCATAATTTTTTTAAGAATTTAAAAAAATTAAAAATTAAAAATAAATCTATAAATCATTAATAAATTATACTATAAAATAATAAATATGAATTTATCTTATAAATAAAATGATTTGTCATAATCCCAACATTATTAATTTATAAAAGTCTTACTGTATATAGGAGATATATACGTACATATACATATAACATATTCACAAATACATAAAACAAAACCCTTTGTGGCTTTATCTTCATGACCTCAAATAACACAATTAAACCTAACTTAAACCTTTATAAACCTAACTAAAACAACTTTACTAAACACAGCATCAACAAGTGCAACTCTGCAATAGTTCTCCGCTCCGATTCAAAGATGTCTGATCTTCCAAGTGATATAGAGGAGGAGGTGCTCTCTAGGCTTCCGGTGACATCTCTAGGAAAACTGCGACTGACCTGCAAAAAGTGGAACACTTTAACGAAAGATGAGAGTTTTTTAAAGAAACAGAGGAAGAAGGGAACTGAGATGGTGATGATGCTTGGACATAAAGTTTCCTTGATGAGCTTTGATCTCCTAAACTCATTATCTATAGAGCGTATAGGTAATCTCAATGCAGATGGAGTTTACATATCTGAAGTCATTCACTGCGAGGGTTTGTTCTTATGCATCACTACCAAAGACAAGGAGGACGACTCATCTAGTCTTTTTGTTTTGAACCCTCTTTTGGGACAAACAAAGTGGATCGAACCTATGAAGTCTTGTTGCCAAATATGCGAGAACTACGCTTTTGGATACGATAAAGAAGAGAAGATACATAAAATCTTGAGATTTGTGAATGAGTACTACTCGAATGGCAACAGAGTTTGCGAGTTTGGGGTGTACAGTTTACAAAACTCCAGTTCATGGAAGGTGGTCGATGATTTCGCTCCGGACTGGAGTATTTCGTATAACCACAGTGGCTTGTCTTTAAAGGGAAACACTTACTGGTATGCTCAAGAAAGGAACAGACCAGGACGGATACCACAAAACAACCCTGATTTCTTACTCTCTTTTGATTTCACAACTGAAAGATTTGGACCGCGCTTGCCTCTGCCATTCCATGCTTCTTTTGAAGATACTGTGACTCTTTCTAGTGTTAGAGAAGAGCAGCTTGTGGTGCTATTTCATAATTTCTATGCATCTTTCATCAAGATATGGATAACTAATAAGATTGAGCCCAATGCAGTGTCGTGGGACAACTTGTTCTTAGATGTTGATCTGGAACGTGTAGGCATTTGTCTTCAGGTTTCTAGTTTCGCTGGGAGTTTCTTCGTTGACGAGGAGAAGAAGGTCGCAGTGGTTCTTTATAAAGAAAGAGAATATGTTGGCTCCCTAACGAGCAACATTGTGTATGTCATTGGAAATAAGAGATGCTTCAAAGTGAATCTTGGAGAATCTTTGGACAAAGGGTATCGCCCATTTGTGTGCTCTTATGTTCCAAGCTTAGTGCGAATCCGAAACACAGCCTAAACATTTTTATCTGTATTTGTGCCAAAAAAAAAAACTCTATTAATGCTCCCAACATCACATGGTTAAACCCCTGCCGAGAGGAACCAAAATGCAAGAGCAAGATATGGCATGATATTTTCTATTACATTTGTTATTTTATGGGGTTGTACTGAACTAATGATTTTGGAATATTTAAGGATTTTAAGGATATTTTCTGGTGATTTATTGGATTTTCTATAATTTACAAAACCAAAATTCTAGGGGATTTGGTAAGATATGTTGTTAAACTTTAGATGATTCCAAGGTGTTATGAATGATTAAGGAGTTCTTGATTGGAAACTTTCAACAGAGAAGAGGACTTGTAGGTTTGATGCATCTCCACCATTAATATTTATTTAATATTTTGATGATTTTTTTTTTCTAATTTTCGAGAATCCAAGTAGATAATCCACCCCCTTTTTATACCTTTGTTTTACTTGCATATAAAGTTGATTTTAGTATCTTATATTTTTCTTAAAATAAACCATAATTTCAACTGATAATCATTGTAACAAATATTAACATATAGTATACAAAAATATTTAATGGATTTTAATAGCATATTGATTAAATAATAATTTAATGAAATATTTGATATAATTAAATTTGTTAAAAATTCATATATATGTAAATCAACAAATTTTAATATGACATTTGTTAATGTATTTTTTATATAAATAATGGAAAATTAATGTATGGTTTAATTATTTTAACCAAAATTAAATAAATAACAAAGGTAGTACGTGTGAAGTTTTGGAGAGCTCTTATATTCATACCAAAACAAAAAGTTCTGTGTTCTGTCGGAAATCCATAAATATTGAGCTTCCCATATTAGAATAAATATTTACAATTTTTTATTTTTTATCACAACTATTCACCAGCAGCGACCATGGAAGAAAGTTCACAATCGTCTCCCTCACGTAACCTAGATGTCACCGGAAGGTTCGAAAAATTCATCCCTTTTGATCTCATCTTAGCGATACTCACTAGACTTCCTGCGGAACCTCTCATCCGATTCCAAGCCGTGTCAAAGCTGTGGTTCTCAATCATTCGCAGTAAAGACTTCGCCGACTCGTTTCTCATTAGGTCAAAGACTCGACCTCGTTTCCTTTTAACCTTCAAACACTTCGATTCACGTAAACGTTTCATCTTCTCAGCTCCTGAACACCAAAGAAACGACAAATCCTCCACAGTTGTGGCCAGACACGACATGACGATCTCTGATCTTGTCTACTACATCAAATCTCGTCCCGTGAACGGTTTCTTGTGTTGCACGCATGGCTCTTCTATCGCTGTTTGCAATCCAACCACTAGACAGGTAATGAAATTGCCGGATGTTGAATCCAGGGGGAGACAAGTGTTCGCACGTCTAGGGTACGTACGATCCAGTGGGAGATCAATACAAAGCGTTGTGTGTAATGATGTTCAAACCTGATACGGCTAAACGTTTTAAAAAAGGTTACCAACAGGAGCATTACGTTTTCACATTACAATCTCAACAACAAGAGTGGAGAAAGATTTAAGAGATATAAGAGTTACAACGACGTGATGGTGTTGTGGGTTTTAGAAGTGTTGAGAAACAAGAATGGTCGTTGAAAATGCGGTGTGATCTACCTTATGACTGGGATGATATAGTTGAGGTCTTGAGGATTACGTTTGTCCTAAGGGAGAGACTCATACTGGTGAGCTTCTCATGGTTGATTCAAGGTTGATATCATCTGAGCCGTTTAGCGTTTTATATTACGATCTTTATAGCGAGAGCATACGAAGAGTGGAGGTGGAAGGCATCGCGGATGATGAGTTTAGACGTGTTCATGGGATTGGTAAGCGAACTCGTGAGATTTTGAGTTTTCCTGGTTATGTTGAGAATATTTTGTACTTGTGACTATGAGTGATGAGTTATCATTGTTTCTTTAGGTTTTTGTTTTCCATACAATTCAATATATATCTATGACTTTGTTTGTGTTTACGTTTACAACCCGAAGGCTCATGCTTGTCTAGCTTCTAGTCAATTAGAGAATGTAATAGTTGTTAAATTTCACTAAATTGGTTTACATTTAAGAGATATATCGTCATAGATTCATGATAAGTAGTAACAAATTTGGAACTGAATCATCCATCTACGGCACCAAGCTATGCCTTAAACCAAAATCAAGAGTTGCTACATAATCTCGATGATCAGCTACATGATTACTTTATAAAATTCACCCTGGTGAAATTTATCTATATAAGCATGCCCTTTCTAATTAGTTTCTTGGTGTTATAAGCTTCATGAACATTACTACTTAAAAATTCATGGACCTCACTTCTCATAAGAGTTTAGTATTTGAGATGGTAGTACTTCTTCTAGGCCCGCCCAGTCAAGTGAGATTGGTATGTTGAGCTAAAAACTAAGTCTATTAGTTATAAGTTATAACCAAAAGTCTTTAGACAAAGCTGGATCCTACATCTACGGGATAAAACCTGTAATGAATAAGGTCATTGTGGATCCCAAAATTTTGATGCTTAGTATTATGCTTTTCAAGTCCTATAAATGAGTAACAGAAGAACCAGCCTGGAATCTTTCAATCACTAGATTATATTGCTTATCGTCTTTTTCGATATTTTCGGTGGATGAAGCATGGCCTAAGATACTCGAATGTGTCGAATTCATAACCAAAAGCAAGCAAGCAATGTGGGTGTGGTATGGCCAAACGCAGAAGAACTGAGAATGAAAGAAGAAGAGAGTGGAAGAGTGGTCCATAAAAACAATTGAATTGAAAATGAAATAACTTTGCTTACTCTCTTCTTTGCTTTTCTCTGTTTTGGATGGTCCACTTTCATGGGGAACAGTCTAATTTAGGAGTTTTTAAGTTTGATGAGAGCATACTACTATATGTCTTTATTATTCCTCTTGACTTTTGAAATTATACTTAATGTTTACATGTTTCTATGAGTTCCAAACTAGTTAAACAATTTATGATTTCCTCAAATTTTACATGTTTTTATGAGTTCCTCAATATAATTTGTTATTGGATTATTACATGATTTATGTGCAATTAGTCTTATTAAAAGTTTATTTTCTATTAAACCAGTGTAAACTAAGAAGATTAATTAGTAGGTCCCAAATTGGACCTTTTTTTTGTTTACTTATTATATAATATATATAAATTAATAAAGTAGAACCATAAATATGTCGTATTTAACTTTTAGGAAACAACCTAAATTTGAGAAAAAAAAATGGAATAAAAAATATCAATAATGTTGGGATTTCGAATCAAGATTGTTTGTCTTGGATTCATTCACATCTTTGGTATAGAGTTCACACAACCATGCATGAACGATGTGAATTATAATAAGACTATTAAAAAGTATGTGAATTTTTTAACTTATCAGCATATAAAAAAACTGACGATAAGAAATTTAGTGGTAAGATTCAACTACTCTCTTTTTCCAGTGTACCAAGTGGGATATGATTGAGATTTAACTTTTTATCGAAATATCAATATCACAAAAAGGAAAGAACCCTGATTTGGATTAAAGTAGATTTGTTTTAAAAAAACTGAAAATCATTTTCTAATTGTAAAAGACATTTTATTGGGACAAAGATTTGAGACTTACTCCTAAGTTTAAACAGTGAAAATAGTGATTTTACGTTTTTTGCATATATTATTCGGATTCGAAATTTATTGTTAACAACAAAAGATTTATATATATATATATATATAGTCGATAACATAAATAATTGGCAAATTATTTGTATGTTTGATATGAGAATTTTTTTCTGGATTTAAGTTATTTATGGTTTTATTTCGTTTTCAAATTTAGTTTCTTGAGTTACAAATTCTTTTTTTTTTTTGCTTTTGTTTTTTGAATTTTTAGTCTACATATACTGGTTTTGATTGGTGAACATAGTACAGCTGTATAAATAATATAGTTTTTAGATTTTACAAATCACAAAAATTTGCGAAAGTTTTTTATTAAACTTTTTATTTAATTGTCATTTATATAGCTTTTATGTATCGTTTTTTTTTAATAGTCATGCACTATTCCGTAAAAATTTACTATTCTACTTTACACCTTTTTCTGTTAAGTTTCTAAGTACATTTTTTTACCAATCAGACCAATAATTTCATTTTTTTTAGTTGTGCTAAATTCCTTTGCAAATAAACTGTTAACTTTTGTGTTCTACTACATATATGTTGATAATGTTAACGGTCGTATTAATATTTTAAACCCATCAAACTTACATTAATTTAAACCCATCAAAATGACAAAAGTGTTATATGATCAGTACAGATTATCTTAATGAAAAATCTTTGTCACTTAGCTTCATCTCTACCCCATAATTTTCAACTAACCTGTTTGACAAAATCCTTATAACTTATAAGTACTCCACTGTCGGCAAATTAATTCCGATCTCTCATATATCTCTTTACATTTCAACACATACTATATGGAGAAACACTTCATAATACTCTTAAATGAGTTTGTGTGCAAAAAGTATAATCACTAGTATAATCATTACAATAATTTTCAAAGGTTTATAATTTAAAATTTTGGATTTGAGTTTAGAGTTTAGAATTTAATTTGAAAGTTTAAAGTTTAATTATAGTTTTGTGGTATTTTTTTGGAAAAAAACAAATTAGATTTAGTAGTATTGTTGAAAAGAAAATTAGCTATAATAATTTTTGGAACAAATTAAAACTCATTTTATAAGAATTATCCATAATTAGATGTATATGGTCTCTAATAAAATAAATGATCCTTCGTCTTTATAGGCTCGGAATGTTCGGAATGGTAACTGTGTTTTTCACACATCATGTTATAAAAAAAATGTATGAAGAATTCAAGATGAAACATTATGATGATGTTGTTCATTTCTATTTTAGTATTTTACTGTTTCATAGTAAGTAAAACAGTAATGTGTCATAGAAAAGAATACATATTTATTTCTCATCTTTATACATTTCTTTTTAAAAATTATTTCTCGTAAGTCGTAACTTAAAAGTTTTTTTTATTTTTATTTTTCGTTATGCCATTGAGAGAGAGAGAGAGGCTTGTGAGAAATTGGGATGGGTTTGTGTTCAGAGCTTTAAAGAAAAGGACGCAGGCGAAGAAGATCAAAAGGTTGTGAAAAGGACACACACTTCCATTAAGCTTTCTTCTCTCTATAACGA